ACCACACCATTCCTGGATTTAAGTGGGGTATCTCAGAGAGCCTCCATAGCTGCTGCTATCTATCCGCCATGTTCTTCCGGAACCCAGGGCTTGACTCTTGAGTAGCATCTTCCTCAGTGGCTCAGGCTGAGTTTGGACTTTGTGGCTTCTTGCTTCAGCCTCCTGGAGTGTAGGGATTTCTCTGTGCCATTACCCCCAGCTTGTTTTCAGGCCCTCAGAGGACACATTAGTGGGCACAAGAGACAAGGTACATGTCTTGGGGAAGCTGACTTCCCAGCAGTTTTATCTTTTGAGAACAGTTCTTAAAGCTCTGCCACAGAACTGGGTCAGTAAAACAGTTACTCATTTGGATTTTTTTGTTTGCTTGCTTATTTTATTTAAAATTTAAATTTTATTTATTTATTTGTTTCTTTGTTTGCTTTGAGACAGGCTCTCACCATGTAGACCAGGCTGCTCTTAAACTCAGTTTGTAGCCCAGGCTGTCTTCGAACTCCCAGTGATCCTTTTGCTTCAGCCTCCCAATTGCTGGGATCACAGGCGCACGCCCCACTTGCCATTTGGGTTTTAAAGACCAGCCCAGCGTGTGGTGTAGCGCTGCAGTATGCGTCTGTGCCTGTGGGGGCTGATCAAGCACTGGAGGGAGGCAGCACCCCTCTGCTTTGGGCCGTGAGTGCCATGACAACGTTGGAGCTAGGCCCTCCGTGGTCTCCCTGGTGGCCCCTCTAGTGGGTGACACTTAAGATAGACCCTCAGTTCTCCCTGACCTTGTGAGGCCCTTCCAGTGAGTTTCAGTGCACGGGGAAAAGCAGGTCTTGCGCTCAGAGCCTGCCTGCTGTGTGCCTGTGAGTTCAGCTAGAGTTTGGTTTAAGGGAGGGGTGACTCTTACACGTTGCTGTCTTTGCTCTCTTCAGGGTCCAGGAAGCCGCAGCTCATGGAGGCACACATCCGTCATCCTGGCTGCTTGAGAGGCTGAGGCAGGGGTGTTGCTAGCTAAATAAAGGCCAGCCCAGGCTCGTCCCATACTAAAAGGAAGAGCAACGCGCAGGTGTGCGTAGATACATACAATATAGGTGATGGAAAGGTACGAGTGAAGTCGGTCCTTTCCCACAAATGGGATTCTCAGTTTGTTCATTTGTTTATTTTGTTGTCTTTTTGAGGCTGGATTTCACTGTGCAGTCCAGGCTGGCCTCAAACTGGCAGTGATCTGCCTCAGCCTCCTGAGTGCTGGGACTACAGGTGCACCACAACACCTGGCAGAGGCTCTCAGTTTAGATGATAAAATTAAACATTTTACAACTAAGTGGGGAGTCCTGGAGATTGAACCTGGGGGTATATCCTTTAGTATGTTGCCCACAGTTTGGGTTCAAACATAGGATCCTCCTGTCTCAGCCTCCTGGAGTGCTATGATTACGGGTATGTAACACTATGCCTGGCATTTTCCATCCAATTATTCCAGCTAGTTTTTGGGAAGTATTCTCTTTAGGCTGTACATGGTGGCACAAACCTGAGTTTTCAGCAATTTGAGAGGGAGGATTGTGAGTTCAAAGCCAGCCTGGGTCACTTACTGAGACCCTGTTTCAAGGCCAAGTGTGGTGGTTCACACATCTGTGATCCCAGCTCTCAGGGAGCCTGAGGATTGGGTCGAGTTCAAGGCCAGCCTGGGCTACAAAGTGAGTTTAAAGCCAGCTTGAGTTGAATAGTGAGACCCTGTCTCAAACCCCTTCCCCCCCCCCCACCCCCAGCCACAAAAAAGAACCCAAAAAGAATGAAACCTCATTTTCAAAGTAAAAACCAGACTGGGAATGTAGCACTGTAGTAAACTTCTCCAGGGTTCGCAGAGACTCCAGAGCTCCTACAGAAAATAGAAGGGAAATCAGGACGTGAGGCAGTACCCACCATCAGAACTGTTTTCCTGTCTATGTGTCCTGGAGCATGCTGTGTCCCTTAAATATTTATTGGAAATGTAAGGAAACATCGACATGAGCTTCCTGGGCTTTTGGAAAGTGACCCGTGGTCCACAGTAACTGTACAGACATGAGATTCGGTGCATTTTAGCCTCAACACAGTGCACTCTGGCTCACTTAGCACCACCCCTTAGTGGGATGCCAGGCCTGTGCACTGAGCTACATCATCAGCACCCCTTTCTTTGAGATTGTGTCTTGCTTTGTAGCATAGGCTGGCCTTAGACTCCTGGAGACCCTCCTGCTTCAGCCCTCTGAGTGCTGGGATTATGATGGTTTACTACCATGCACGGCTATTTCCAGTCTTTTTGGGGGTGGGGCAAAGTCTTGCTAAGTTAGGCTAGGCTATTTCAAATTGATAATCCTCCTGCCTCAGCCTCCCAGAGTGCTGAGATTACAGGTGCCAGCATTGACTAACTTCAGGCTCTTTTGATGTCCTGTAAGTGTCCTCAGTGGCCAGTTTGAGCATCGTCCTCAGAAATGTGTTTCAGAGACCACATCCCCGCCTGCGCATTCCCCTGCCCTTTGTGGGCAGATGCTGTGCTCTCCTAGTGTGTGCAGGACCCAAGCCCCTTCCTTGACACTGGAGAGGGAGTGGCTGCTGTCCCCAAGACCTCCTGACAGACGCCTGGCTTGGGCAATGTGTGCAACACCTTTCAGCAGGGCCTTGGGCCGAGCGTGGGAGCCTTGAGGTGCCCAGGGAGCTGCAGGTGCTGCAGGGAGGACAGTCCTCCTCGCTGCTCTGCCTGTCCCCTAGCCGCTCCAGGCTATGGGTAGTAGCTCTGTAGGTCCTGCCCTGTGAGGAGGGCAGGTGGCTGGAGCGCCCAGTGCCCAGCAAGGAGGACAGTGCTCATGCTGGATGGACAGCTGGGAGTCAGCAGGTCAGCTTAGCGGGTCCTCTCCCCTGTGTGCAGCTCTGGCAGCAGTCAGCCAGGTCCCTGTAGCTCCTGATGGGAATCCCTCGGGTTCCCTGGCACATGTGCTTTCCCACTCAGGTGCAGGCAGGTGGCCCGGCTGGGGCCTCCAGAACCAGAGGGGTACATGCTGCTGGGACCTGTGTCACTGTGTGTCACGGGTTGCTGAGTCACCTCAGCCATGCCTAGTGCTGGTGTCCACACCTTTTGTTCCCAAGTTCCTCGTGAGTCTCTGCTGCCCAGACCAGGGTACTGTGTTCTAGGGCCAGAGGGAAAGGAAGTGAGTGAGTGGACAGAAGCAACTTAGAGCCTCCGCGTGCGATGCTTACTGGTTAGAGCATCTGAGTGGACTGTCCAGGCTAGCAGTGCGACGCTGCTGTAGGGTGGTGGTGTGTGAGTAACAGTTATCGGTGATCAGAGGTGTTGCCCTTGTGACCTGAGTGCCGAGCCTCCCCTGCCTGAGTGCCGGGGCCATCTGAGCACGTGTGGTTTGCCTGGTGGGAAACTGAGGTTTGTGCAGCAGTTCACCTGGGTTCCTGCAGAAGAAGGCGTACTCAGGTTCTCTGAGCTTTCATCCCCACCTTTTTTGGTTGGTTTGTTTTTTGGAGAGGGTCTCAATGTGCACCTCAAGCTGACCTGAACTCATGGTGATCCTCCTGCCTCAGCCTCCTGACTGCTGGTGTTTCAGGTGTGTTCTACCATGCCCAGTTCTTTCTCCTCACCTGATTTGGGGCAAGGCAGCACATGTACCTTCTCTTCGTGGGGCTGCTCTCCCCTTTGCCCCTCGGTGGAGTCTCCTGTGGCAGGAGTTACCCTGACACTGTCGTTGAATGTCTGGTTGGACTGTTTTCCGATTGCCATGGAAATGCAGCCTAATGTGACTCAGTACAGGCAGGTGGTGGGGTCCAGGATATGGTGGCTGAGGGGAAAGCAGTGTCACCACAGGCAGCCTGTGTCCTTCCTGCTGTGCTGCCGCTTCCCTTGGGCTCTCTCCACACTGTGGTCAGAGCAGCCGGTGATCACTGCTCAGTTGGCCTCTGCTTTTGGAGCTGGGAGGGGTGTGAAGTGGCTCTTCCATCGCCTGGGTCACTGTTCCCAGGTGGTTCAACAAGCTTACCACTGTCTGAGGCTCACACTTGTCCTCTCACACCTGGAAGGCACTGCCCAGCAGCCAGTGTTGTATTTAAGGTACACTGGGGTGTGAGGTGCTCTCCATCTGGGCCCTGGATCAGAGGTCCCTGCACGGCTCATCTGTCCTGCTCGGCTCTGTCTGGTCCAGTGGCAGGAGAGGGTTTCACTTTCCCAGGGAAGGCATCTCCAGGAGGGACAGAGACCTGTGAGTGGACTGTCCTCTGCTCGTGGGCTGAATGCTGCCTGGCTACCAGCTCCCTCCGGGATGCTCTGGTGCCCCTGCTTTTCCTCCTGGCACGAGACAGCCAATGGCCTACAGCCTTGGTGAGGCCCGCAGGCCCTCCTGGCTGAGACCCAGTGCTTTGGGCCGAGGGTGCGATCCTGGGTGAGGCTGAACTGCCCACTGGAGCCTCCTCCCCACGCCCCAACCTTCCCGGACCTGTGCAGCCGATGCGGTGAGGGTGAGATCCCGGGCACTTGTGGCAGAGCGCCCGCTCACCAGCTTCACAGAGAGGCTGAGCTCCTCAGTTCACCATTTGCCTGTCACACACATTTGCTGCCCTGTGCGGAGTCACCTGCCCTACGTGTGCTTCGTCTCAGCTCCGTCTCAGCTCCGACAGAGCCGTGTATCTCTGGAGTGTGACGCTGAGCTCTGGGGAGTGGCTGGTGGGGGAGCCCGGTTTTCCTGCCTCGGCATCGAGCAGTGCCTGCAACTCCAGGCTTGGGTCTGGCCGGGCTGCACTGGCCTCGCCTCCCAGCCTCTCCCTGTTCTGGCCTGCAATGTGGTCTGGTATTGTCACTGTCACTGTCTGGAGTTGCTTAGGCTTTGTCGCTTGTACACAGCCTATCTCCAAGCCTAAAGGTAGCCAGCGAGGGAGGATGAGGAAGGACAAGGAGAAGCTGGCAGCCTCCTAGTCTTCGATGAAGCACAGTCTTGGGCCGGCAGTGATGCCCAGGCAGTGCTTTTCTGAGCCTCTTTCCTGTCCCCACCTAGCTCGCCAGCAAAGCTCGGACGGAGAAAGAGGAGAAGCTAAGCCAGGCCTATGCAATCAGTGCTGGCGTCTCCCTCGAGGGCCAGCAGCTCTTCCAGACCATCCACAAGACGTGAGTGGGGGGGGTGCCATCGTGGTCTTACCTAGCCTGAGCTCGCTGCCAGGAAAACCCTGCTTCGGCTGGGCGGGGCGCACACCTGTAATCCCAGCAACTCAAGAGGCTGAGGCAGAAGGGTTTTCTGCAGAGGAGGAAGGGGGCAGGAACTTCGGATAGGACTCCCTGGCCTAACTCCAGCACCCAAGGAGCCCTTTCTTTGGATTGGACTTTATACAGGTTCCCTCTCGACACATTGTCCCTAACTTAGGACTTGCGATTTCCTTCCTCCTTTTTCCTTCCCCTCTCCATGGCTCCCTTTCTCTGGCTCTCAGAGAAGCCAGCCACGGTGTTCCTAAAGGAGGACTGTGTGCGTTTTCCCTAGCACTGGCTGCTGTGCATTGGGATGAGCAGAAGGCCACCTCCTTACCCTGTCCTGAAGGACACCGTGTCCCAGAAGTCACGTGCACCTCCTACTCCCTGCCAAGCCATCCAGAATCCTCCTGCTTCACCTCCCAGAATACTGGGATTACAGGGTTGCACCACCCTCCTGATTGCCCCTGGTGTTCCTGTGTCTCCAGCTCTGTGGGATCAGAACTCGGGGTCTCTTGGTCTGCCCTCTGCTACAGTGTGTGGGATGTTGGTTCCACCTCTGGGCTTCGGTGCCCCTGGGTAATGTCTCTGCTTTCTTCTCCTTCCAGCATTAAAGACTGTAAATGGCAAGAAAAAAACATTGTAGTCATGGAAGAAGTCGTTATTACGCCCCCCTATCAAGTGGAAAACTGTAAAGGCAAAGAGGGGAGTGCACTGAGCCATGTACGCAAAATAGTAAGTGACGGGGACCCTGCTTGGGCACCTGGGAAGGCAACAGCAGGCCCTGCTCCTTTGGCCCTGGCTCCCCTTGGTGTGGTCGTTTCGGGTGGGCTGGGCTGGGGCCACCCAGTGCTAAGAGGTTAGCTGGGCTCTTGCAGGTGGAAAAGCATTTTAGAGACGCCGAAAGCCAAAAGGTCCTGCAGCGCTCACAAGCCCAGCAACCACAGAAGGAGGCGGCCCTGTCATCCTGAGGCCACGCGGCGGGACCTCGGCACCCAGCCCGGGGCGGCGGCTGGTGGAGGCAGGCCAGGGAGGGGAGGGACCCCACGTTTCCCGCTGGCTCCTGCTCCCCAGGGGCCAGCCATCCAGTCTTAGACTTGAACAGACAAACACCCAACAAAAGCGAACAGAGATAATTTAAAGTTGAATCATTACTTGACTAACAGACTTCGTCCGCCATGTCCTTGTCACAGCCCTTCTCCGACAGTCACCTTGTTAGTTTTATTTTCAAACACCCCTTGCCCATGGGCCTCTCCCCTCCTCCTCTCCGGCCCCCTGCTCCCTCTGGTCCGTTTTTACGAGTGGTTCCAGGCGCCTTCTGAACGCTTGAAGGAAACTTTACATCTCCTCCTCCAAAATAAAAGTAACAAGCTGACTGTGACTCTTGAGTTGAGACCAGAGCAGCCGACAGAGGTCTCACTTTAAATTCTTTTTTTCTTTTTCCTTTTTCTCTTTCTTTCTTTCTTTCTTTCTTTTTTTTTTTTTTTTCTTTGCACAGGGCATGGCTTGAATTAGTTTTATTTTTCTTAACTTTAAATATATATATGAAAATATATATTAAAATGTTCTCTAAATATTTTCTGCTTCTTGCAGGTCTCTTTTTGCTAGATCATGGCCATTCTTTCCACCTCTCCCCTGAACACACAGTGCGTTGCCCTTCCTCTTGCCCCCACCAGGCCCTGTCTCGGCCTGGGCCACTGAGGTGGGACTTGCCTAGGGTCCCAGGGCTGCAGCGGGGTGCGGGCTCCGCCTGGCCCTGCACCCCTCCATGGTACTAGAAGAGCTGCGCCTGCGCAGGGCAAGCGTGCCCAGCCCGTCCTCCTGGGACTCTGGGGATGCCCGCCCACCACCTACCCACAAGATGGCATCAGCCCCTCTCCAGCCCAAAAGCAGCTGCTTACAAGCCGGCCACAGCTTGTATGTGCTCCCGGAGGTCAGCAGCCTGGGAGGCAACTGGACTCGAGCGCCCGCCATCTGGCGAGACTGACCTGCTGAGAGCCAGTGGCAGCACTGTCAGTCACTGCCCGCGTGGGGTGGGGTCACATGGGACTGGCTGGTGCCGGGGTGGGGGTGGGGTGGCTAACAACTATTCTTTTTTGGCCATGATCGCCTTCCCCTTCCTTTTTTTTTTAATTAAATAAATGGATCAAAAGTAATTCAAGCCCTGCCTTCAAAATGAAAAAAAAAAAATTTTTTTTTTTAGTATTCTTTAGCAAAAACAATAAAACCCAAATTTTTTAAACCATCACTCATGTCCTGGGTTTGTGCATCCTTCGGGGGACAAGGAGGGCATGTCTTGTGCCCCATCCCCATCTACCTCAGTTTCCCCCACATGTGGCTTAGGCAGGGCAGTCTCGCCTTGCTGCTCTCCAGTCAGCCCTTCATGTCAGCTGCTGGGTCTGAGAAGGGCTCGAGTTCCTGGGGCCCCGCACCTGTGCCGGCCAGCAGAGCTGCAGCCAAGTCTGGGCTCCGTGCTGGCTCCTGACACACCGTCCTCTGATGCCTGGGGCTGCTCACCCACCGCTAGGGCTTGGGTTCAGCATAGGAGCCCGAGGCTTCTGGGTTAGGGTTTTTGAGCTAGGTCTGGCTGTGTGGTCCAGACTGGCTTCACACTCACTGAAGCCCAGGTGGGCCTTGAACTTTGGATCCTTCTGCCTCAGCCTCGAAGTGCTGGGATGACCAACATGCTTGTCAGGGGTGATGGTGGAGAGGATGCTGCACTGTGAATGTGCAGGGCTCCTATGGATGACAGCTGTGTGTGTGGGCAGCTCCGTAGGGGCCTCTGCTTGGGGCAGCTGGGGATAGTGCTGCTTGTTCCCAGTGGGGGGTAGGGGGGGCTCCAGGCCCAGGATCCAGGCTGCTGAAGGCTGGGTATGACTCCTGTGCTGTGCTGGCCGAGCTGGTGAAGGAAGCAGGAGGCAGTGGCCCGATGCAGCTCGGGTGCGTACCCAGCCTGTGCCCTGTGCGGGCCAGGCATGCGTCCCAGGGAAGAGCCTGGTGTCAGTGGTGCAGTCGTCAGGGCCACCTGTCGCCATGGAAAGCAGCAGACAGCCCCGGCCTGGGTTCCATTCCAGCCCTGCAGCCACCACAAGAGAGTATGACAACCCCAGGGTGGCAGCCAAAGAGCCTGGTGACACGCAGTGCCCTGGGCAGGGTGCCCAGCCCACAGACATTGGGTGAGGCTTGAAGATGGTTGCATTCTATGCTGTGAGAGCTATGTGTGGCGTCTAAGCAAAAACCAGAGAGCAGCACATGCGTCCCCCCACTGTCACCACCTGTGCAGGTCTTGCTTCCGAGACGCCAGCCCTAGTGCTGGTGAAAACTCAGAGGACAACTGAGCTCTCAGTGCTGTGTAGCTATCAGACAGCTGGATGGGGACAGCTGGACGGTGAGCGGTCCCCGACACAGCCACTGCTCTTGAGACCTGTGTGCCAAGGGGCTGGGCTGGCTTTGACAAGCACATCCCCTGGTGACAGACCCAGAGGTGGATGTGGGCAAAGAGGAGCCATGCCAGGTGTCAGCACCAACTTGGGCCACCTCATCTGTAACAGCTGGCCACAGCTGTGTCGGACAGAAAGGCTCTGGCCACTTGAGACCAGAGGAACAGCAGCACCTCCTAGTCGCCCGGAGAAGATGCAAGTCACAGGATGCAGGCATTGATGTAGGAACCCCATCCTGTCCTGAGGACACAGGGCAGAGCCTGCATGGGACCCCCATTAACTGCTGGGGGTCAAATGATCAGACCTGTTTTCAGTGGTCACAGATGAAGTCAGGGTCTCAGGATGGGCCATGACAAGGCCGAATCCACAAAAAGAACAAGGAGTACGGCTGCAGACGATTCAGGTGGCTCAGAAGTGGGTGAGAGGCTTGCAAGGCTCCAGGTTGCAAGGCTGTCCCAGCCTGGTCCTGTCCTCACCTCTGGGGTGGGGACACCCTGAGGAGAAGACTTGGTCACTGGCCTCTGGGCCGGGACAACCCAGAGCCGTGCAGGTGGATGTGAGTGGAAAAGAGCGCCCGCGGCAAGGAGCCATTTTCTTTTTTCTTTTTTGGTACCAGGGACGGAACAATCCAGATCCTCCCATGGTGGAGACACTGCTACACACCACCCCTTCAGGGAGTGGAACCAGAACCCAAAGAATGCCCCAAGAGGCGCTGGCAGACTTAGTTGCAATCTTGAGGTGAACTCCCCTTCCTGGGGACCTTGGTGCCCACACATCGGCTTTTACTACCTCACTGAGTGCCAGCCACAGACTGCACGCAGCTGCTACCCTTCGGTCAGTTACTGTCTGCAACTCGCTTTCCTGAGGCTTCTCTGTACTTGGCCCCAGCTACCAGCCATGACAGTGTCTTTGTCCTCATGGAGCTTCGATATAGCGCAGAAAACAGACATTAGGCAGACAACCACTCTGCAGGGACAGGTGCAGAGAAGTGTCTGTGGAAAGCTGCAGGGCTGTGGACCAGAGACCTGCTGGGGATGGGTTTGGCAGTAGCTGTACAGGAATGAGGTTCACAGTGGAGAGCCCTGTGGTGGAAGAGGGATTAACAAGAGAAACACACAAAATTATTTCGGGATGTTCCCGTGGCATCTGAGCCTTCTAAAGGGAAGGCCCAGGGGAAGAGGGTTTGAAGGCAGGGGAGGAAATTGAGATATAGTATGTACAGCCAAATTCCTGTGATGAATGTGTATCTAAAATGTACAAGTAAAATTAATTTTTCTTTTTATTTTATTTTATTTGGTGCTGGTTATCAAACCCCAGACCTCACACCAAGCCGATGCTTATGCCACTGAGCTAAATCGCCTGCTAAAATTAACTTTAAAAAGTGAAGAAAAAGAGAACGAGCCACAAACACGCCTGGGTAACATAGGCCTGATCTCCCTGGACTTGGGAAGCTAAGGCAGGAGGAATATGAATTCCAGTTCAGCTTGGGCAATGGAGCGACTTAAGGAAGCTCTGTCTCAAAATAAAAAACAGGACAGGGCTGGAGATGCAGCTCAGGGCGACAGCGCTGGGTTCCAACCCTGGTACAACGCTTCTCGGTCCCAGTCCCTAGTGGCCGATCAGCTGTCATTGCCCTGCAAACTGAGCTTCCATCTAGGCGCTGTGCCTCCATCATAGGGTTGGAGGTCCGGTTAGAGTCACAGTCCGGCTGCAAAGACTAGCCGGTTCCCGCCCGGCACACCGCTACCTAGCCAGCCATCTGCCGGTCTGCCCTCGCTGCTCCCTCCGCCCGCGCTTCAATTTTGCAGGTACAGAGCGGGCGGGGCGGGGCAGGCCACAGTCTACAGTGGCAGAGGCCAAGGCTTCTTTCCGGAACTAGAAAACCAGGGCTGTGCTTCCGGACGTGTGTGTGTGTGTGTGTGTGTGTGTGTGTGTGGAGCGGATCCGCATAGGGCCGGAAGTTGCGCATCGCACCGCTGCGCCGGCCTGGCAGTCAGGGCTGAGGCCACAGAGGACTGCCCTTCCTCAAGATGACGTCGAAGATCGGTTCCAGACGGTGGCTGCTGCAGCTGCTCATGCAGCTGGGCTCGGTGCTGCTCACGCGCTGCCCGTTCTGGGGCTGCTTCAGCCAGCTGATGCTGTACGCAGAGAGGGCTGAGGCACGACGGTGAGCGTCCGCACAGCCAATGTTCGCTGGGGGGCGGGCGGCCGGTCCCGCAGCCGCTCCTGGGGCTGTGGGCGCAGGGCCCAAGGCCGGACGCGCGGGCCGCGGGACTCGCTCCGGGGTTGGGTCGCGGAGTGGCACGCCCCTGTACCTCCGCTTCGGCTCAGGCGCGCTCTCACCCGTAGGAAGCCCGACATCCCCGTTCCCTACTTGTACTTCGACATGGGCGCCGCTGTGCTGTGTGCCAGCTTCATGTCCTTTGGCGTCAAGCGGCGCTGGTTCGCGCTGGGCGCCGCGCTGCAGCTGGCCGTGAGCACCTACATTGCCTACGTGGGCGGCCACGTCCACTACGGAGACTGGCTGAAGGTGAGCAGACTGCCTGATGCAGGTCCAGAGCTGTAACGGACGGCCCCAGTTCACCCCACAGGAATGTGCTGGACAGAACCCTTGCCTCCTGGTTCCCAGGTCCCCTTAACTACGAGGAACCCCAGGCCAGGGGCAGTGGAACCCTGGAGTGGACCTGGTTCACCCACCTGATTGTGTGAATGTATTGAATCTGAGAGGAACCCAGGCACAGGATTGAGGATGTGTGGGACAAAGCCACTGACCTCGAGGACAGGACCGGAGTCCCTTGGGGTGCCACATATGTGAACATGGACGGCACAGGGAGATGAGAGGCCCGGGGTGGGGAAGGGGCACTGTGTGTGTCTGGGTTCTGCCACTTACTTTCTGTAGGACCATGGACAATTTTCTTAACCCCTCTGGGCCTCAGTTTCCACTTCTGTAAAAAAGAATTATGTCTCTACTGTACCTGCCCTCTACACTTGGAAATGGTAAGAGGGTTCATGATGTGGGATGGAGATGGGAGCCAGGAGAAATGTGGGGGCCATGGCTCTTGACTGGAGTCCCTTGCCCTGGTCCTAGGTCCGCATGTACTCGCGCACAGTGGCCATCATTGGCGGCTTCCTGGTGCTGGCCAGCGGCGCGGGGGAACTATACCGCCGGAAACCCCGCAGCCGTTCTCTGCAGTCTACTGGCCAGGTGTTCCTGGGCATCTACCTCATCTGTGTGGTAGGTTGGGGTTGTGCTGGCTGCAGGGTCCTGGTGGGCAGTGAACTGGAGACCCAGGCCCTGCAGTGCACAGGAATGTGGGTAGCACAAGGCCTTGCACCCAGTTATAGGGCGCCTGACACCTAAGGGCTCCCCTGGGCCTCAGAGGCCCTCGGTCCACCTGGGAGAGTCCCTCCTGTGCACATGGCTTGCCACCAGGTAGAGAAATGTTTCCAGGCCTGAGGGCCAGGGGAACAAAGCAGATTGGTTCTCTCATGGATTTCAGCCTCTTGAGTTCTGGGAACTGAAGAAAGGGATAGTGGAGTACAGGCCCCAGCTGAGACCGCTGTGTAGAGTTGATGGGGTCTCCCTGGTGCTAGGAGGCTGAGAGGATAAGGACAGCGAGGCTCTGGCCATGGCTTCAGCTGTGTTCCCAGATGTTGTGTACCATGTGCAGAGCTCCGTACTCAGTGTATAGGACCACGGGGCTTGTGACACAGGCTTCCTTCTGAGAGAAGCCCTGAGCACAGGAGGAGAGCCTCACCTTCTGGGCCCTACAAGGTGGGGTCCCAGCTCTGAGGGAGGCATTGTGGAATTGAGTCTCCACATGCTGTGTCCCCAGGCATACTCACTGCAGCATAGCAAGGAAGACCGCCTGGCGTATCTGAACCATCTCCCGGGAGGCGAGCTCATGGTGCAGCTCTTCTTCCTGCTCTATGGTGTCCTGGCCCTGGCCTTCCTATCTGGCTACTACGTGACTCTGGCTGCCCAGATCCTGGCGGTGCTGCTGCCCCCAGTCATGCTGCTCATTGATGGCAATATTGCCTACTGGCACCATACGCGGCGGGTGGAGTTCTGGAACCAGATGAAGCTCCTTGGAGAGAACGTGGGCATCTTCGGGGCTGCTGTCATCTTGGCCACTGATGGCTGAGTCTTACAGTGTGGGCAGCCTGCCTTCTCCTTGCTGGTCCAGCTGCTGTTGATTATGCTTCTCTGTCTGTTTGGTCCTTTGTGTTTTTAATTTTTTTTTTTTTTTTTCCTTTCATAGTGATCAGGCAGGTCTTGTCTCTAAGTTCTTGGTTGGACCATTGTGGGTGGGAGCGCTGACACCTCATAGCCCTGTTCCCGTTTGTGAGGAGCATGGAGGCTTCCATAGGAGGGAGAGTCCCTGACAAGGGAGCAGGGTTCAGAGCTTAGGTGCAGATCCTGAGATGGGGTGCAGAGGAAGGGAGACAGACCTAGTTGTATAGATGCACAGCAGCCTCCAAAGCCTTGTGTGTTTGGGAGGCATCTGGGCTATGAGACTCCTGAGGAGGCAGTCACTGGTTGTGTGGTATGGCCTGGAAGGGTTCATCTCCCTCCCGAGCTCCCCTTCATCTCTCCCTGCTGCTTGGCTGCGTGAGGTGAGCAACATTTCCTCTGCTGAGCCATCCTGCCTTGGAGCCAGCCAACTATGGACTGAAATGGGAGCCAAAATAAATTTCACTGAAGATGTGGGTATCTTGTATTTTGTCCCAGGAACAAGGAAAGACAGATTTTGGTACCAGGAGTGGGGTCTTTGCTGTGATGCTACATACTCATGCAGGTCAAAAGCCTTTGGAGCTGCTTCACTGGAGAAGTCTGGAAGGTTTGGAGACACCAGCTGGAGAAGTAGCTCTGACACACTGCAAGCTGAGCTTGTTGGGAGGTTCTGGTTGGAGCTCAGAAAATCAGAATGCCAGTGGGCGTGGTGGTGCATACCTGTTATCCCAGCACTTGGGAGGCTGAGGCAGGAGGATTGCTGTGAGCCCAAGGTCAGCCTGAGCTACACAGTGAGCCCGTCTCACAGAAACAAAAAATTCCAACAAACAAGTGTTTTATCAGAACGCTGATAAAAAGGCAGACTGAAGCCCGGATTCAGGAGGTTTCATTTAGGGATAGGGACTTCTCTGGCAGCTGGACTGGGAGCCATGTTTACTGCTCTGGCAGATCTCGTGTGCATTTACTCCTGTCCTGAGACTGCAGACTAAGGTTAGCAGTCTAATTTGTCAGAAGAAACCTAAAGGTGACCCAGTATCCAGGCAGTGGCAAGGGTACAGTTGGTGACTTTCAGATAGATCTATGTTAAGAATCAAGAACAGATGGCATGGCTGACTGATTTTAAGTTTTGCCTTCTGTAGAAAAGCAGCCCCTATGAAGGTGGCACAGAGGAGACACTGGTTGCTGAAAATACAAGCACTTAACAGCCAAATACCTTGGATCAGGACTGTAGGGAAATGGCTTGAGGGTATGGAGGGATTAGTGAGATCCCTCCCTTGGTGGCCTCAGGGATGCAAGGCTGTAAGACTGAGAAAAGAGCCCCGTGGTACCATGCCTGAGAAGAGTCACCTAGGGCATTGACTCCCTGCAGTTCATTTCACCACACTCAGCCATCCAGGTATGCAGAGGCCTCTCCAGCTGCCAGTGAAGAGGTCTGGCTGCTATTCAAGCAGTTAACAGACCTGGGCATTATCCGCCCCCCACACACCCCATTGCTGGTTTTGCAGAATGCAAAAGCTGTAGGGTCAGGAAGGCTTCCACCCAGGCTGTGTCTGGAGCAGTTCAGTGCAAGTATGAAGCCAGACATGCAATGGAGCCCCCAACATGTCAGAAAGGCCAGGAACATGGATCATCTCAGGAAAGATGCAAGGGGTAGGTACAGTCTCCCCAGAGAAGGTTGTAGCTGTCACTGGCAGTGCCACAGGGGTGGGCTGCCCAGTCACTTGGATCTCACATTTCACCACAACTTGCCTGTGGTGCTGGACGTTGAGCTGTGGAGTTTAATGTTCACTCTGCTGGGTTTCAGTCTTGCTCTGGTCCCTTTAGTTTTCTCTCTGTCTCTGTCTGTCTGTCTGTCTCTTTTAGCTAGGGTCTCGCTTTGTAACCCAGGCTGGCTTTGACTTCACAGCAATCCTCCTGCCTCAGCCTCCCAAATGCTGGGATTACAGGTGTGCACCATCTGCCCAGCTCTGCCTTTTCTTCCCTTTCAGAGTGGATGTGTTTACCCAGTGCCTTTGTATGTGGGCAGTGTTTAACTAGTGTTGCTTTTTCTAGGGGATCACAACTAAGAGTTTGTCTTAAATCTCAGAGACTTGAAACTCGGTGGGACTTGGGCAGCTCTTATATTGAATGTACTGTGCATAAGGAGATGCACATGAGTCCTTTGAGGGGCAGGGGTGGCACGTTATGGCTTATATCCTGATGTCTCCCAGTGCCACATTTGTTTGGAAGGCAACTGGGGCTCAGGGGCTGATAGCTGAGTTGCTGTTAGGAGCTGGGGTGCGGTCAGAAGATGTGGTCAGCTGGGATGTGACCTGGAAGACTATCTGCCCCCTCCCTTCGCCTCCACCCTCTGTCCACCCTCCCTTCACCTCCACCCTCTGCCCTGCTATCCTGCCCTGGAACTGGACTGAAATGTGACCAACACAGAGTGCTTTTTAACTTGCACGGGTGGCAGTTTTGTCTCAGCAGGGAGAAAGTGGCAGATCCCTAAGTAAGTGTGGAAAAATCCCCATTCACACCAGTGTTTCTTTGTTTCAGTGCTAGCATCTCCAGCCCCTTCTGTTTCTTAAGACAAGGTCTTGCTGAGCAGCTCAAGTTGTACTTAAACTTGCCATCCTCTTGCGTCAGCCTGAGGAGCTGGGATTCCCAGTGTGCAGCACCATGCCTTGCTGTGTGTGTTGATCTGTGGATCAGGGCCTCAGAACCCAGGGATGGGCACCATGGAAGCCAGGAGGCTCCTCAGCCTGTGCCGTGCAGCAGCTGCGGTCTCAGAGTGGCCTGCGGCCCCTCTGCTGCCAGCTGCGGAGGCCTCCTAAATGCAGACCACACAGCCTCCAGAAACAAACCTTTCAGGGACATACATGTGGCCTGGCTTCTGCATTCCTCATGGGCACTGTGCCCTCTGTGGTGCAGTTGATGGGGTCTTTGGTCCCTGTTTTCTGAGATGAGTCTTACAGTGTCGTTGGTTTATGTCTATGCCCCCAGTCCTCATGCGTTTGCATTGTGCACTTGTGATTGGTTCATTGTCTAGTTCATTGTCTAGTGCTTGGATTGATGGTGTCAGTGCTACACCCACATAGGGGTGGAGCCAGGATGTAATATAATGGCAGGAAGAAGATGTTTCTTGCTCTTTTGCTGGTTTCTGCCTTGCTGTTTGCAGCCGCTGTGAACTAAGGCTTTGCCATGCCACCCTGCCTTGGAACCAACTGAGTATGGACTGAAACCTCCAAAAACTGTAAGAAATAAACCTTTTCTTCCCCAACTTTGGGCTTCAGGTATTTTGTCTCAGCGAGGAGTAAAAAGTAACTAAGACACAGTGTATTCCAGGCTGACTTGATTCCCAGCGATCCTCCGGCCTCAGCCTCCATGTGCAGGGCTTATGGGTGTATGCTATCCTGTCCTGCTAACGCTGGGTATGTTGGAAGCTCACATCTGACCATGCCTTACCATGGGCCACCATGGTTATTCTCTGCTCCTAGAGTCCCCTTGACCTCTGGCTCTCCAAACATCTCTGACCCTGGGCTGGGGGCTGTTGTGACCACCTTCCCCCAGGATCCCCGAGGCTCTGGTTTCCGTCTCCAGCCCCAGAGCCAGTCCTCAACCCTCAGAATTCTCTGTACATTTGTCCTGGGGGAGCTCTTGGAAGGAATCCAGTGAGGGGAATGAGAGGATAGGACAGTGGTGTCCCCAGAGCAGAAGTTTCACACTCAAGGAAGCCAGGCTTGAGATGCACCACAGCCACAGCCAGAGGAGTCCAGCCACACCTGGTGTCCCCAGATCCTGAGGGGCACGTACTCCCTGGGGCCTGTGCCCTGCTGTGACATGATGGCCCTTTAACTGCTTGTCCTGGTAGATAGTACAATATCCGGCCCATCATGGTGACCCAAACATACTGCAAGAGCCCGGTGGGGTGATGCATTCCTGTAGCTCTGGCTCTTGGGAGGCTGAAGCAGGAGGATGGCAAACGCAAGACCAACCAGAGTAGTTTAATGAGACCCTGTCTCAAAAAGGCTGGGGTGTAGCTGGGGGTTCCCTGGGTTCAATTCCCAGTACCAGGTCCCCCAGAAAGTTGACTGGAGCCTCTGGCCTCTTCCCCACTGTGCTGGTAGGCTGGGAAGATAGAAACGCTGGCTGGGCCAGGGAGAACATCCAAGTCAGGTTTAAGTGAGAACCGCCTGTTGAGGCTTTGCTGGGCTCTTGCAGGTAAAAGAGGAGCTGGTGGTGACCAGGCCTGGCTCCAAGCCCACCTGGAAGGAAGGGGCAGGGCTGTGCAAGGGAGGAGGCCACCCAGGGCTGGTCTCTGTCCCATGTCCATGTGTCAGTGTCCCTCGAGATCCCAGACATGGGAACAAGTGGTGGGAGCAGCAGGAAACAGATGCGAGGTGCTCTAGGCAGAACTGCCAGGTCCAGCATGAGGCCACTGACACTGTCCCCTGTGAGATGGAGTCCCTGGCTTTGGTCTGGTCTTGGTCTATCCCTCCCCAGCTCATCCCACTCCCAGCCCTCTGGGCAGAATGGGGCCTGTGTCCTCCATGGGGCTCAGCCAGTGAGCCCCACAGGGCATGCAGGGTTTCTGGTCCATCCTCGTGCTGGTCCAAGGCCTGTGGGGCCTGGGGGGGGGTCAGCTCCTCGGGTCCAAGGCTGGCTTGCAGAAGGAGTCTGGCAGCCCCTTGGCGTGGTTGACCAGCTCGTAGGAGTCCCGGATGTCAGCCAGGCCGAACCAGAAGAAGATCCACTGCTTGTTGGAGAAGCTGCCGTCACTGTGCCTGAAGTACCTGGGGGCAGAGCAGCCTTCAGCAGGGCTGGGCCCCAGCTGGACACCAAGTAGGGCTTTACCTTCCTGGCAGCACCGGGCGTGGGGAGCAGGCACCGGGCTGTTTTGAGCTCTGGGCCTTGGCAATGAGCTGCATCCTCAACACTCCCCACCCCCATTTCCTGAGACAGTGTCTTGCTGTGCAGTTCAGACTTCAGCCTCCAGGTGCTGGGATTACAGGGTGTACCACCACGCCCAACCTGACTCTTTAATTTTTATTTTCTAAATTTTGAGCAAGTGGCTCCCTAAGGCACTCAATTCCTCAGGCTGGGCTTCAATTTGCAAGCCTCCTGTCTCAGCCTCCCAGAGCAGCTGGAATTACAGACCACTGTTCCTGGCTTCCTAGTCACTGTCTAGAGTCCACAGTGCAGTAGTGGTGGTGAGGGTAGAGTCACTGAAAGGAAGAAAAGATACCAAAGAGAAGTGCAGTGGCCCACAGGCAGGAGCTTGGCACTGCGTCTGAAAAGGCCGGAGAGAACCCAGGCGCCTCTACCAGCCCCAAACTTGGGAGGCCGAGGGAGGATGACTGGGAGTTTGAGGCCAGCTTTGTAGGCTCTGTAGGGAGACCTTGTCTCAAAAAACCAAAAACCATTTAAAAGTCATAAAAAGCCAGAGTTTCTCGGGAAGCCTGACCGAAGGGGACCCCGCCTCCAGCCTACCAGGGGTTGATGGGGTTGGTAACGCGAGAGCGCCAGAACAGCGTCTGCAGGTCCCGCCGCAGGCACTCCCACAGCATCTCTCCGGAGCCCTGGCCCTGGCGGCTGGCGCTCACCACAAACTTGTCCAGGTAGGGCGTGCCGCCCAGCACTGGCTCCACTGTCAGGATGGCCGCGGCGTTGTACCTGCCGGCGGGGGCGAGGCCTGTTAGGCCTGCTCCGCCCCGTCCCGCCCAGGCCCCGCCCCAATCCCCCGTAGGCCCCGCCCCTCACCCCTCCGAGACGTAGACTGAGTGCAGCCTTGGCCGCAGCGACGCCAAGTAGTCGTCGCGGAGCGTCTTGCCGAAGCTGGCGTTGACCAGGGTCACCAGCCGGGCCTGGTCCAGGCTGTCAAGGCTGCGCACGCGCAGCATCCGTTCAGCATTCTGGAACAGGGTCCCGGAGCCTGCGGGTCGGCGGAATGGTGGGTGGCACGGGGTGCAGGGAGGGGTTCGGGGAGGGCCGGGGGACGGGAACCCCTGCGGGACACTGCGGTCTGAAGAGCTCACCTCGTGCCTTTAACTTTGTCCCAAGAGGGTTCGTTTCGGACACCCCCGTGCCGCCCACACCGCGAGTCCAGCTAATGCTAGGCCCCGCCCACCTGAAACCCCTGACACCCCGCCAAAACCAAGCCCACCAGAGACTCGGCCCACTGACATGTCCCTCACCCTTGTTACTGAAGAGCTCCGTGAGCAGCTCACTCGCGGCAGTGACCACGGCCGAGCAGTGGCGCGGCAGGCGACTGAGCACGTCCGTGATGAGCCGTACTTGGCGCCGCTCGCGCGGGCTGGCCCACTTGGCGCTGCTCATCAGGTCCAGGTCGGCCGGCAGGTTCACGTTGCTCAGCACCTGCGTGGGTGCCGGGCGGTGAGCCGGGGATGCTCCTGTGGGGTGGCGCTGCCGGGGCTGGGGCCGAGATGGGGACGGTACCTGCTGCCGCGCGTCACGCAGCCCGCCCTGCGCGTTGAGGAAGATGGTCTTCGTGGGCTGCAGGGCCTTGGCCAGCGCAGCTGCCACCTCCAGCGAGTCCAGCAGCACGGCGCGGCGTGCGGCTGTCTCACCCACGGGACATAGGATTGGGATGCTCCCCGCCTCCAGACACCAGCGCAGCAGGTCGGTCTCCACCGCCACGATGCCGCCGTAGCTGTGGGACATGCCGGGCACGAAGGGGTGAGGGGCGGGACGCAGGGGACCCGGATGGGACCGGGGGCGGGGGCACCGCGCAGCCTCAAGACTCACCTGGCTTGCGGGGCTGGCTCAGCTGCGCTCAGCACCGAGCCCCCGCCGAAGAAGGGCACCGCGGCCGCCGCATTGTCGCGCAGAGCGTCCACCAGCGCCTTGCAGCTGCGCGCCAGCTGCGCCTTGGCGTCCCAGAAGGACAGACAGCCCGAGGGTGCGGTGGGTGCAGGCAGCCCCAGGACCACGAGCGGGCGCATGTCCATGCGCTGCAGGAAAGCCAGCGCGAAGGCAAGACTGGATACGGCGCGCGCGCACTCGAGCACCACACCGTCCACCTGTGGCATGGCGCGCGGTAAGGGCCTCGCCCGGTCCCCGCCACCGCGCCCTTTGCCCGCCCCACTCCGCCCTGCGACCTTGGACCCCACGGCGCCTGGGGGCAGGGGTGAAACAGCGAGGCCTCCTCCCTGTCCCCTCTCCCCGACCCCGCCGGCAGCGCACCTCGATGACCGCGAAGGGCCGGTCTCCCGCGGGGTGGCACGTCTGGAAGCGCGCAAGCCACTGGCGCGCCTCCCCTGGGCTGGCGCCGCACTGGCTCAGGAAGGCCTGGATGTCGCGCTGCACCAGTGAGCGGCCGGCGGGGGACGCCGCAGGGGCCTCAGGCGGTGGTAGTGGTGGTGGTGGTGGTGGTGGTGGTGGTGACGGCAGCGGGCGCGGGCGTGCAGGGCGCGATGAGGTGTGTTCTGCCTGGGCCTCGGCCTCCTCCCGCGATGTCCGCGCCCGCGCCCGCGCCGTGCTCAGCCTGCGCCCCGGGCTGGCGGCCCCCGCCGCGCCCCGCCGCGCGCTGCCGCTCAGACTGCGGGCGTCTCGGGGACCCCGTAGCCTCGGGACTGCCGCGCCCCGCAGGGCTACGGCGGCCAGCATCGTTGCCATGGCGACCGCCTGGCTGCCCCCACGCGTGTTCGTGAGTCTGCTAAAAGGCCCCAGATCTTAACGGACCGCGGGGCGAGACCTGGGTGGAGGCGGGACCTGGGCAGGGCCACAAGCATTGGAGGAGCTGAGCGGCGGGGCGGGGCGGGGTGTTAGCGGTGGGGAGGCGACCTATGGCCCGGGGTCACGAGGTTGGGGTGGGGGTGGTATAGTGTTTTCCTTTGCCTCCGGGACAGGTGGCGGGAAGGCTTTGGGGGATGAAGCAGCAGGTGGGGTTAGCTCGCTGTGGGGCGTGGTCGGGAATCCCGGTGTCCGGGTTCACGGCCAGGTGACTGGGTGGACCCAGAGTGGACTCACTACTGCCACTGGGGTCACTTCCGAGGACCTGTGGGATCTCAGTATGGAGCTTTAAACTTCGTTTTGCCTTGCTGGGACTAAATTGTGTGCAGGCCTTCACACTGAGCTGCATGCCCAGCCTCGGCTTTCAGTTTTGAGACAAGGTCTTGCTAAATTTCTGATTTAGCGGGGCGAGGTGGCTCCCTCCTGTAATCCCAGCACTGGAGAGGCTGAGGCAGGAGGACCATTATGAGTTCGAGACCAGCCTAGGCTACAAAGTGAGCTTTCAAGGCTAGCCTGAACCGCATAGAGAGACCCTGCCTCAAAAAGACAAAAATAAATAAATGATTTGCCCAGGCTAGGCTGAAATTTTCGATCTCCCTGCCTCAGCTTCCCATAGTACCGGGATGGACTTGTATCCCTGTGCCTGGCTGTACCAATGCTTTAAACTGTTGAACTGGAGTTCTATTCAGACTGACTGGAAGACTGCTGTCATTGGCCGGAGCGGAAGGACGCTCTGGTCACCAGTGTGGCCACTCCCGGGAGCCTGGGAGAGTGAGCTTACGCCCACTCCTAGGGCCACACAGTGCCAGGCTGTGCATCCAGTTCCTGATGGCACTCATCATCCCTGCAGTGCTCCCGGTCCAGAAGCTTGTGATCCCCCTTTTCCAGGTGAGGAAATGGAGGCACGGGGGTACTCAAGGGTCCGGGCACCCTGGTCCCTGACTGGGGCAACTGTGTCCAGGTCCGGCTTCACAGCGGGGTTCAGAACAGACATGGAAGACTTGAATTTCCCCCGGGGACCCAGGAGCCCAGCACCCCTGTAATCTCCAAGTACCCCCAGTGCAAGCTATCCTGGTACTCTGGCTTCTGGGAGGGGGATTGGCCGAGGCCTCTTCCTCTCCAGCTGGGCCCTAGACTTCTGGTCCATGCGGGAGTGGGGTGCTTGAGTGTCTGTGATGGCCGTACAGTGCTTTGGGGTGTGAGGCCTGGGTTCCATCCCCAATGCCAAAACAAGAATTAGTAAGCAGCCAGTTAATTAGATGAGTCTGGGGTGCTGGGCCAGTCTGCTGTCCCAGGCTGGCAGGCACCGCCCCGCCCCGTGACCTCCTGGACTCCTCCTACTTCTTCTATAGGGTTGGGCAGGAGGGCCTGCACGGTCCCCAGGGGTCCCTCTTCCCTCCCCTTTGGGCCACCGCCTCCCTCTTCCCTGCCAGCCCCCATGCCTCCCACACAGGCCCTGGGGATGCAGATGGGAAGGACTTGGCTCAGGACCGTGACAGTCTACCTGATCCTCTGAGCCTCAGGCTCAGCCTCGCACAAGGCACAAGATCTCGGTTTAGCGTCTCCCCATGGCCCCTTCGTCTTCCGTGGCCCTCTGTCACTGGGTCCCATGGAAGCCGTGGACAGGCCCGGTTCTCAGTCCTACCTCCCCAGGGGCCAGGCCACCTGGTAGGCCACTGCTTCCTGCCTTGCTGTGTCCCCAAGAGCCAATAGGACCCACGTGTCTCCTTGTGAACCATTAACTCCAGGCTGCTGACACCAGGTCCCTGGCCTGTCCTCAAGGGAGGCCAAGGTGGGCTGGAGACTGGCGCACTGTCCAGAGAGGGTGCTGGTACTGGGTGGCTCGGCTGCCCAAGCCCACCTCCTGGAAACTGGACTGGGGCTGGCACTGGGACTCTGTCTTCTTCCCTCCACCAGAGCGGGCTGCCCGCTGTCCCCGCTACCCACTAGCTATGTGCCAGGGAGAGGGTTCTGCTTCTCAGCAGGCCGGGATCCGGGGTCCTGGGAGCAGAGCTCCCCACCACCCCGCAGCCGGGCAGACCTGAGTATAGGTGAGGGCCAAGGGCAGAGGTGCGTTTCCTGGTGTCGCAGCCCTTGGGACCAGAGCCAGAGGGCGGGGCGATGCTTGCTGGCAGTGTGGGGGACTTGAGGTCCCCACACCACAGCTTCCGGAGGTTCTTGGCTGCTGTCTCAACAGGATATGGGCAGAGAGGCACAGCCCCAGGCTTCCCTGCTACTCCAGACGCCTGGCCCAAGAGCCTCTACCTGTGCTCAGGGTCCTGCCACGGTCACACATGAGCACGGGTGCCAGGTGGATATGGCTACCATCCTCTTCTGAGCCTGCACTGGGCAGCTGGGCACCTCACAAGCCCTCACTCTGCCTGGACAGCATCTTCTGTCCTCCTCGTACCCTGAACAACTTCCGAGCAGCCCACGCACCCATAGAGTGGATTCCTGCCCCTCCTCAGGCCTGTAATTTCAGCCATTGGGAGGCTGAGGCAGGAGGATCACAAATTCCAGCTCCATTGGCAGCCATAGCCTCTTGCATGGTCCCCCTTCTGGCCCTGCTTGCCCTGGGCTGGCTCAGTGCCCTGAGTTGGGGTGGCTGCTTTTGTGGCACTGGGAATTGAACCCAGGGTTTTGTACTGAGCCAAACCCCTATCCTTCTCGCAAACTTTTGATTGTGACACAGGGTCTTGCTAAATTTCCCAGTCTGGCCTGGGGCAATTTGAAGTCCTCCTGCCTCAGCCTCACAGTGCTGGATGACAAGTGAGCACCACTGTGCCCATTTCCCAATGCATCTGATGCCTCTGTGTCAAGTACTTTAATTCATTTAACCACTAGCTGTAGCTTTCCAGCTTAGGAAAAGATCTTAAATTAGTTTTTTAAAAAAAGAATTAATTACAAGAATAGTTACTCCCCCCCCCCTTTTTTTAAACAAGAAGGCTCACCTAGACTAAGTTCTTTACTTTAGAGGCTCTAATCCTTATTTAGATTCATATTCAAAGAAACGATAAAAAATTAATCAGGGAAATTTGAATACAAAGAATATGTGAGGTAACTGAGTTTTTTTTTTTTTTTTTGAGGTAACTGATTTTTTTTTTGTCTTTTTTTTTTTATCGGTACCGGGGATCGAACTCATGACTGCCTGCTTGCAAGGCAGGCACTTATACCACTGAGCTAAATCTCTAGCCCCTAAGGTAACTGATTTGTTAGATGCAATAATGATTGTGTTTTACATTTAAAAATTATTCCAGAGCTGAGGCTTGTAGCTCAGTGGCACAGTACCTGCTTGGTAAGTGTGAGCCCTGAGTTTGATTCCTGATAACAGACAAAAAATTATTTCACAGTCACCTCAGGGGGAGCGAGGTGAGTTTGAGGCCAGCCTGGGCTACAGGGTGAATCAAATAAATAACCCCACACTGCACTCTGAAATCCTAGCCACTCTAGTGGCTGAAGCGGGACAGTCACAGTTTCACATGCAGCTTGGGCACCTTGGTGAGACTGCCTCAGAATAAATAACAAAAAGGCTGGAGCCAGGCGTGGTGATGCACGCCTGTCACCCCAGCACTTGGGAGGCTGAGGCAGGAAGATTGTTGGGAGTTGGAGACCAACCTGAGCTACAGAGTGAGATTAAGCTATCTGAACTGTGTAGGGGAGACCTTGTCTCAAAAAGACAAAATAAAACAAAAATAAAAGGCCCGGATGGTGCAGCGCGCTCCGTGGGTGGGGACAGATGAAGAAAGCCTGGCTGAGACTCAGGGCTGGGTGACTCGGGAATAGGTAGACATTTTCCTTCTGTTTCCTCCTTTTTTTTTTTTTCCCCGAGACAGGTCTTGCTGTGTAGCCCGGGCTGCCTTAAACTCGCGGTAATCCTTCTGCCTCAGCCTCCTGGTGCCGGATAACAGGCGTGCACCACCACAGCCAGCTGCTCGCTTGGACATTTTCAGACTGAAAGACTCGTCGAGCTCCCGGTCCGTGTGCAAGGCGCCTTCTGACCTAGCGCCAACGCTCAGTCCCTTCCTCCCGGGTGAAAATGGGTAACACCCTAACTACTCCACGAAAGCGAGGACCCCTGATTTTGCGAGCCCAAGAACCCCGGAGTACGAGCTCTGCTTCCGGGGATCCCGAGCCAGGCCAGCAGGGGGCGCCGCTGCCCGGTGGTGTCCCGGCGCGGGGCGCGGTTTTCGCTGTTTTTTTGGGGGTGGGGTGGGGGTGGGGGTGGGTTTCGAGGACGCAGAGGCTGAGCGCGGCCCTCCGAAGCGCGGGTTCCGCGGACATCCAGACCTGGCTGGGTTTAATGCTTCGGTGGCGTCAGGTCGTGCAGTTGCGTCCGGAGCCGGGCTGGCGGCGCACACCTGTAATCCTGTACCCAGGAGGCCGAGGCAGTAAGCTCTTCAGCCTGGGGTACGCAGCAAGCCCCTGCCTCAAGATCCAAAAAGCCCAAAGAAATGCAGAAACCAGGCACAGCCGGCCGCCCCAGGCGCTCTGTGCCCAGCGCGGGGCTGAGTCTCCCCGGGACCCGCACTGCTGCGCTTCCCACTTGGGCCACCAGAGTGCATCTGAGGCAGGAAGGGCCGGGCAGAGGTGGGGTGTCCACATCTGTCTCCCAGAGGCCAAAGCAGCATGGGGCTTCACAGGACAGGGGGATGGGCTGCAGGCCCAGCACTCGGGAGGCTGAAGCAGGAGGACTGCATCTTCGGTCAACTGCAGGTTCGAGGGTCCTGGGTTCAATCCCCAGAGACAGAAAAGAAAACGAGAAAAAGGCGGTTCCATTCGGACAGCTGCAGCCTGAGACCCCTTACAAGGGAGCTGTCGGGTGCCATGGGGACCCCCACCCTGGGGTCTACATACAGCCCCACGGCGGCGGCTGCAGCCCCGGAGGGCTCGGCCTGCCTGGCCACGGTGTCTCGCGTCCTAGTGTAGGCGCACACAAGGCCAGCAGCGGCCACCAGGGTGCGCTGCGGTTCAGGTCCTGCTCCCGGCCCAGCATTCCAGGCCACTACCACCATGGGTCCTCTCTTCCCCATAGGGTCCCATGCTGCTTCTGGGAGGGGGAGCTCTCGCTCTGAGGCTGGGACGCAGGCTGCAGGAGGCTGAGGCAGGCTGAAGCAGGGGTTGGCTAGGGACACCAGGCACCGCAGCGACTCTTGGGCGGTGAGGAGCAGAGCCCCGGCCTGGCGTGGGAGTGCTGGCTGCCCAGGAGTACTTAGTACTTTTATAATAAGGCTGTTTATTTGTTGTCTGCGGTATTGGGGACTGAACCCAGGGCTTTTGCAGTGAGCCGCATTCCCAGGCCCTCACCCCTCTCCCAGAGCTGCCCGGGCTAGGTTAGAGGCTGCAACCTCCCGAACCCCTGGAGGCCAAAGTCTGGCCGAGGGCCTGTGCCCTGGGCATTCTGTCCCCACGCCCATGTCCCCTTCCAGACCCGTGGTTTGCGGTCTGCTTTGTCTCTGTGGACCACTGCCCTCTGCCTGGGTGACTTAGCTGTCCCCCTGCTGGGCGGGGCTCCCAGGGCACCTGTCACCCACTGCCACCACACTGGCCATCTCCTCTGACACCGTGGGGCTGGGCCCAAACCCCAGCCTGGGCTGAGCGCTGGTAGCCATCCTGGACCTGTACCCCTGGACAGCAGCCGCCCCCAGCTGAGTCCAGCCGGGCTGGGGGGAGCCTTGGAGCTGCTCTCCTGGGTCCCAGGTCCTAGGGGCTCAGTCATCCGGGCTGAGATCATTATGGTGGGGTCCAGGCTGTGTCCCCCCAGCTCAGGCACAGTTACCCAGGACAGGTATGGGGGGTGCAGCTCTGCCAGAGGGGTGAGGGGCACTGCTCCCACAATCTGTGCTGGCCACAGAGGAGGGGACCCGGCCCAGGAAGGCCCTGGGGTGCAGCCCACAGGGCCAGGCTGGGGCCTCCCCAAGCCGCTGCCTTTTGGTGAATGCTCTCGGCCTCCAGTGACCTGGAGTGCCCTTCTTCCTCCAGGGACAGTGGAGGACCCAGAGGCTGCAGGGTGGCACCGGAGACTGAGTGACCCGGGTGCCGTGGGTGATCACGTAATCCTGTCTGCACCCCGTGCCAGCCCCCCTAGGCGTGACCTGGGTACTCCCACACTGGTCACGGGGGCCTGCCCTGGACCCACCCCTCACACCTTAGTCCTGCCAAGCCTGACTGCAGGTGTCACCAGCTCCCCAACAGCCCCTGCCTGGAGGGCAGAGCTGAGGGCCTCAGAGCAGGACAGTCCCAGGGAGGAAGTCAGGATCCCAAGAGAACAGCAGGCTAAAGTGCCCACCCACAGACCACACTTTTGGGGTCTCTTCTTTCTTTGACTTCATTCTTCTCAAAACTTTGTGGTATTTTTACCCCATGGAGTACTGTTTGGCCGGAGACCACAACTTTTTTGTTGTTTTTGTGTTTTGAGATAGAGTCTTGCTATGCAGTTCAGATTGGCCTTGAGCTCACTGTGTAGCCCAGGCTGGTCTCAAACTTGTGGTGATCCTCCTGTCTCAGCCTCCCGAGTGCTGGGATGACAGGCTGTGGTCTACTACGCCTGGGGTGAGAAACATCAAAGCACAAGCTTAACTACGGCTTGATTTCTCTTAAGTGAGGAAGTTAAACATCAAGACAAAAACGGGGAGGAGACAAAAGCCAGGAGGGAACAAAAGCCAGGAAGGAGGACCAGGAAGGGGAAGGGCTGCCATCGCTTCCTGCAGACATGGCCGAAGACATTTTTTAAAATCTTTTGAGCCATGAAAGTGAGGGAGACTGTGAGACACACACGGGTCTAGCAGTTGCGGGCCAGGCCGCACCAAACGTCACAGGCGGCCTCTTCCGGACGCCCTCCCTCAGCGCCCTCGCGCTGTGCCCCACCAAGGTGGCGCCTGCTTCCCATGCCATTAACGCACTCACAGCTCCACCAGCCCCATTAAGGCCGTGCATTGCACCTCGGGGTTGTTTGCTTTTGTGCTGTGTGTGTGTGTGTGTGTGTGTGTGTGTGTGTGTGTGTGTATGGGCGAGTGCACGTGCCCACACCTGTGCTCATGGCACCATTAATCACTACCAGGGGAGGGCTGTGGATAAAAGCCCACAGGTGACAGTCACGAGAATTCAAACCCCAGCTGGGCAGTGCACAGACCCTTCCCTCCTGAGAAGAGAAAGGAAAACCAGCCTACTGGTTCCTGCCACTAAGCTGACCAGATGCAGGCATCCACGGTGACTTCAGTGTCCACAGTCCAGGTGCAGGAGTGGCTGAGGCAGGGAGGCAGGGTCCATCCGGGGGACCCTTCTGTCTCCCACCTGTGTCGTCAGGTTCTGGGGCTTCCGGACTGAGCCAGGCCCTGCGCTCCTGGACACACACACTGTCCAGGGCTGCTGCCCAAGTGCCTTGGCCCCCACCTCAGCCTTATCAGCACCGCTCGGCTGCTCCCCCGGATGCCAGGCTGCTGCAGAGATAAGCACTAGGCACACAGGCGGCACTCAGCTGTGCAAACACGGGTGGCACCGGACACAGGACAGGGACCAGAGCGGCACAGCAGGCTGCTGGGCCGTGGGGTTGGGTTGCTCTCCCCACTGCCCCCACCCAGTGTCCCCAGAACCTAAGTCCCCCGGGCTGGGCGTTTCAGGACTCCCACAGGGCTGGGGTGGCCGTGCCCGCCTTTCCCCCCAGAATCCCCAGGCAGTCGCTGACTCAGGGCACCCACCCTTCCCACACCCTGGGACACCTGGCTGAAGGTCTCTGGTGATGGGGGCCATGAGCAGCTGCCCCGTGCCCCAGACTAGGGACACAGAGGGTCACAGCTGGGACCATACAACCGTCTGTCCTTCCGGCTGTCCATCCATCCACCTGGCACAGGCACAAGGTTTGCTGACTGTCAGCTTCAGAGACTTTTCCAGAGTGGTATGTTTCTGCCTCTGCCGGAATCCAGTTGTTCCCGCCCCAGAGCCCCTATTTCTGCTACAATTTAAGCTACATTCTCCCTTTTTGGCATGACTCCAGTCTAAAAGGAAGCCTGCCAAGGACAGGTGTTCAACTCGTGTACTGCATAAGGGCACTGGATCTCAAGCTCTGGCCCCCACAGTGGACACCAAGCAGTGCATGTGGGATGCAGCATCCTCACCGGATGCTGGACCAGCAGGGCGGCTGCCACTCACAGAAACTCATGGGGCTCAAGGCAAGCGTGGTAAACAGTGACACCAAGGGGAGAGGTGTCCCAGCAGGCTGTCACTCAGAGGCAGGCTCTGTGCTGGCATGGAGGTGCCGCTTGGTGACCCCACGAGCTGGCGATGCGAAGGGAGAGGGTGTGGGTGTCAGGGACCGAGCTGGGCTGTGTCACTGCTATGCCTCTCTGCCTGCCCCGCTGTGTCTTCTCCTCTGAGACTCCCAGGAGGAAGCTGCTGCAACCTTGACCTCACTCTGAGGCCTAAGGCACTGGGACTCAATGTGACCTGCCCCATGCCCACACTGTCCCCAAACTGGGGTGACTCAGTGCCCAACAGCAAGAGTGAGCGATCCACAGGGCACCAGGGTAGAAATGAGCAGATGGCAGCTGCATGGTGCAGGGCTGACTCCCACAAGACCAGCTCTCACTGCGTAGCACAGGCTGATCTAAATCTTGGGGACCCTCCTGCCTCAGCCTCCTGAGCACCAGGATGCTGGGTGGGCTGTGCACTCCTTTGGCTGGTGACACATGCAGTGCTGAGCAGCAGAAGCAGAGGAAAGGAGTGGCCACCGCCCCTCCTTTTCTGTGGGTCACAGCTGTGGGACTCAGGCCTGGGCTGGCTCGGCTCCCTGGGTTGGGGCACGCAGGGGCCCAGGCAGAGGTGACCTCAACAGGGCCCTCTCCAGGGCTGCACTGGGGACTCAGGGAGGCCCCTCACAGTGACAGTGGAGGGGCCCTGGGCAGGGTGCAGAACAAGGGACCCAGAGCTGTGCTGTGGAGTCAGGAAGCTGGGAGAGGACCAGGGTACGGGGACTGGGCACAGGCTGGGGCAGCGACTTGGTGGTGGGAGACTCAGGCCAGGGGCGTGGGTTGCAGGCAGCACAGGGGCTGCACAAGTGTCCCTGGGGACTCGTGGTCCCTAGACCATTTTCTTGTTTTTTCTTTTCCACTGCCCCCGGGTGACAGGAGCCAAGCCACAGCTGCCCGTTCCCTCGGGTCCCCAGGCCAAGGGTGCTACTGCCCAGTGACCAGTAGATGTGTGAAGGGAGGCCACCTTGTCATCTCCCTGCTTGGGCCACCAGAGGCCCTGATGGCGTCGGGACCGAGGGACAGGAGGGCTGGGTTGCTGGGAGGAGCCAAGGGTAGTAGGGGCAATAGACCAGGGCCGGGGTCCCTGCGGTGCCTGGTGTGGCCCCCAGAAGGGGCATGTGGCAGCCAGGGCCCGGGAATCCCACCCATTATGCTGAGCTTCAGGGGGTTGGGGACCCTCCCCAAGTCACAGGGCACAGGGGCTCAAAGGGAGCCCAGCCCAAGGGAGGCTTTGTGCGCAGAAAGTTGGGGGAGGAGGGGCAGCCCGGAGGCATCCAGCCTCAGCCAGGTGCTCAGCGGACTGGCCCATCGCTCGGAGCCTGTGACACGTGGGTGAGGAATGGGTGACATGGCTGCCCAGTTGGGAGAGGCTTTTCTTTTAAAGACAAGTTCTCGCTGTAGCCCAGGGTGGCCTTGCACTCTCAGTACCCTCCCGCCTCAGCCTCCTGCGGGCTGAGATTTTAGATGCGTGCAGCGTCTAAAAGGGGCTGACTGCTCAGTCCCCTGCCTGTGAAGGATGGTGGCCGTGTCCCACAGGCTCTGTTCCTGGCTCTATTTTTCCTTTTCTCCTTTCCTCTATTAAAAAACAAGTAAAATCTGTCCAGAACAGAACCATGGATAAATTTGAAGGAAAACTGCACAGTGGCTGTGACCTTGAGTTTGTCTCCAGTGAAGCGCAGGGCTGGAGGGGACCTGCAGCCTCTTTATGGTAGCCATAAAACATAGCCGGCACTAGAGAATCTGAGGACACCAGAGCCCACATGGCCCCACCTGTTCCCTCTGCTCCTGACCATGGCAGAACCCAACCCGTGAGCACCCAAGAGCGGCCAGGGCAGGGTTGATTCTTTGCTGCACTAGGGATTTGCCCCTGGGTCAGGCAGAAAGCAGCCTGAGGTTTTTTTTCATGGGATTTAGTTCAGCGGCTCGAGCACCTGCCTGTAAATGTGAGGTCTTGAGTTTGATTCCTGGTAGAAAAGAAAAAAACCCTGATTTTAAACTGGGCATGGGAGCTGGGCGTGGCGGCACAGACCTGTAACCCCAGCACTTGGGAGGCAGGAAAGGCAGATGGTGTGGCCTTAGGCATCTATTCAAGGGTCTGGCACTGTGTGACTTCAGCTCTTCCTCAACGTCAAAATGACCTTGAAAGGTCAAAGGGTTTTTGGGCTTTTATTTGAGACAGGGTCTCACTGTGTAATTCAAGCTGGCCTTGGACTTGATTTGTAGCCCACAGTCTTTGAATTTGCAGTGATTCTCTTGCCTCAGCATCCTGAGTGCTGGGATGATGGGTGCGCACCACCACAAAGTTGATGTGTTTCTTTTTTCTTTTGTCTTCTTTTTTTTTTTAATTTTTTTTATCGGTACCAGGGATCAAACTTAGGACTGCCTGCTTGCAAGGCAGGCGCTTATGCCGCTGAGCTAAATCCCAGCCCCAAAGCTGATGTTTTTAATGGATTTAGGACATACAGGCAGCCAAGACAGTGCAGCTCAGAGTCTCAGGAAAGAGGACACTGCAGCTGCTGCCGGCTGAGGCCTCTTATTCTGACTTCACACTAGGTCCTTGCCTTGCCTTGGGATCCCGGCCTGTGTTCTCCTCTGAGCCTGCACACAACCCCTCTCAGCCCCCCAGCTCATCGCCTCCCCTTTCCGGGTTCTTCCACATGGTGAAACTGGCAGTGCGGCAGCAGCCATGACTGCGTGCGAGGCGGTGGCTGGGGAATATCACAGTGGTTCCCTGGCCCTGCAAGCACCCCTCCACTCTCCTGGGCTCTCTTTCCAGCTCTTTCAGCTCAGTTTCCAGGGAAACAACTCTTTACACATTCGTACCCCCTAACTGCAGGTCACACTTGGTTGACATAGATGGCTATGGTGACAAACACCTGTGGAGTGGCTGGAGGACTCCTGTGCGTCCTGTGGCCCAACGGTTTTCTAGGCAGCTGGATTCAGAGGAAGAGTGGCTTGCGGCGCCCAGACCTAAAATTCTAACTTCGCGTCTGGGCCCGTAGGCAGTGCCCGTCCTGGGGCCTCGGGGCCTTGGGCATGCATCAGGCTGCAGAACAAGTCTCGGGCATGTGGCAGGCCTGTGCCATGGGCGTGTCAGGGACGTGTCATCAGTGTGCACACTGTTTTAGGCATAGAGACCCAAGCGTGAGCCCTCTTCCCAACTTGGCTCTCAGAGCCACCTGGGCAGCGGGTAGCAAGGGACCGTGGCATGGGTGACACTCCCCGCCTTCCCAACCACTTGCCTGCCCTCCCTGTGTCCCTGCCCGATACCTGTCTTCCCCTGTCTTCCAAAGTTGGGGCAGTTGCTGCCTGGCATGGAGCCAGCATCCTCCCCCCAGAGCCTCTGGAGCCCCCCACAACTCCTCACGGGGCTCAGTGTCCTGGGCAGGTCCCCTCAGGCAGACCCACCCCATGTCCTTCTGTGAACACAGATCTCTGCTGTCTGCTCTGTCGCTGCACCCACCACAGAACCCAGCACAGGGCAAGGCGTCACAAGTACTTTTTCCATGTGGTGCCAGGGCCTGAACCCATGGCCACCCCCATGCCAGGCGAGGGGCACTCCAGCCCCCTTTGTGAGATAGGGTCTTAGTAACTGCCCCAGCTGGGCTGGAACTTTTAATCCTCCTGCCTCAGCCTCCCAAGTAACTGGGATGACAGGTGAGTTCGACAGGGCCTGGCTGCTTCTTGAATGAGGACAGAGTCACCTGCTGAGTGGCCTCATGGTGGCTGGGGACCCAGGTTGGAAGATGTGGCTGGGTTGCTCAGGGCCTGACACACGGAACAGGGACACTGAGAGATAGATACCATGGGCGGGGCCCAAGTGGCGAGGTGAGGGGACCCACCTTGGTGCGCAGCCCCAACCCTCAGGCCCAGGTCCTTGGCTTCATTGCCCCGGCTGGCCCTGTCAGAGAGCTGAGCAGGGGACGAGCCCTGTGCAACTGCCCCATCGGGGTCCCGGTCTGTCTCAGGCTGCCTAGCACAGTTGTTTGCTGGTTTCTGGGCTATTGGAACTGCTCCTGCCCATCCCGCCTGTGGGGCCACATCAACAGGACCAGCTCAAGGTGAGGGGCAGGGGTGCGGGGCATGGGGCAGTGGTACTGATCATCCTGGGAGGCAGTGATGCACGGGCCAGGCCCGTGCAGCAAAGGTGGGGCTTCGAGGGAGCGGGGCCTCCTCTTGGCAGTGGGGCCCTCAGGAGCCACAGGTGCCCCAGAAAGCTGCTTGATGGCCTCCGGGGATGTGGGATTCCCAGTTCCCTCACCTCTCTTTTTGGGGTCACTTGGCTGGCGCTGCAAGATCAAAGGAGGCCCGCACCCTGGCCTCATCCCCTTAGCAGGGTCTCCTATGTTTGTGTTTTCTTGCAGAGATGGGATTTGAACCCAGGGCTTCTGTGGTCAGAGCTGCCCTTACCGACCAGCCTCACTCCCCAGCCACCCTCATGTCACATGGGTGCGTGGCCTGTCCTCCATTCGAGACCTGCATGCGAAGCCTCGATGTTTCTGCCTCTGCTTCAGCCTGGGCATAGCTCTTCTCCCTGTGTCCATCTGGGACCTCCTGAGATGGGGTCCCCAAGGAGGGACAGCCCTTCCACCCCAGAGGTATGGCTGGGACCTCACCCCAGCCCAGGAACCCCAAGATGCAGCCTCCCTCTTCCTCGTTCCCCAGACCTGGCACCCTAAGAGACCACTCTTCCCCTTCCCCCAGGTCAGTCGTCTCTGCCTGGTAGCCTCGCCCTCCTCATCTCCTGCCCATCGAAGGGCTCTGTGCTTCCTGGGTTGCCTAGGGCCAGTTCCGGAGTGTGCGTGCGGGTGACTGAACCCATAAAAAGACCATCAAGGGGCCCAGAGAGCTCTAAAAATAGCGGCCACAGCCATCTGTCCTGCGGGAGGATGGGACAAGCCAATGGCCCCTGCCCGCGCTGGCCCTGGGGGCTCCGGCTGGGGGGGGGGGAGGGACTCCCCCATGGCCCTGTCCCATTCTCCTGGCCTCTCAGGCTTGGTCCCCGGTTGCCCCCAGCCCAAGGGGCCCCCTCTGCCCTCTTGATGGATGAGGCCATGTTTCTCCTGTGCAGTCGTCTTGTGCTACTGTGTCCCTATCTGTAAACTCCGGTAAACTGAGCCCATGGCTGTGTTGTGCCAGAAACTCAGACCCCAGTAAACACCACCCTCACTTCCCTCCCACCATGGCCCGGCACCCGGGGAGGCTGGAGCGGGCAGGGGCGGTGGCACACATCTGCGCACTTCAGTCCCATTGCTCCTAAGGTCTTGAATGACGGGTGGGGGGCCCTCAGCCGCACCAGGCTTCCGGGGCTACCCAATTCTCAGCGGACGAGGACAGGACGCCAGGCAAGATCCCACGCTGGCCCAAAGCAGAGGCAGGGGTCACGCCCAAGGCCTCCCCGCCGCGCCTCCCCTGGGGCAGAGCTGCGCGCAGGGCGTGGGAGGCACACGCGAGGGGGTAAATGGGGACAGCACCGCAGCCCCAGGCAGGCGTGTACCCCGCCGAGGGGAGGAGCCTCACATCGCCCCACCCATTACCACCGGGATATAAACCCCAGCCTGGCGTGGGAAAGGCAGAACCTGGGCAACGTGTCCCGCCCTTTCCCGCCCTCGTCTTTGCCCTGCGTCTTTGCCCTGCTCTTCTCGCTCGGCGCTGTGGCTGTGAGTGGGGAAACTGAGGCCGGGATGAGAAACAGAGAGGAAATGGGGCTGGGAGAGCCAGGCGGGGGCGGGTTGGGCTCTGGACTGACAAACGGGGAAACTGATGCCGGGTGGGTCCCGTGTCCCCCAGATGGAGCTGGTGCACAGGCCTGCCATGGCCGCCGTGCTGCTGGCCCTGCTGGCCAACCTGGCTGCGCTGGTCGACGCCTACCCCTCCAAACCTGAGGCTCCGGGCAGCGACGCCTCGCCTGAGGAGCTGAGCCGCTACTACGCCTCGCTGCGCCACTACCTCAACCTGGTCACGCGGCAGCGGTGAGCGCGGCCCCCATGTGTCACCCGAGTGGGCACGGCTCATGGTGGCCCCGCCCCTTTCCAGAGGCCCCGCCCACGGCAGGCTGGCCACACCCTCCGAGTCCCCTGTAGTGGTCACACCCAAAGAGCAACCGGTTTGACCACGCCCACTCGCACTCTGGCGGCCACGCCCACTCGTATTCGAGTTGATCACGCCCACCCCCTGACCACGCCCACTCCCAGCCCACCACGGCTCTACCCGAACAGGTATGGAAAACGTGTGGCCCCGGAGGTGGTGCCCCCTGGCCTCCTGTCCCCGGCCGACGCTGAAGATCGGCTCATTCCACGAAGATCGGGTAAACGCGCTTCCCAAGCACTGTTGGCCTAGGATCACGGCCACCTCCAGACTTGATTCTCCTCCTCTCTCCTGAAGGCCGGACTGCGCCTACCCGCAGTGAACACGCGAGACCCGGACACGCCCGCGGCGCACGACCTCCTGTTTGGGGGAGGGGGCTCCTCCATGTCTTGGTCCCCAATAAAATACAGATCTCAGACTGACCACGTGCGCGTGCCTCTTCTCTACCCCCTTCCCGCTGAGGGCGTTGGGGTGGGTGTGAGGATCCCAACGTGGAGACCCCAGAGCACCCGGGACCTGCGGGCAGCGGGGACCCTGTCGATGGATGGAGGGGTGGGGCGGATGGCGGGACGAGGGTCGCTTCTATCGCCCCCACCTCTCCCCACTAAGTTCTCTGGTGGCAAGGCCGCAGGACACCCTCCAGGGTCCCCTTCCCAGCCTGGACACCACACCAAACTGCAGGTACTGCAGTGTGGAAACCACGGTCCACCCCAGCCAAGCCGCAGAGCCCAGGAAGTGGCCCCCAATGGCCTCTGCTGTGACCACTACCTGTGTTCCAACCCCTCCGGGGCAGGGGACCCTGCAGGAGGCTGGCTCTGCAGATGCCTGGGAAGGTGATAGGGGCCGAGGGGGTGGACGGCATGAAGGCCTGGCCCATGGATGCTGTGGCTGGGTGACCCTGAGGACAGCAGCTCTGGAGCTAGCTCCATGCAGCTGTTTGGGAGGCTGAGGCACTGGCACCCTAGGGCTCCGAGGCCTCATGGCACGGGGGTCACCACCTAGAAGCCAGTTCTGGCCCTGCCCAGAGATCCCAAGCTGTCTGGATGCTGGCAGCCAGCAGCCTGGTCAGTGTGAGGCCGGGGAGGCTGCAGGCCAGGAGACGGCCAGTGGCCACCAGCGACACTAGAGTGTTCAGCAGCTGACCTGAGGCCACCAAAGAGCAGTCTCTGCTGTGACAGTGACAGTGACCACAGTCCTGCGGAGCCTCACTGCTGTGTCCGTGGTGATTCTTGGGTCTGTGCTGGGCAGGGCTGCCTGAGCCATGGGGTCACAGTCAGAGGTCACCTGCTGGCTGGACCTCCCTCTCTACCCCCATGCTGACATCACCCAGGGTCACAGGGGCTGGCTTCCCAGCTATGTCCCTGGAGGCCCAGCAGAAGCTGTGCCAGGGTACCCAGAGGCCACATCCCAGATGCCCTGGGGCGTAGTATAATGTGTACACAATGTCTCCCCAACTCCCCCACATCTATGAGAAATTTTAATTTACAAATTCGACACAGGCCAGATGCGGTAGTGCACATGTGTATTTCTGGTACATGGGAGGCTGAAGCAGGAGGGCCCCTGCAAATTCAAGGCCAGCTTGAGCTAGTCAGTTCCGGGCTACCCTGAACTACATTCAGAGATTGGGCCTCAAAAATGAAAACACAGAAAGAGGTGGCCAGCAGTAATGAACAGAACAGTGGTGACACAGGGCACAGAAGTTGTGCAAATGTGGTCCTTGAAAATAGGAAACCCCGGAGGAGCAGGGGCTATGGGGTAGTTTCCCTTGGCTGCTACAGAATCAACAGGGTACCCCCAAAGATGGCTCTGGACTGAAGCATCAGCAGGGTTGGGGCCTCCAGGGCTACCCATCCCTCCTCCGTGCTGCCAGGCTTTAGAACTAAATGTCCTCCATGAAGGACTGAAGTCACACTGGGTTCAGGGCATGCAGAGGCGCAGCCAGGGCCCGGGCCCCACCTTGCTGACCCAAGTTCCACACTAAGCCTGAGCAGTATGGAGGGGGTCAGGAGAGGAGGCGCGGGGGCACTGCTCGCCTCACCCAGCATCCTCCAATCCGCAGCTGCATGGGTTTGGGAGTCAGTCGTTAACTGAGTTAGGTGGGATGACCTGGGGATAGGACCTCGGCCACCCCATGGAATCTGTGTCCCACTCCGGCCTCCCTACCAGGCCTCAGTGGACACAGTCCCAGGTAACGATGGCAGCCAGCTCAGGATGACCACGGCCTCGCCTTCCTTCTCTATTTTTTGAGATCTCTATTTTGTCATCCTGGCCAGCCTTGAACTCACTATGTAGCCCAGGCTAGCCTTGAACCCACGGTGACCCTCCTGCCTCAGCCACCCAAGTGCTGGGGTCACACTGTGCACCACCATGCCCATACCCGTCTTCCTAGAGCAGCTTCAGGTCTCCTCCTGGCCTTCAAACCCTCCCACACCCGTGTTTCCCTCTGTCCCTTGGCACTGGGGACGCAGCTCGTGGTGACTGTAGCACCCATGCCAGGGCGACGGTAATGTGGGAACCTTGAGATGGGCGATGGGGGCCCTGGGTCTCCCACCTACCTTTGCACAGCCTACACCTGGGGTTTTGGGCTCTCTGTCCCTGCTGAGGGTATCTGCTGCCCGAGAGGGCCCAGGGAAGGAAGCATTGCAGTCCTGCTGTGACCTGGCTGGCAGAGGGGGCAGCGTGGGGTGGGCAGAGGGGGGAGGGAGAGGCCCTCCTGGCAACCTGAGGTCAGCAGGCAGCGCTGGACCCTGAAGGGCACTTCAAGCGGAGTTTCTTAACTGGCTCCTGGGAGGTCAGCATCTGCAGCTCTGTTGCAGGCCCTGAGGCCACAGTGGCCACCTCTGGTCACTTAGCACCCATGGGCGCCTGCCTCGAGGGGCTCTCATACACCCTGGGACACAGGAGGATGGGGGAGAGTATGGGGTCTCTTGGAGGCTGAGGCAGGAGGGTCACACACTCAGGCTGAGCCAGGCCAGCACAATGACTGAGGGAGATGCTGTTCCAGAACAGCAAGGTTTACAGAGGCCGGGCTGTGGCTCAGGACCAATCTCGGTGCACGGAGAAGGACAAGGACACCCACACCTCGGCCTCTGCCTCCCTTATCGCCACAATGTCACCCCGAGGACCTGGACTCTGCTGTTCGTGGGGGCAGTGGCCTGCTGCAGGACAGGCCCAAGCACGCAATGGCCCCACTCAGGCAGTGGCAGGGCAGATTGGAGGCCACCCTGACCAGCGCCCCCTGGTGGCCTCTCTCTGCTGAGGAACCCGCAGGAAGGGCCAGGCCATGGGCGGGCTAGGCATTAGGCTGGAGGAGTGTGTGTGTGTGTGTGTGTTCTCCCGACCTGGGCGTGGCAGCGGAGAGGACAGCCAACAGGAGCGGCCAAGGGTTCCCGCTCCCTGCTGGGCTGTGTGATCTTAGTCCCACAGAGGGTAACAGTGTCCCTTCTGTCCCCCCAGTACTTCTTGGCATTTAGCTCTGGAGCAGGGGAGCTCTGGGGTCAGAGGTCATTGGCTTCAACAGCCACAGACTGATCCGGGCAAGAATACAGAAGGGAAACTGAGGCCGCAAGGAGGCCTGGGCAAGCGGTCCACCTCAGTGGGCCTGTTTCTTCCTTCCCTTCCCCTGCATTACTGGGATGGGGCCCAGGGCCTTGCTGCAGCCCCAGGGCTTTTCAGTCTTTAATTTTGAGGAAGGATCTCCTCCCTGCATCACTGAGTTCCCAAGGCTGGGCTCCACAGAGCCATCCTCCTGCCTCAGCCTCCCAGAGTGCTGCGATCACAGGTGGGGTGCCCCCGTGCCCAGGCTGGCAGCCTCCCGTCTCTAGGCCGAGGGGCTTATACCAGGATGTGGACAGTCACACTTGGGAAGGAAACACCCGGTTTTGGGAATGGGTTTTATTTCAAACCCCAGATCCCAGGACCAGCTGTGGGGTCCAAGCAGGCTGCAGCTTCCAGGCTGCTCAGGGCTGAGGGGGCTCCAGGCGTCACCCACACACTGGCTCTCTCTCCCTGGCACGGGAATCGAAGCGGTGACAGGACTGTGGTGCCTCCTTCTCCCAGCCCAGGGTGAGTGTGTGCCCCACACCCTACGCCTGGCCCACTCCTCTCCACTGAGGACCAGAGTCCCTCCCTGATCTCACTGCTTCACTGCATACCCGCCCTCCGCAATGGCCACCACGGGCCAAGCTGGGCTGCCCGGAGCCTCCTCCAGAACCTGGAGGCGGACCCACATCACCTTGGCGGCCTGCCCCTGCTGGGATTCTGGCTGCCCGGGGGGGGCCGTGTGGAAGGGCTCGGCGCTCACCCGTCTACATGGGCGGGCACTTGGCCACCTCTGCCCACTCAGTGGCCTGCCTAGCCCTGGCCCTTCACGGCTCAGGGGGTGCAGGCGCCAGGGAGGCGGAGGGCAGAGAGGGTGCACACTGGGCAGCGGGCGGCCATGGGGCGGGGACATGGGGGGCTGGGAACTATAAAGTGAGGGCGCAGAGCTGGGAACCCACCTGCATCTAGGAGCCATTCCGCCCGTGCCGGCTCCCTCAGGTTCAGGGTGAGTGGTCACTGCTGTGGTCCTCTGTTCCCTAGCTCCCTGGGTGCCCCCATGGGTCTGTGGCGTCCCAGCTGCATTCATGCCTGGCTTGGGCAGCCACTTAGGAGCCGGTAGGGTTCCTTCTGGCGGGGTGGAGGGCCAGATACAGGGCACCCGCTGTGCTGTGTCCTGTGCCGACTTGGGTGACCCGGGCTGGCTGCATCCATCCTGTGTGTTAGATGACCGCCACCCGCTGCTGCTTGTGGCTGCTGCTCCTGGGCACTTGCATGGCCCTGCTGCTTCCGGAAGCCTGGGGAGCCCCCCTGGAGCCTGTGTACCCCGGGGACGACGCGACGCCCCAGCAGATGGCTCAGTACGCAGCCGAGATGCGCAGATACATCAACATGCTGACTCGGCCCAGGTGGGCGCGGCCCTGGCTGTCACCCAGCCCCATCACCCAGCCCCAGTCCTGGCCCTGGCCCTGGGCATCGAGGAGGGTGACGCCCAGGCTCAAACAAGGCAGTGAGCCGGCAGGGGGCGCAGCACCAACCCAGTGCCTCCTCCGCCCCCAGGTACGGGAAGAGCGCCGAGGAGGATGCGCTGGGCTTGCCGGTGTGGCGCCAGTCCCACGCGGCTGCCCCGGGTGGGTCCCATCGCCACCCACCTGCCGGGCTCCCTGCAGCTAAAGGGGGAACAGGGGTGTCTGGCAGCCCTCCGAAGCCATGGGACTGTCTCCCCTGCCGGGCCCACTCTCTCCCCTCGCAGAGCTGAGTCCGTGGATGAGCAGCGCCAGCTACCAGCCCTAACCTCCCCCCCCCCCGCGCCTCTGCCCCCTTCCGCTCCACAATAAAGCAAGCGGACCGCAGCTGCCTGCGTTTCAGTCTCTGCCCGGGGAGCGGGCTCCGCGTCGCTTCAGGGGGACCCTGGGCCCGCCAGCGGGCAGCGAAGGGCAGGCGCAGGCTGCGTGCTTCCAGGCCACCTGGCCTTCTTGACCTGCAGCACCGCCTTGCTCTCGGCAGAAGCCGGGTTCCAGTCCCAGCACTTAGTGAGCTGGGCTGGCTCCGCCCTCCAGCTTTGTGGGCCGAGGACCCCTGGCCTGTGCACCAGACACCCCCGACGTGTGTGCATGTGCGTGCGTGAGTGCGCGAGTCGTGCGGGGAGTGGCTGTGCTCGCCTTCTCCCCTCTTCTGGGGCTTGGCCTCCCGGAAACAGGGGACAGGGGACAGGGGGCAGGGAATGGCACGGCAGGTGGGAGCGCAACCTGCAGGTGCCTGCTGGGCGGATGCTGGGTCCCCTCTTCGGCTCAGCACCTCGGCGCAGCACAGAGCACCCGGACGGCCCCAGCCCCACCGCGCGCAGGCGTCTGCAGGCCGCGGTGGTACCGCTGGGCTGTGCATCTCATCCCCGCGCGGGCGTGGGTCTGCGGGGTGACTCGGACCGCCGTGAGGCGACGGGCGGAAATCAGGGCCCTGGGGGTGGCCTGTGCGGGCAGCGCCCCCGCAATGCTGCCATACTTGGGTCACCACCCTGCTGCACGGTGCCACTCAGGCTCCTGCTCTGCCCACGTGCGGGCTGTTGCCCCGGGGCGCGTGGAGGTGGGGAAGCCCTAGTCCCCACTCAGAAGCCAGGGAGGCCACCGTGCTCTAGTGCCTCTTTATTGCTCTTGAGGGTGGGAGGAGCCGGGCCCCATGCCCACGCAGGGTCCATGACGTCCTAGTCGGGGCCCTGGGGGGAGGGGGCAGCAGAGTTCCGAGCTCTGGCGCCTATCGCAGCGTGGGGCTTGGGAGGCTCTGGGATTCCGTGGCTTTCGTGGTGTTCGTGGCGCTCGAGGTGTTCGTGGCGATCGTGGGTTTCAGCTGGTTTATGGGTTTCTTCGCGCTGGGTAAGACGCGTCTGCGTAGGTCCCGCACGCACGCGTGTGGGGTGCCTGGAGCCCTTGCCCCCAGAGGACCTCGGGGTCCACCTGCTGCCGAAAAACTTCGCTATGTACTTGGTGAGGTGGCCGAAGTTGGGAGAGCCAGCCGACCAGTGCAGGCTCGCGGCCGCGGGCATCTGCAGCTCCGCGCACCGGGCTCCAGCAGCAACCACCCCAGACAGCTGACGCCAGTGCGCAGGCGCAGCCCAGGGCCGCCGCCTGCGGGTGGGAGACCTGCAATGACACGCGGTGCAGGTGGGGGCAGAGGTCACGTGATGCCCGGGTCTTGCAACCCAAGGGACAGCCTGGGGCCCAGGGCGCAGCGTGCGCCCGCTAGCAAGGTGTGGGTCCTAGGGAGCGCCCGTGAGCCCAGCGTTCGGAAGCTGAGGCGGGAGGATGGTCAAGTTCCAGGCCAGTTGGGCGACTTAGGGGGAGCCCCTTCCAGAACAAAACGGGCGCAGCGAGAGCGCGCTGGATTCAACACCAGCACCGCAAAAACCAGCAAATGGGGAGTGCGCCCTGTAGCCTGACTTTCCCTTGCCGAGCCTCTCCCCCTGCGCCCCCTCCGTCGCCGACCTGGCTGGGGCATCGCCTCTGCCGGAGCGCCGAGCTTGCCGTCTACCTGCCCCACTGCTCCGCAGGCGTCACTCGCCGTGTCCCAAGCTCATCACCTGCTGTCTGAGGCCCTGTCCAGCCACTGGGCGCGGCCAGAGTTGCCCGTGAAAGTGGCACCGGAGCCCAGAAGGTACCAGGGCTGTGGCAGGCGCTCAGCGACTCAGCCCAGGTCAAGTGAAGAGCGGGCTGCTCACGGGGACATCGGGGGACCTCACATCCCGCTGAGTGCAGGGCGCGGGGAAGCCCTCAGACCACACTCTCCCTCAGCCTGACAGGCAGCCGAACCCTGAGCCCTCGCTGCCACTCTCAGGGACCTTCCTCGGCTCCACTGCCTCTCCCATGGTCTGGGCTCCAGCACAGCGGATGCGATGGTTCCTGCGGGGCAGTTGACGTTACCATGCTGTGGTAAGGTCACTGGGCTGGGGCCGGATTGGGCAGGACTTCGGGGCCTGTATGTCCCCTAGGCCTCTGTACTCTACCCTCTGCCTGACCTCCTGTCCCATCTCCGCAGGCAACAGACAGGTGGATGTGGACACTCACGGGCTATTGGCTGCTCTCCCTTGGGCACTGTTCCTGCCATCCCTGGTGGTAGGTGGGACACATAGGTGACCTTTTGCTCCAGGTACGCAGGCTAGGGCCGAACTGGCCCTGGGTCCCGATGAACTGTCCAGAGACATGAGACCCCTTCCTCGAAGTCAGGGCTGCCCACAGGCCTGCTCCACCGCCCACTGCCTGCTGCTGCTGGTGCCACTGGGCCCTGTGCCGGGCAGGGGGTCCTGGGGCCTGGGCCTATCCTTCTGGTGCAAAGATTCCTGGGGCCACCTCACCGAGGGAGGGCACTGCAGTGGGGAGCAGTCTACAGAGGGAGCCCGGCTCACCACCTGGTCACATGACACATGACAACCCAGAGTGCTGCCCTCCTCCACGGGGTTGCCTGGTGCTCACCTGTGTCCTCCCTTGATCTCAGGGATCCCCTAGTCAGGCACGGCCTGAGCAGGACGTGTGGCCATGTGGCACTGTCCAGCACAGGGGAGGGTGCATTCCTCGGTGGCTGCCCCAGCTTTGCCTGCTCAAGAACTGCTTCCCGCTGACTGCACCCACCTGTCTACTTATCACCTATGGGGTCCCAGAGCTGCTGAGGAGCCCGGCAGCTTTTCTGTGCCTCTGCCTGTCGAGTCTCTTTGGTTCACCTCCGCCAGACCCCTTTGGAGCCCTTGGACCCTCCCTGTCCTCCTGTCTCCCAGGGCTCTGCCCCCAGTGTCTGGGGGAGCTGCCTAGCTGAGCCCCCAGAGAAGAGGAAAGAGCTGTGTCCACCCAGCGACTTCACCCACTGCCTGGAGTACAGCACAGGTCTGGGGTTTGTTGAGTGAATAGCTGTTAACCATCTTATTTGGGTGTGGGTTTCACTTCCCTGCTGGATGAGACCAGAGTGTCTTGGAGAACAGCATTGACTTCTGGGGCCTGGCTCCTGCCTGATCCAGGGATGATGGGGATGCCCCCGGGATGTGGGGACCCCCTCACATCTCAGTGCTTCAGGTTGAGCATCAAGTGTCCCTGTGTGTTGCCCTGGTCCAGGTCCTGGGTGAAGACTTCCATTGGGTTCTTTCTGGGACGCAGTGGGAAGCAGTTGTGCAACCCAAGTCAGGATTGGGGATGAGGCCTGTGGGGCTGCCTCCTCAGCTCCCCCACACAGCTGCAGCCCAGCGTCACTGTCCACCGAGGGGTGTTTCCATCCCCCAGAGAGAAGCCACTGCCCTCGGCCCCTGGCTGCCCAGTCCTTTCCATGCAGATCCCCCTGTCTTGGACCTGGCCTGTGTGTCTGGCATGGAAGTCACAGAAGCCAGGCGCGAGGCTCCTGTTCTCCAGTGCCCGTTAGCTGGCAACAACGTGGCCTTCCCATGGAGGGCGACAGCTCCGCCACAGCTTCTGGCATCATGTGCCAGGCTAGCATGGGCCACTGGCTTTTCTCGGCCTCTTCCTTCCTCTGGATGGCGGGAGATCTGGGCCTCGAGGACCAGGAGGGGGAGGGGTTTGGGGAAAGGCTGTGCTGGAAACCAGCAGCTTGTGCTCTCATGGGATGGGCTTTCCAAGGGATGGGACATGCGTGAGTCCTGTTAATGGCACCAGCTCTCAGGCATTGTCCAGGATCAGTGAGGACCAGGGCGGGCGCTGTGGCTGGGTGTGGCCAGCTGGTTTGTCCCCTTCCTGTTCTGAGGTCTGAGGTCTGTCTCCAGGCTGCTCCTCTTGGACAGCTGCAGGTTCTCTGGGTGACACCAGCTCAGGAGGGCTATGGCCCAGAGGGCCAGGACTCCTGTCCAGCTTGGTGTGACTATAGCTGTGGCCTCTGAGAACATCGGGCAGTATGTCTTCCATCATGAGTAGGGGCAGGGCGAGGTCTAGGCCCTGCATCCTCCAGAGTGTGGCAGGGATCTCTGGGAGCCCCACCTTGCAGGACTTCCATGGCCACCCAGCAGCACTGACCAGGGGACTGAGTCCTAGAAGTCACTGCCTCTGGAAGCACTGGGCTCTTGACTCAGGCCCCAGCCAGCACTGCCACTCCAGAGTGGAGCAGTGAGAGCTTCGGAGGCCTCTGGAAACCCTTGCAGGGAAGGTGTCACCATTTTGAGGAGCAGTGGGGCGTGGAGAGGTGGCAGTGGATTCACAAAGGAGTCGGGGCCACAGGGAGGAGGCTGAGGCGGAAGCAGCCCTGGTCCCCACACTGGGGCTCCGTGACAGGCTCCTGGGGGACTTGCAGCGAGTTAGTGAAGGTGTCTGCACTGAGTCTACATGAAATGGAGATGGGGTGACCCATGCCATGGAACGGGGAGGGGTGTGGTTTAGTGAGAAGTGGCTGGCTGTTCCCGGGTCCTTCTCACTGTGGATGCTTCAAAGGTCACTGAGTCCAGCTGTCTCTGCAGCCACCACAGTTTGGTAAACTGAAGAATAATCCAAAAACCAGGCAGATCTCTCCCCTGAACTGTGCCCTGTGGGCAGGGTGAGTCCGTGGGCCCCTTGACCCTGGGCGCCTTGGGCAGCTGACTGGGTTTCCCCCAAGCCCGAGGCCCATCTGGGCAAGGGCAGGGCCCATATGGGCTGGAGAAAGGTAATGAGGGGTCCCCCTTGGCCCTGACGCCAGTGCTGGGCATCCCTGTGCAGGGGTGGGCAGGAGGCCCCATTGCCTTCAGTACCAAGGGGAGGAAGGGAGAATGGGGCACCCAGGGTGGGGTGGGCAGGGGCACATGTGGGGCAGTGCTGGGGTGGCGGTGCCCTATGATACAGGCTCAGGACAGAGCAGGACACTGCAGCTGGGCCTCAGCCGGGGAGGGACAGGAAGTGGGCAGCCTCATGGTGGCAGCAGAGCCCTCATGCGGCCTGGCGCTGGGAAGCCCAGGGCAGGTGCCTGAGCTCAGTGTCCCCTCCTATCTCTGCCACTGCACCCTGGGTGCATGTGTGCATGTGTGAGCACACATGGCCCCCACCCGCCACACCCCAGCACACTTCTCTGTCCTTTCTGTCCCCAAATGGCAACTCAGCGGCCCAGGGTCCCAAAGTGTCCTGCCTGGGTCTGCGTATCCTGTCCCCCACCAGCTCCCTCACCTCTGAGGCCTGCGTCGGGGTCCATGGGGCACCCCAAGGCAAGGCCAGCCATGGACACTCAGTGATGGGCATGGACTCTGCACTGACTTTCCCCAGCTATCCTCACGGCCTGGCCCTGGTTCCTACACAGTGGTGGGCTACCACAGTCTGCGGCCCTGGGACCGGGGCACTGGACAGAGGAAAGAAGTGGGTGCACAGGTGGGGCCGGGCACGGAGCCACTCGAGGGTGTGTGGGCAAGCAGGAAAGGGACGTGCCACCCATGGCCTGGCAGTTTTGGGGTGACCCTGTCTGTCCCTGGAGATCAAGGGGCTCTACATCTTTATCCGGGGGAGCTGGCACTGCAGCGTGCAGATGTGGAGGACATGAGCACAGCTGTGTGGCCTGGGACACGCACACATGCGCACAGGTGCACACGGTACAGGGGTGCAGCGGCTGCGGTGGTTGTGGGGGGCGGGCTCGGGACAGTCTTTGAAGAGGGTCCCGCTGTGTATGCGAAGGGTTTCTCGGCAGGTACAGTAGTTAATGAGCAGATGTTTATGGATCACGTAGCCTCTGCCGTCCTGTTAGGCCTGTCTGTCCGTCTGTCCTGGGCGCCCAGGGCTCCAGACCCTTTTTGTTGGGCGGTGAAGCCATAAGGCATGGGTTCTGGCGCTCCCTGCTGGCCGCCGCTGGAAGTGCAGCATGTCGCCAGGGCAGATTCGTCCCTCAGGGCCCCAAGCGGGCTACGGAGAGCAGCTCCTCCTTCGGGGCGGCTCGGGGTCGTGCGCTGCACCCCACCTTCAGGGGAAGCAGAGGCATTGTCTGTTGCCGATGACCTCCAGCTGTGGCCGAGGCGAGGGCAGAGCTGGAGGTGACCTCAGGGATGGAGGACCATCCCCGGGGTCGAAGGGACCTGACCGCGGTGGGCGCAGCTGGGGACCCCGTCCCTCTCTGCACCTCTCTCGCTCTGCCTAGAGGGGGCGCGTGGTCCAGCCCTGGCCAGCCAGGGGTCACGGGCGCTGGCACCGTAGCCTCAGGGACAGGGCGGCCCTGTGTCTTGCCTCCAGGCAGGGCCCTTGTGATTAGTGAACAATGGAGGATTGTTAAGCCCTGCTGGGGCCCTGCGTGGGGACCCGCAGGGTGACTTACGGGGCGCAGCCGGCAGGCCGCAGGGCCAGGCAGGCTGGACTCCAAGGCCTACTTGGGACCACAGGCAGCACTGCAGGCCAGCGGGCGTGGCTGTGGGGTGACAGGGGCCCGAAGAGGAATCACTCACATTCGCACTTGGGGGGCGCCAAATTCTTCCTGTCTCCGACCAGGGACCGAGGGCTAAGTGACCCCCAGCCGGGGTGGACGGGAGACAGAGGCGGTGGCCTTCTCAGAGGGACTTTTTCCCTGAGGTCAGCTGGAGAGTGAGGGGACGGGGGAGCAGGGCGCCACGGTGGTCACAGATGCCTGCGACGTCACCGACTGGTATCCCGCTCTGCCGGGCAGTGCCTCACACACTTGGAGACAGCCCTGTCCCCACACCCACACTCTATGCTTGGGCTGCCGGGAGCCGAATCTGCGGGGACTCAGGGCCAGTGGTCTTCTTCTAGTTGAAGCCCAAGTTCTGCCCATTTCTGGTTTCCAAGCTGAAACCTGGAAACGGTTTCCAGCAGATTCTGATCTCGGGCCCCCAGGCATGTTCTAGGGGAAGGTGGCAGAGGGGCACTGAGGTCCCACCCATCCCGCCCTGTCCCTGGGATCCCTAGGGCCGGCCAGCACGGACAGCCACGTAACCCTCCATCTGCCTGCTCTGTGTGGGGGAGCCTGGGACCCCTCTGTTAGTTCTCGGGCTGGGGCTGGGGGGTTGTTGGGCCTGGACCAATGCACATCCGCAGGTGGGAGGAAGTGGGGCCCGGAGGGCTGGGATACACGCGGCCGGAGGCCCCGGGGTTGGAATTCTGAAACTCGGAAACTGGGAAGGAGGCTCTCGAGCCCATTCACGAAGACGCTGCCTGTGCTAAAATATTTTTAAAGGCCAGGATCCAGGTGCCCCCGCTGAATCCCTCAAAAGTCCCCCAGGCCGAGGCCCGTGTGACTCGCGTCCCCTTGGGCGGCGTCACCGGTGTCACCGTCACAATTAGAGTCGGGGAGCTGGGGGACCCCGCCCCGCCCAAGTCCCCGCCCCAGACTCCGCCCCCGCGTGCCAGTCTGTCGGGGATCGGCCGCGCAGCCTCGGCGGGCGCAGGTGGGTGCAGACCGCGATCCCGCGCCCCCGCGTCCCGGCCCGGGCCCCACATCCCACCCCGCTCGCCTTCGGGTGTCGCTGCCCCCAGGCAGAATCCCCGCTGGGGTCCTACATCACCCCACTCCCGCTCCACCCCACCCCCACTTCACCCCCTCAAAAACCCGCAGCAGCCGAGGCGGCGCCGACTGGGGCGCCTGGGCGGGCGGGGACCCCGCACCCCGTTACGTAAGAGCCAGCTTCCGGGGGCGGGGGCTGCGCGTCCAGTGTCCCCCAACAGCAGGCGGCGGAGGGAGGATCCGACCAGGACAGGAGCCCGAGATGCTGGGGGCGGGTGTGCGGTGTCCCCGGTGACCTCATCCCTCTTGCCCAGGTCCTAGCGCCCAGCCCTGTCCCAGCGCGCAGATGCGTGGGGGTGTCGAGGGGCCCTGGGCTCTCTGAGGCTCAGCCGAGGGTCTCCAGGTGCAGACCTTGGGCCGCACCGGCTTCCTGGCCCTGCCCTCACGTGCAGGCCAGGTGGGGCTCGGCTGCGAGCCTCTGGCTTCTTTTCACCCTGGGGCGGCTCGTCCTGGGCGCCTCGCTCTAGGAATAGGGCTCCAGGCATGGGACTCATCCCGGCCAGCCGGGGGCTCCGCCTCCCGAGAGCCACACCAGAGTGCAGATGACCAGGTCGCAGCCCTGGGAGAAGCCTGCCCGGCAGCCTGGCTCCCACTCCCATCCCTGCCTGAGCCCTGCCTCTGTCGTCATGGCAACGGGGGGATTAAGGTTTTATCCGATAGGCCGGCAGGTAGGAAGGGGCCTGGGAGGGCTCCCGGTTGGGGGATCTGGGCCGGGGTTCCAGCACCGGGCCAAGAAGGGGAGACTGAGGCAGCATGGTGGCCCAGGGAGCCTGGCAAACCACTCCAGCCCAATGTGGTGTTTCTGGTGCCTCTGTACTGGGCTGGGCCTGGGTTTTGGAAACCACAGAACCCCTGTGGTTCTGGCTCTCGAGGACCTTTTGGGCTGAAGTGCTGATGGATCCTGCTATGGACTCAGTCAGGGCGGGCTGCGGACAGCAGAAATGTAGCGGTCCCTGCCTTGGAATCCCGGTTCCCCATGGTCCCTGTTGTTAGCTCTGTGGCTCTGGTCCAAGCACAGTGGGCCCAGAGCCTGGTGGCCTCCTGCACTTCCAGGAGCACTGGGCTGCCCTCTGCCTTTCCTGCCTCTGGGGAATCCTGGGTCACTGTTGATAGCCAGCACCCAAGTTCTGGGCTACGTCCCTGATATGTGATGCCCGTCCTGCCCAGCCCTTGGTCCTGTCACCCTCTGTCTCCCCAGGACAGTCAGCAGGAGCCCTCACTGACCTCACCATGCCGGTTGCTGCCACCAACTCTGAGTCGGGTAAGGAGGGAGCAGTGGCAACTTCAGTGGTCCCAGGGTACCAGTCAGGGACGAAAGTGGGCCCAGTAGCTGAGTCGGGGGAGACCCACAATCGCTGGAGTGTAGGCCACGCCAGGCTGGCGAAAGCCCAGGCTGGTGTGTGCTGAGGCGGGCCGAGCTAGGGCAAGGATGCCGAGCTGGTGCCTGTGGCGGTGTAGCAGGTTCTGGCCCAGAGTGGGCACTGGATGGGTGGGAACCCATGGAACTCTTGTTTCCTCCTGTGTGTCAGGGGGCTCTGACCCTGCAGCCTGGGGTCTGCTCCTCCATGGGTGAACCTGTCCCCCCAAGATGAGTGACAGCAAGGCCACCTTCTTCACTTTGATGGGCCTGGGGCTCTGGATGCTGACTCAGTCACGGGCCCTGAGGTCCAAGTTCTGCTCTGGGGTCCCAAACCCCGAGAGGGCCCGGGCCCTAGGGCTCTAGAGGTGCCAGGGGCTGTCCTGGCTCATGTTCGGGCCCAGTGTCTCCTCTCCTGGCCAGTGTATCCACTGGGCTGTCCTGTCCTCCATAGGCACTGGGGTTAGCCAGCCCATGATGAGAGGGGGAGAGGCCTCTCCTCTCTCTCACAGTGCTGTCCACTAACCCTTGAACAGTGGCGGGCAGGCTGGCCCAATGACACAGGCAGGGTGGACAGGAGCACCGCTCCGCAAGGGCTCCAGCTCTGTGGCCCTGGGTGTGTCTTCCTCCCCTAGTCAACCTTAGCCCCAGCCTCATGGCTTACCACGGATTCTGCCTACCATGGATTCTGCCCGAAGTCACCTGGTGTCGCAGAGCCTCCCCCAGAATGACAGGAACAGCCTCCCTCGTGCTCCCTCCTTGAGATGCCCTGCCTAGGGCTGGGCAGGGTCCTGGCTAAGGATCCTTGCCCTCTTGCCATCGCCATCGGTCTGCAGGCTCTTGTCTTTTGGGAGGGAGGAGACCCAGCCCTGCTTGCAGGAAGGCAGGAGCCTCCTCCTGAGGCTGCCTGCGCTGTGGGGCTCCCGCCCTGACCCGAGGCTGCTGCCTCTACCGTGGTTCATCCCTCTGTTTCGGGGGATCAAGACAGGATGCCGGGCTGCTCTCTGCCGAGCGGTCCCTTTAAATCTCTGGCGCGCTCTTTCCAGGCTGCCTCCTGGTGTGTAATTCCCACCTGCTGCCATGGCAACCGAAGTGCTGGGACCTAGTCCGGGGGGAAGGAGGGTTTCCGGGTACAGGGTCTCAGAGGAGCGCGCCCCGTCCCTGCAGCGCCAGTGTCTCCCTCCCTGCGGTGACCCTCCCTGGCGCCAGCACCAGGTGGCAGTGGCAGCCTGCTGCATTTGGGGGCAGCCCTGGGGGACCTGAGGCTTCCTTTGCCTGTGGCAGTAGCGGGGCCTCGGGTGTGGAGATAAATTGGGGCCCGGGCTCCCGGCCCGGGCTCCCGGCTGTGAACAGCAGGTCCTTGAGGGGCTTCTGCGCCGCCTCCTGCACTGGGCCGCCTCCGCTAGTCCCGCCCCTCTCTGAAGCGGTGCTGTCATTGACCCCGCCCCTCCCTGAGGCGGCTCTGCCATTGGCCCCGCTCCATGGCGCCGAGCAGCGCCCCGCCCGCTCTCCTTGCCCGGGTCTTGGGCCCCGCGCCTCTGGGGACACCATGGCCAGCAGCTCCGGCAGCGGGGCTTCCCTGGAGGGTCTGTCCCTGGGCTCCTCGGAGGATGCGGAGCTGCAGAGGGAAGGTAGGCTGGACGGGCCCTCAGCCTCTCCGCCTGGCGGGTTTCGGCGTGCCTGGGGAAGGACACTGTTGGCTTCGACCCACCTGCACCTATGGCCGGCAGGCTGAGGTCTGCGGCGAGACCAGCTTCTCCCAGAGCCCGGGGGGCGGAGCAGGCCTAGCACGTGGGGGAGGGGCGGGGCCGCTGTGACTGGGGACTCCGGATCTGCGCTGCCCCTCCTGGGGTCCTGCCCCAGGGTCCGTGCTCCTCTGCCCACCCCCTGCCCCATCCTTTCTGAGAAGGCAGCCTGCAGAGTGCGGTGGGGGGTGGGGGTGCTGCCCTCCTGGGGTGCTATTCACAGATGGAGGTGTGGGCGGCAGGTGACAGAGTAATGATACCCCTGCCCATCTCCCCCTGCCTGCACCCTGCACCCCCTTCTCGAAGCTGCCTCAGCCCTGCCTCCCTGCCTCCGCGCTGCCCCTGTACTCAGCCCCCTGAAAGATTGGCCGATCCAGGCCAGTCCTCTGCTGCCCCAGGGCAGTTTGGCCTGACCACTGCCCTGAGCTGCTCACTACAACCCCGGGTCTGTGTCCAGCCAGTGTTTGTGGCCTCACGTGACTTCATACCACCCAGAGCTGCAGTTGCTGGTCAAAGTCAAGGGTGAGACCTGGCCTGGCCAGGGTGCTGAGGCCAAGGCTGCCCTGGAGATGTAGTGAGGAGCTGTGGTTCTCTCTGGTGGGGCAGAGCCAGGCACCCAGCCCTCCGCACCCACTTCCACTGCCTGGGCTGCCCTGTCAGGCACTCAGGCGGCAACTGTGGATGCAGTGTGTGGTCAGCCAGTCATGGACGTGCGGGCCAGCTGTGCCCAAGGTGGAGCACCTAGGAATTGACAAAGTGGGTTGTGATCTGCGTGTATTTCACCTGCTGTCCCTTCTGCAGCCATGCAGCAAGTCCTGGACAATCTGGGGTCCCTGCCCAACACCACTGGGGCCGCAGAGCTGGACCTTATCTTCCTCCGTGGCATCATGGAAAGCCCCATTGTCAGGTCCCTGGCCAAGGTACAGGGCTCCGGGGGGGTGGGCTCGTGGTGGGCACCACACAGCCAGGTGGGACCCTGAGGGTGCACTGGAGCTCCACTAGGGTGTAGGGTCATCAAGCACAGGCACCTGGCTTGGCCTGGGGACGACAAGAGGAGGAGAAGGAAGGGGGTGGTGGAAGATTTGCACTGGGTGTGGGAAGGGCCTGAGGACCCCATCTAGGGAACTTGGTGGATGGGTGTGTGGTGAGGCTGAGGCTCACAGCTAGAGCTCAGAGACCTGTTAGCAGGGAACGCCAGGAGCCCCTAACCTGAGACTGCAGGGCTGGAGGGAACTCTGGAACTGGGGTTTGGGGGTCCAGGGCCACAGGCTGGTGCTGTCTTCAGCTGGGAGAGCAGGAAAGCGGTGGGAAGTAAAGGGTAACCCCACTGAGCAGAGTCGAGGCCGGGCTGGGGTTCATCTTCTACAGGGCTCTGGCAGTGGGTCTGCTGTCACTGTAGAGGAGGTAGGATGATGGCGTCCCTGAGGGCCCAGCCAGGCAGGAGCAGGGAGAGGTCAATAGAGGAGAGAGAGAGAGCTGGCCTCCCCTGGGCTGGATATGGAGGAAGAGAAGGTGAAGGTCAGGGTGAAAGGTGCCCTGAGAGTCTGGGGGCTTCTTGAGCTGCGTGTGCCTGGTGTGGTTGTGTGGCCAGGTTGGTCCTGGGGGCCTGAGCAGTCTGGTGACGGTGATGGGGGGCCCTGGGCCTGGCTCGCAGGGAGGCACCTTGGTGTCTGCTCTCGGGTTTTGCCACCCGTGCACAGTCCCTGGGTCAGAGGAGGGGTGGCCACCAGGGTGAGAACTGGGGGAAGTAGAGTCTGGGCTGCCCTGCAGCAGCAGGTGTGAATCCTAGGAGGAAACCTACCTTGACCTGTTGCCCTGGAGGCTGAGGGCAGGTGAGGAGGAATCCCATGGGGTGGAGCCTCAGAGCAGCTGATAGCAGTCACGTGTCACCTCCCAAGCCATAATTTCTTTTGGAGGAGGTCCTGTGTGGTTTTCACACCAGCTGCCCTGCTGAGGTCCTGGCCTTTGGACCCAGGCTCCCAGGAGGCTCTGGTTCCCTGGGGAGGGGCTGGGAGCTGGCTGAGCTGTTCCCCAGGAGACTGAGGGTCCAGAGGTCGCTGAGACTGAACCTGAGGGGGGACGTTCTGGCAGAGGCCCAGCTAGATCCCCGGAACCTCACTGGGGCAGCTGTGATGCTCACGTGGTGGGTTTCTCTCATGACCATCACTCCTAGGGAGGGCAGCTCTGGCTTCCTCACAGTGGTCTCCTGAGCAAGGAGGGTTGCACCCTGAAACCCAGGCCCCCAGGACTTGCTAAGGTCCCACTGACTGAAGCTCATGGTGTAAACTGAGGAGCTTGTGGCCTCAGGTAGGCACCCGGCTCCATCTTCTCGCAGGCTCAGAGTTCCACTGGGTTTGCAAGGTGCCACGGGGGTGTGGTGGGTACAGCTGGGTGAGCATGGGCTCCCCATTAGCTGCCAGCGTCCCTGCCCTGGCTTACGGGGTGCCCTGATCCAGAGCCCTGCTCTGCTGGGCCGAGGGCCCGAGCAGAAGAGGGAGAAGGTCAGCACAGAATTTCAAGTTGCCCTTGGGCCCCTGGACACCCAGTCCTGCAGTGTGGGCTGGGTCAGTAGGACAACAAGGTGAGATTCCATACACAGAGGGAGTTGTAGGTAAAGTGAGTTTTCACTCAGTCACAGAAAGTGGAAAAACTCAGGCCTCCAGGGTTTTATATTTTAGCATGTTCTCTGTTTTCAAAGGTAAAAATATCAAAGATGGGCCATCATGATTAAAACAACAACAACAACAACAAAATGTAAAAATAGCTGGCCACCTAACACTGCCACTCTGGGAGGCTGAGGCAGGAGAATTGAAAGTCCCAGCCCAGCCCGGCCAGCCCCTGACTCAGGTAGAGCAGTCTCAGGGTTTTACAATGTGCAAGCGCAGTGCAAATGCCCTGGGTTCGGTCCCCAGCATCAGGAAATCAAAGGCCACAAATGGTGCTCCAGGAACTCGTAGGGTCCAGAGCCATGGTGAGGGGGGGTAGGAGGCCAGGGACCAGGCACATGGGGAATCAGGGTGGGTTTGAGGGGGAGAGGAAGTGGTAGGTGCTGCACAGTCCAGACAGGCCAGGCCAAGTGGGAGAGTTGAGGAGGCAGAAGCTCCCAAGAAGTAAGTGGGGCCACATCGGGGAGCAGAGCCAAGGGGAGCTCCTATACCCTGGCCTTGGCACAGAGGAGAAAGACAGAGAGAGACAGCTGGGGAAGCAGGCAGCAGAGTGGCCACAGGAGCCTCCCCTGGAGGAAACCCGAAGCTCGGGGACTCAGGCTTCATGGCTGGTGAGCAAGGTGGGCAGAGTTACCAAGAAACTGGTCCGTGCGTTTGACGTCGGCACGTGAAAACTGAAGAGCTGAGCAGAGCCACTCAGACCCCAGTGGACAGCTTGCCCCAGGAAGCGGGCTCTAGGGCAGGATGGGGAAGAGAGGACACAGCCTGTGCTCATCGGAGCTGTGCCGGCTTGGAGGGGATGTTGTGCAGCCCGGTTGTGAGCCTAGAGGTGCCCAGGAACTGGAGCCAAGGCCGAGCCTCACTGGGGTGGCGAGAAATCGGAGGATGGCACACGTGGAATACTGGTGGCACGCAGAAGTCGCAGCAGAGACCTTCCAAACACTGGGAAAGAGTGCAGGGGACAGCTGCAATCAGAAGAGAACCTCACTATGACACGTGGGATCGAACTCACGACTGCCTACTTGCAAGGCAGGCGCTTATGCCGCTGAGCTAAATCCCCAGCCCTGTAAGGATGGAATTTTAACAGCTATCAGAGAAGCTGGGTGTAGTGGCAAAACCTATATCCCAACACCGGGAAGACACAGGCAGGAGGACTACTTAGTGAGACCCTACCCCAAAAACCAAAAAAGAGAGAAAAAATAAGCTGTCAGGGGAAAAAAAAAAACAGACAAAAAAACCCCAAACACCTTTGAAGGTAAACCTGGTGGAGTTACAGTAAACTTCTCAGCATAAACATTAAAGGCCAGGGTCCCATAGGTGGAAAGGGTCTCAAGCCCTGAAGGAAAACACCTTTCGCCCCGGTCTGATTGGTGCTGAAAAACTGTCTTTGGGAGCCGGTGAGAGCGGAGACCTCTACCGCAACAGTGCCATGGAGGGTGGTGCTGGGTGGGCAAGGGTTCTGATTGGGGCTGAGCTTAGGTCCCCATGTGTCACTAAGGAGACCTCATTTATTAGCCACGAGCTGCCAGGCCAGCAGCCCCTGACATTACAGACCCGGGATGTGACAACTTGGTGCTGAGTGACCAGATTCCCACAGGTGCGAGGCAACTGGTGACCCTGCCAACTGCTCCCAGCCTGGGCCTCTGCACTGGGCCGTAGGTAGGCTGTGGGCAGGAGGTGCCGAGTCCACACTAAAGCTGGCCATGGGCCATGGGGCCAGGCCTGGAGAGCTGCAGCTCAGTGTCTGTGAAGAACACCCGGGGTGGCCCCGGGAGGAGTGAGGCTGGCCTTCGTGTGGGTGGGAGCACAGGTTTTATTCTGGGTCATGGCCATGGGCATCTCCTCTTGAGATGTGTCACCCTCCATCAATAGAACAGTGCTTGCTAAAGCCAAGTCAGGGTTCCCAGGCTACATCAGACTCCTACCAATCCCCCAGAACCCTGCTTGAGTTGCCCAGCTTGGAGGCTAGATGCTGGGGTGTGTTGTTCATTCTTTTTTTTTTTTTTTGGTCTTTCTTGTTTTTTATCAGTTCCAGGGATCGAACTCACAACTGCCTGCTTGCAAGGCAGGCGCTTATGCTGCTGAGCTAAATCCCCAGCCCCGTGTTGTTTATTCTTGAAACTCAGTCCTTGCCCCTGATCCTCCATGCTGTCTGGCACAGGACTGACAAATAGCTGTAGGAGCTGCTCTGTCCACTCAGGGCTGTGTCTGCTGCACTTGGGGATGGTGGATCTGGCAGAGATCCAGCTCTGGAGCCAGGCCCATTCCTGAGTGCTGCCCCTTTGTCCTCCTTGGTGGGTTTCTCTCCAGCAGGAACTCTGCACAAGATGGTTTTGGTGGCTGCAGGGCCCTGTGGGGTGCTGTCCCCTTGTTTGGGGAAGACCAGGCAGAAAGTTGCTGCTTTTATTGAGCACCTGCTGTATGCCAGGCACATGTGTATCACTGCGTCCTCACAGGATGTGATTAACACGCGCTTATCTTGAGCTGCCTTTAGTCCCAGCTACTGAGGAAGCTGAGACGGGAGGATTTTTTGAGCCCAGGAGACGAGACCAGCTTGGACAACATAACACAAGCTGGTCTCCAAAATCAAGAAAGAAAAAGCTACTGGCTTATGGCTTAGCAAACTTCCTGGCACATTTCAGGAATGTGCGCTGAACCCCTGTGGCCTGTCAGCCAGGATCATCACTAAAAGCTCACACAGGATCCTGCTTCCCCTCCGCTCACACCCTGAGTCACTGTGAAGCAAACTTCGGAGCGTAATTACCTACAAGCATTTCAGCGTACACATCAGAAGATGAGGGTGCTTTTTAAAAACTGTGCTGTGCTATTATCACACCTGACACTTAAAAATTCCTTTAGTGGGTTTTTAGTAAATACCCTTGGGACCTATGCAGAGTCACTTCGAGGGGCTTCAGTGTGGCCCATGCCTTACACTGCATGTCCCAGCGGGCACTGTGGGGCCCGAGGTACAGATACAGTCACAGCCTCATCCTGGAGGCCAACACGGGGGCAGTCGTTTAAAAACCCGCCTTGGAGCTGGATGCCTGGAAGACTGTGAAGTTCAACCATGTTACTTGGTGTGGCAAATGCATCCTAAGGAGGACTGGAAGGCAGAGGTCAGGGGCGGCGAAAGCTCAGTGTGGAGAGAACATTTAAAAGTGGGAGAAGGGAAGAACGAAATGCATGGGAAAAGCAGGTTGTGGCAGCGGTCAGACAGGGGCCCTTGGCCAGGAAAGCCATTTGCTGGGCTTCTAAAGAGCACATGCAGACCCCCGATGCCAGATGCTAGGGTCTGATGCTGACCGGCAGCAACGGGACTTCGGAGACTACAGGGGAACGTGTCTATAGCTAAAAACACCTGCTGTGGACAAACCGATCTACCCAGCACGGTTTCTAGGACCCAGCCTCCTCCATCTGTCCACGAATACCCAATCTCGGACTCTAAATTCCATTCCTTGTTGTAAGGGACCAGAGCTCTTTTGCACCTGCTGACCCCAGGCCTAGTGTGAACCTTGGGGAGAGAGGGAGACCTGTCCCCAGGGCCAGATGGGGTGTGACGGTCACAGGGCACAACAGTGAAGGGGGCAGCCTGGACACACTGGGGAGAAACTCAGCCAGCAAGGCTGCAGTGGAGATGGACAGGAAGGTGCCACGTACAAAATCATCATGACAGCAGGGAGGCAGGGTATGCACTGGGGCTCAGGGAGCATGGCAGGGTAGATGGAGTGCTTTTTGGGTGTCCAGGATCCCTTGGGTGCTTAACAGTCCTCAGGCTCATGTGAGGAAAGTGGGGTAAACCTCGCCTCGGCTCTGTAAAAATGCCCTGGAGCAAAGTGGGGTGCAGCTCTGTAGCCCAGCCCATCAGGGAAACCAAGTCCCATTCCAGGCCAGGCTCCACAGCAAGACCCCTCCTCAGTAAGAGAGTAAAAGATGCAACAGCCAAACACAATCCACAAGCCTTGCTTAGCTCCCAGATGCAAAAACGTGGAACTGCAAAAGGACACTTTGGGACAGTGGTGACCGTCTGAACACAGACTGCCACGCAGAGTTAAACTCCACAGTGCAGTCATCCTAGGAAATGCAGCGTGAGGCTCGGAGAGGGCCTGAAGGGTGACAGCTGTACTCCAGTGTGTGCCTTCCAGTGAGCAGAGGCTTCCAGTCAGACTGTGCTGTAGGGGCAACGCTCAGGGACCTCCCTTTCCGCTTTGAGTCCTCACCCAGGGGGCAACCAGGCCACAAGGCCCCTCTCAGCATCAAGCACCTACTTCCCATTCCCTTTGGCACTAGGAGACTGGGCCAGGGCCTGGAGGCCCAAGCCTCAGTTCAGGTGACCTGGAGGCCTTGCACCGGGGAAAGGTATTGTCCTTGAACTCAAATACTGTGGGGTCTTGGAAGCTGAGTGAGGCTGTGAGGAAGGACTTGGGGTCAGGAGGTGACAACTTGAGCCGGTTGCAGGGAGTGGGCTCCCCTGCTCCAGCCTCACCTGTCTGCACACCCAGGCCCATGAGCGGCTGGAGGAGACAAAGCTGGAGGCTGTGCGTGACAACAACCTGGAGCTGGTGCGGGAGATCCTGTGGGACCTTGCCCATCTGGCGGAGCGCAGCAGCCTGGCAGCCGAGCTGGCCCGCATCCTGCAAGAGCCGCACTTCCAGGTGCACTGCTGGTGGCTGAGGAGGGTGCCCAGCAAGCCCAGGTTTGGGGGGACACCGGGGATGACCCGCTGCCCTCTTCTTCTGCTGCCCGCAGTCCCTCCTGGAAACACATGACTCAGTGGCCTCTAAGACTTACAAGACACCGCCGCCTAGCCCAGGCCTCGACCCCATGTTCAGCAGCCAGCCGGTGCCGCCCGATGCGGTGCGAATGGTGGGCATCCGCAAGACGGCCGGAGAGCACCTGGTGCGGCCCGGGGCAGAGGGACCAGGGGGCAGGGCCCACAGGGGACCCTGGTGGAGACAGCACCACAGGGAGGAGCCTTCCTGACACATGGCAGCTCAGTTCACTACCACCTCCTGTCCCATCCCAGGGCGTCACCTTCCGAGTAGAGGGCGGTGAGCTGGTCATCGCACGCATCCTGCATGGGGGCATGGTGGCGCAGCAGGGCCTGCTGCACGTGGGCGACATCATCAAGGAGGCCAACGGGCAGCCAGTGGGCAGCAACCCGCGTGCCCTGCAGGAGCTGCTGCGCAGTGCCAGTGGCAGCATCGTCCTCAAGATCCTGCCGAGCTACCAGGAGCCACACCTGCCACGCCAGGTGTGCCAGCCCCGTGGGGCACAGAGCCAGGGCTCCATCCAGCCTGTCAGGTTGAGACAGAGTTGACAGCTGTTCCAAGCCACCCAGAACCTCCACACATGGTACCACCTGTGCCCACTTTAGGGTGGGGCCCCCGTGTCCCTATCCTAGCACCTAAGCCTGCAGCTAGTGCTGCCACCTGCCAGTCTGTACCCAGGTGCCCAGTGCAGCTGCCTCATCCCAGGCAGCTGCCACCTGGTTGGTGGGCTGTGGGGTCCAGCTGTCCTCTGCTTTCCCCACTACTCCCCAGGTTGCTCTTGCCCAGAGCCTTCTCCCCAGGTGAGTCCGGCAGAGCTGGGAGGTTGGGGTCAGTGGTTAGCGTGCAAGCAGCCCTGCCTCTGTGGTCTTAGCAACTTCCCCATCTCTCAGTCTGAGCACTTTAGGCCCACATGCCAAGGGAGGCTAGACCAGGTCAAGCAGGTCTCAGGTGGCAGGGATGGTCTGTGGCCAGCTGTCCACCACAATGCCATTTTCTTCGCCCTCCCTGGCCAGGTGTTTGTGAAATGCCACTTTGATTATGACCCGGCCCACGACAGCCTCATCCCCTGCAAAGAGGCTGGGCTGCGCTTTTGTGCAGGGGACCTGCTGCAGATTGTGAACCAGGACGATGCCAACTGGTGGCAGGTGGGGCCGCAGGTCCCAGGACGGGTGGGTGGGTGGGTAGGGGTGGTCCTCTCCAGCAGATCCTTGCACCCCTGCAGGCTTGCCACGTGGAAGGGGGAAGCGCCGGGCTCATCCCCAGTCAGCTGCTGGAGGAGAAGCGGAAGGCGTTTGTCAAGCGTGACCTGGAGCTGACCCAGACCTCAGGTAGGGATGGCGACCCCCACTGGGGACCCCATGGGGGCTGGCACGGCCCCGCTGGCTTCGCTCACCAGTCTGCCCACGGCCAGGGACCCTGTGTGGCAGCCTCTCAGGAAAGAAAAAGAAGCGGATGATGTATCTGACCACCAAGAATGCAGGTGGGCGTGGGTGCCCCTTGCGTCACCTCAGGGTCCTCCCTGTACCCAGCCGGCGTGTGGCCTTCCACCCTCCCCAGCTCTGTCCAGCCCATGGAACAGCGCTTTCTCCCTGTACCCAGAGTTCGACCGCCATGAGCTGCTCATATACGAGGAGGTGGCCCGCATGCCCCCGTTCCGCCGGAAAACGCTGGTGCTGATCGGGGCACAGGGCGTGGGCCGGCGTAGCCTGAAGAACAAGCTGCTCCTGTGGGACCCGGATCGCTATGGCACCACGGTGCCCTGTGAGTGCTCGCGCGGCAAGGGGCAGAGAGGCGGCCTCGAGGGGCCTGGGTTCCCAGCACAGTCCGGCCTGGACCTGGCTGCGTGCTTTGGGCGGCCCATCACCCTTCCAAAGCTCAGCCCCACGCGGAGCCCGGACTTTACTGGGCTCTGCGCTTCCCAGAGTGGACGTCTTATGTGCTGCATGTGCGTGCGTGAGCGCATGTGTGTGTGTGTGTGTGTGTGTGTGTGTGTGTGCGCGCGCGCGCGCGCGCACACACACACACACACACACACACACACACACACGTGCGCCCTGGGGACGGGGTGAGGTGCCGTGCCCGGGGCGGCTATGGCTCCTCTTCCCAGACACGTCGCGGCGGCCCAAGGACTCAGAGCGCGAGGGCCAAGGCTACAGTTTCGTGTCCCGCGGGGAAATGGAGGCTGACATCCGCGCAGGCCGCTACCTGGAGCATGGCGAGTACGAAGGCAACCTGTACGGCACGCGCATCGACTCCATCCGCGGCGTGGTGGCTTCCGGGAAGGTGTGCGTGCTGGACGTCAACCCGCAGGTACGCGGCCCGGCTCCCCGCAACTGCCGCCCAGGCCCCAGGCCGGGCCGTGCGGGGTGCACACCTGCTGCCCTCTCCTGCAGGCTGTGAAGGTGCTGCGCACTGCTGAGTTTGTGCCCTACGTGGTGTTCATCGAGGCTCCGGACTTCGAGACCCTGCGGGCCATGAACCGCGCGGCGCTGGAGAGTGGGGTGTCCACCAAGCAGCTCACGGTGCGGGAAAAGGCGCGGGGCTAGGGGCAGAGGGCAAGCGGTAAGCCCAGTTCTGGACCGCATGGCGGGGCACGGCGGGCTGGGTTGGCCTGAGCCTGACGGGCGCGGCTCGCGCAGGAGGCGGACCTGCGGCGCACGGTGGAGGAGAGTGGCCGCATCCAGCGGGGCTACGGCCACTACTTTGACCTCAGCCTGGTCAACAGCAATCTGGAGAGGACCTTCTGCGAGCTGCAGGCCGCCATGGACAAGCTGCGCACCGAGCCGCAGTGGGTTCCCGTCAGCTGGGTGTACTGAGCTTTGTCCCTCCCCTCCCCACTGCTGACCCCGCCCGCGATCCCGGGCCCCACCCCTGGCTCTCAGGCCCCAGTGGTCCTTAGGCCGTGTCAGCACACAAGGTGCCCTGTCAGGGAGGTGGGCGCTCATGGGGCACCTCCATGCCCAGGTGCTGCTCACCCACCCCCCGTGTCCCTTTGGCCCCCATGTGTTTCTGTGTGGACTGAGGGGGACCCAGGACATCCTCAGAGACACCTCCACAGTACTCAGTCCAGGGAGGAAACTGCTTTGAGACCACGAGGCCAGTTGCTGACTGCCTGGCCACTTCTTCTGCGCCCTGTCCCCTTCTGTCACCTTCTCCTGACACCTGTGCCTCTAGTCTGGGCACAGCAGGCTGTTACCTGGGCCTGTGAGTAAATCCCCCCATCAACCCCAGCTTCTCACTGCCGAGCCCTCTCCGGAGATCTCCCCATCCCCAATAGGAAGGGAGTTCCATGTGGCTGTGCCCAGGCAGGACACATCCTGCTTCCTGTCCCAAATCTCTGCCTGTTGTGGCCTGGAAACGCTGGGGTGCACCCAGCAGCTCCTGGCACCCCAGTCCTGGCTGTCCACTGCCTAGGTGTGTGACCTCTGACCCCACCACTGCACACCTGGGCCCTGGGTGAGGGGCAGAGGGAGTTTACCTTCACAGGCTTCTGTGTGGTATTGGGGAGGGACCCTCACCCAGATGTCCCCCTCCACACTTGTCCTTTCCCCGGATGTCACCCTCCAGTCCCTGGGGAGGGTCTTTAAGCAGGAAAAACCCTTTGTGAAGAGAATCCCATTTCAGGGGTTCCTTGACGTGGCACACCCTGTCCTACCCCTTGGTCGTCCTAAGGTGAGCATGTGTTCATAGGGAACCCCCATCCCATCTTCACAGGGATCGTGGAACCCTCCAGCCAGTGTTCACAGGGGATCCCTTAGGATGACCCCAACTACTGAATCTTGGGTCTCTCCAGAACGTCCCCCACCCACAGGAGACCTCTAACACACCCAGTTCCAAACTCAGAGATCCTGTAGGACATCCCCTAACCTCTTAAGGACACCCCATCCCATCCTCACAGAAGGTCCTTAGAACTCCCCAGCCTGTTCTCATGGGATCTCTCAGACCCCTCACCTGTCTTCATGATAGATGGTTTAGGAGGTCCAACGCCTCAATGTCTCAAGGGTCTTGCAAAGATGCCTCCACCCCATGCCCATAGGAGACACCCCAGAACACCCAACCTGTGCCTCCCAGCTTCTGTGTCTGATCAATGTCTACCACAGTGGCAGCCAGAGCTTAACCACTGTGCATGGGTCTCCTGAGCGGGGAGAGCAGAGTATTTATGACAGATGTCAGAGCTATATTTATTCCCTTAGGAATCTCACCAAGTTCACAGGGGATGAGTGAGGGCACCAGTGGCCACTCGACCCCTGTGCGGTCCTCACCACTCTTCCCTGGTCCCTGGGTCTGTGTTCCTGGTGTCACCTCCCCCCCCCCAACTGCAGGACTGATGGGGTGGGGGCAGGGGTGTGTGTCATTTCAGGTCCCCTTCCTGAGAATTACTCTCCCATTAACCTTGCAAGCCCAGCCTAACTGGATGGGACAGGAGCTGGATGGGCACTGGGCCTTTCCAGTGGTCCCCAGGGTCCATGTGATCCTGCACCTTTGCCTCCAGCAGCCTCCAAGGGGCAAGGGGTCCCTACCTCCCTGCCGAGCCTCGACCCCAGGCACCTGACGCAGTGGTGCATCCCCAGGTAGCTCTGTGACCCCACCTTCCACCTGCTTTGGGGCCCTCGGGACAGTGAGGGCCCTGCCCACCACAGTCCCCTCAGTTACACCCAGGCGCCTCCCCAACCCTCCCTTGCCCATCTGATCCCCATTTTGACTCTGGTTTTCTGCGTTACTCTGATTAAATGTGGATGTTAATGCTGGGCTCTGCTGTCTGGGTCAGGCTTTGGTGGCTGTGGGGGGTGGTCAGGGCCAGGAGTGGCATCACTTTCTGTGCTGGTCTGGGTCCCTCTCCCCAGGAGCCACTCCTCCGCCCTGTGTCCAGGTGCTGGAAGGACTCAGGGCCATGCCTACCCCTTGTGGCCTGCAGCAGCCCCGCTGCTTTGCTGGGCTCCAGCTCCCCTCTGATGGTGCCACAGACTCCCCAGGGGTAGGACCAGGCCTAGTTCCAGGTGCTCAATGCACAGGCCATAGGTGACATCACACTTCACCTCGGTGCCCCACAAGTGGGGTGACAAGCCCCCCTGACGCTGAGGGGACAGTGGGGGGTGGGGCTCAGCAGACTCATTCCTTTATGTCCTCAAAGACTACACTCAGCCCCCACACAGTGCCAGCCTGGCTGGGGTCATGCAGCCCACTGCTAGTGAGTGGTCAGCATTGATGATAGACCCTGCTGTCTGGAATTGTCCCAGTGCAGAGTGTCTTTCTGCTTGGCTTTCTTTCTGGGTCCTGCCTCTCACCCTGGAGGGAGTCTCTCTGCTCATCTCAGGCCGACCCTAGAGATTCCCAGCAACTCTGCATCACAGCAGTCCCTGTGCAGGGATTCTCCATCCTCACATGGCAGGTAACGGGAGCCACCCTCGGTCAATTAACTCAAGTTCAGAAATTAAAACTTCAGACCTTTGGGTTTGGGTTGTATCTCAGTGGTCGTGTCTATCAGTAGATGGATAAAAATCTCTACACACAGTAGAGTACTACTCTGCCACGAAGAAGGATGTACTCAGTCATGTGACATGCCTTGAGATAATGTGAAGGACAAATAATGTGAAATCAGAAACAAGCTCGCACATCTCAAGGTTTTTATGAGGAACCCAAAGCATAAATAGTAAAAGATCATAGGAAATATCTTTGGCAAATGGGCAAGTGATCAAGAGGAGAGAGAGAGGAGAAGGGAGGAGAAAGGCGGAGTAAAAAGATGTATTCTTTGTATGTACAGATTCCCAGCCAAGTGTGCTGGCACAAGCCTGTCATCCCAGTAGTATGAAGGCTGAGGCAGGAGGGTCCCTTGATAGGACGATAGTGCAAGGCTGTGGGATCCAGGAGTGACCGGAGAACGCGGTTCCTAGCTGCCTTCCATGCCTGCGGGTGTAACACCTGCTGACCCAGCTGACCACAGGCGGAAAAGGAGTTTAGAATTGTGTAGCAGATGCCTGCTGAGGTTATGATCCTCGTTCACACACAGTGCAGTGTAATGTGTTTATGCAGCCTTTCCCTGTACAGGTCTCCAAACCCGCAGGGGTGATTTGGAGCCTGAGGTACTGTGTGGGCAGATGCCCTTGGGTGCTGTGCTAGTTCACTTGGGGTTTGGGCCTGGTGGAGCCGTGTTCACAGACGGTCCAGGCACTGGCGCCCACGGGGACCCAGAGACAGCTGAGAACTACAGCCTCTGCTCAGGACATGAAGATCAGAAATAGAGGGTAAAGCTGGGCATGGTGGTGCACACCTGTAATCCCAGCACTGGGGAGGCTGACACAGAAGGATCACTGAGTTCAAGGCCAGCCTGGGCTACAGAGTGAGATCCTGTCTCAGAAAAAAAAAAAAAAAAGCAGAACCTCCACACTGTAGTCAGAACAGTTCAAAACTACCCAGTGATATGAGCAGAAACAGTTTCAGCACGGTGAGAGAAAACCCAGGGGCACTCCTTGCGTCTGCGCGACTCAGATTCGGGGCTCCCTCTTCTCTCTCCAGCCTCTCCCTCCTCCGCTCCTGCTGCTCCTGCTGCTCCTGCTGAATTTGAAGTCGTCTTCACAGGCCCCCCAGGGAGCTGAGCCATGGTGTTCCCTTTTCAGTGGCATGGGGACAGCGATGACAGGACAGCAGTTCCTACCTACTTCAGGGCAGCCCCAGCTGAAGGACTTGTTAAGGGGATAAACTTTAGTGGCTTTCAGCGACCCCTTGAAACAGCGCCCACTGCTCCTGGGAGGCACCCAAGTGGCATCCTGGGCCCGCACACGTGGGTATCACTTGCCTGCTGTGCAGAGGGCCAGAGCAGTGCATGAGAAAGAGGCAGAGTTGAGGCAGAATCTGGCCACAGTAGGAGGTCGCCAGGTCCCCCCCACCCCCAATGCAGGAGGAAACTTCCTGCACATCCTCATTTTAAAAGAGCTCCCTCTGGTCTGGCCTGTCCCCGTCTTGAGGGATGTGGGCAGTGTCACCTGGCTGGTCACTGATCACACTGTCACGTCTGGAGTGAATGGTGGACTGAGCTGCTGGAAGAAGCTGACAGCTCCACCTACTGGAAGTGTCGGGCCGGGTCTGAGGAAGCCTGGAGTGGACAGGGGACCTCGCCTGACCCCACCACATCCCAGGGCCCGTAGCAGGAAGGATCTTCAGGACCATGAGGGGTTAAGGGGTTGAGAGCACAGGGTGTGGAGAGGTGGCTCACACAGCTTCAGGGCTGCAGTCTTTGGACCTCTGGACTCCCTGGGAGAGGGCATTGGATTCACGGGGGAGAAGCAACGGCTCTTACTGCAGGGGAAGGTGGACAGCTGGTCCCTGGATGGCAGCATCACGGGGACAGAGCAGCAGCCCTCCAGGGGAGGCCCTGTTACAGGCCCCAGGACCTCTAAGGACCTCAGGAATTGTTTTTTTTTTTTTTTTTTTTTTTCTTATTTTGGAGTTTTTGACTGAGTTTGTGTCCTGCGCTTGCAGTTTTTATTAAAAGTTTAGTTTTAAAATGATAATTTTTCTTGTCTCCTTGTCTCCTATCTTTATTTCTTCTGTCCTACCTCAGAAAAGCTTTTGCTTTGCGGCAAGCCTGCATACACACCTTTTTGTTTTTATAGACCTTGCCACATAGCCCAGGCTGGTCTTGAGTTTATAATTCTCCTGACAGCCTCCAAGTGCTGAGAGTACAGTCCTGCATGTTCATGCTCCTCTTCAACTGTTTTTTTCTGACATTGTGGCCTTGTTTATTTTCTGGTAGGGTTGACACAGGCGACTCCTCAGCCCTGAGAATCTCTGCCCGTGTCTGAGCGTCTTCCTCCTCACGGAGGATATTGCTAAGTAACCGGCTTCGGGTGCTGTCCCCTTGCCTGGCCTAGCCCTCCTGGTGGCCGGTCACACCTGCGTTGGAGGGGAAGTGACAGACAGCTGCAGTCATAGGAACCCTCTGTAGCCAAACAGAAGTAACGGGGTAAGGATGTTTGCCTAATCTAAACTTGCTTGTTAGCCCACCTGAACCTTGTTCTTCCCAAGAAATGTAACCGCTGCGTTCCTGTTCTGTAGTGCGCAGCAAACTCCACCCCTCTGCATTGTGAGACCAGCAGCTGTTTGCGATTTTACAGGATAAAAACCCTGCCCTTTAGCTGTTAAGCGCTCAGTCTTCCATATTGGCTACTGGAGGCTGTGTCGCCAGGTCTGTGCTTTAATAAATAATTTTTCCTTTCCAAAGTATTTTTTCTGGCTCCTTCATACCTCAGGAAGCGGGGGACCACCACCCGAGGAAGAGCAGAGCTGGGGCTGAGTTTAACAGGCGGAGCCTATGCTGAGTTAATCTGGCCCATTCTGCGGCTGACTGCACTTGAAACCGTTAGAATTTGCACAGGCAGGAGTGACAAAGTTCACAAGCAAACCGGAAAGGAAACTAACGGAAAGCCGATACAGCTGTGCGGCTGTTTAAAAGCGTGAAGCCAGTGCGCATGACTGAAAGCGGAAAGCGCATTATTCCGCGTGTTTCTTTTGTTAAAGTCTGAAAGTGACACGGCGCCCACTGGGACAAAGGACATGCAAAATGTGGGGCCATTAGCCTGCTACCCTTTAAGAGTGGGGTTCGTGTTTCTCTGAGACCCAGGCCCTTCATCTAGGCCTCGGATGCCCTGTAGGAAACGGAGGGCGCAAGGCAAGACCTTCACTGTGCAGCCTTCATTGCCTAAAGGTGGGTTTGGGGAGGCGATCACGCAGGGGCAGTCGGAGCCGTGAGGTTCTTCAGCCCGAAACCGCTCGGGGCCATCTCACCTTCTTCAGGGCTGTGACTCGCAGGGAGAGCAGCGAAAGCGCTCTTGGGGTTCTCGGAGCAGCATTAGTGTCCGACTCCAGGAGGCCCTGTGACGCCTGGGAACCTTGAGTTCCCTCTCTACGCCCGGGCCCACTCGGGTGCAGGAAAAGCAGGAGATACAGCAGGCCGGGCTCACTGCGCAGGCGCAAGACCTCCCCCTCCCCCCAACGCGTCCACTTCTGGCCTCTTCCAGCCTCGAGGAGCCCAGTACCCCGAAGGGGTCTGTGCCACGGGTTTGTCGCAGTTAAGCCCCCGTCCGCGTCCTCTCGCTTCCTGGGAGGGGACCCACTTCATTTCTAGGCCTGTGCGCCCTTTAGCCTCACTTTTTTTTTTTTTTTTTTAACAATGACAAAGTTTATTTGAAGAAGTAAAGGTGAAAGGTAAGGGAGAAACTGGTTCTGTAGAGTGAACTTGGGCCAAATAAAAGAAGGAAAAAGTACACCCTGAAGAACACAGGGCAAACTACCATGAGAAAAGCCACAGTAGCAAGCTCTTCATGGCGTCCTCTTGTGCTGTCCACACCTCATGGTGATACAGGGGAATGAAACTCCCGACCTACTATGTCCGGTGTGAGCTCGTGTTCTCTAAAATCAAAAAATGAATTTTAGGGGCAACGGAGGTGAAGAGTAGAATATATGTGAGAGAAATCTCCTGTCTGAAGAGAGATAGTAAGGGTCCTAAGCGGGTTATCCTAGCTTCACTTTTTAATCAAAGCTCTTTCCCCAGTCACTAACGCTTCCCCACAGCTTTAGTTTCAGCTGTCGCCGAAGGTAGCGCCTGGGCGGTCGCGTGGCAGGGGAGAACCGCCACAGCACGCGGCGGTTCCGCACTTGTACGCGGCCACTCCACGGGCCTTGCGCAATCCAGCGTGGACTGTGTGACGCGACTGCATTCCGGTCTCGCGGAGGCACCGAGGCGCGGCCTGGGCAGAAGAAACGCGCACTGGGGCGGGGCCGGAAGTCCCGCCCCCTTTGGACTCCGCCTTCCAAGCCACCGCCTGTTCGCCCGGCTGTGTGCCGCTTTCTCCGTCAGGCCCTGACGGAAGCTCCTACTGCCCTGTGAGCTGGCACAGACGCGCCCTCCTGGAAGCAGCAGGGGCCAGGTATTCAAGTGAATGAACGCCTCTTTACCAACGAAGTGCGCGTGTATTTTGTCACATCCTGGATCCACTTTGCACAGTGGTGTGCTTTTCAGCTGTTTGCAGCTGTGCAACCTCCAAGGCCTCCATCTGGCTCTGAGGCCCTGTGCACGCAGGTTCCCACTGTGCACCGAGCGAGCCCCTGTGCAGTGTATGTGCCGGGTGAGATGAGGAGGTCCCGTAAGGGGGCAGGACTCCTCCGTGGTGATAGGGGAGACCCTCGGGAGCCCTGAGGTGTGTGCTGGGTCCTCGGAGCTCCGAAAGTGCCCGGGGGATGGGGGGGGCGCATGGTGGTCTCCCTGAGGCATCTGGGTTCAGGGTGTCGGTGGGTGGCCATGGGCTGGTTGAGTGCTCATCGTCCAAGTCTAGGCCTGATGACAGCTTCTATGTGTCTTTAAGACTGTTAGGGTTGTTTTTAGTTTGTACTGGGCTTCGAACTCAGAACCTTTCACTTGGCAGGCAGGCACTGTGCTGCTGAGTTATATCCCTGGCAAGATTTAGGGCTTTTTAAAAGTTTCCTGGAAAGATGCACGGTGACCTTGGGCAACTTCAACTGTATCCTGAATTTTCAGTTTTCTTAAAAAACAACCTTAAATTTACGATTTTCAGTGTGTGCTGTCAACCTACCCTTATTTTTTTACCTCAGGACAAGTCATGACTACTGCCTTGCACTGGGAAAATTAGACTTTAAAGGAAAACAAGGCCTCTCACAAATCATGGGGAGAGCAATAGTGCTTTTAACGGAGCTGCACACCCAGGTGTGTTTAAAACACAACAAGCAGATGTCTGGGAAGAGTTGTTGATGCCTAACAAAAAAGCAGCAGAAAACACAAATTATTTTGATAAAAAGGGAAAACTTTAAGCTAGTTCTTTTGTAAATTTTACCAAAAACAGGTTAATATTTAAGAAAGAGATATTGTCTTGGTTACTTTTTTTTTTTTTTTTTTTTTTAACTTGACACCTAAAATGAAGGAAGGAAAGGTTTATTTAGCTCACGGTTTGTGGAGGTCCCAGTCCATACTCAGCTGGCTCCAAGGCAGGGTGGTGTGGCACTGGGGCAATACTTCAAGGCAGCATCCAGAGCAAAAGGGAGAGAGCAAGCCTCTTTTTCTTCTACAGTACACAGTTACCCCGCCCCTCAGGGCCAGGGTAGCACTCAAAATCTTGCTCCTCTTGGGCAGGATGAGGGTATTTACAAAGTAAGAACTCTGGCCCCTTGCTGAGTCTCTTAAACTTCCAAATTCTCAAATTGACACAATGTTTCAAGCATAAGTTATGTTGATTTAAACATTTAAACCAGAGACTCTGGTTTTGTTCCTGTATATTACATTTTGATTTTGAAAGCAGGTGGCTGTAATCCTAGCACTTGGAAGGCTGAGGCAGGAGGGTCACTGAGTTTGAGACTAACCTGCACTACAAAGTGAGTTCAAGGCCAGCCTGAACTGCGTAGCAAGACCCTGTCGCAAAAAGACAAAACGAAATCAAAACATTTTGATTTTAAAAAGCCTTTTTGAAAACTATTTTTCCTTAGAATAAATTGTCTCTAATGGAGTATCTTTTACTACAAAGATACATTGTACCATTAAGGTATATGATTGGTTTACAGTAAAAACATAGTTTTTTTTTTCTTTGCAGATTGAGGCCAGGTGTGGCAGCACATACCTGTAATCTCAGCACTTGGGAGGCTGAGGCAGGAGGATCACTGCAAATTTGAGGCCAGCCTGGGTTACCTAAGTGAGTTTAAGGCCACCATGAACTACACAGTGAGATCCTGTCTCAAAGGAACCCAGGGCTTTTGTAGTATAATCCAAATATTATATAGATTTGGTACTAAAGAGTGAACTACTGACCTCGTGCTTGCTGGGCAGGTGCTGTGCCACTGAGCTACGCCTCCAGTCCCAAATACTGTGTATTGTGATCCTGTTCCCAGTCCTCACAATCCGGAGAGTTGTATTTGTAATCCCACTGAAACGAGTTGGAATCCTGGCAAGTTAATTCTAGTCTACCTCCACCAGTGCAGCCCACAGCGAGAGGGAAGACACAAGGCAGATTCAGAGCCAGGTGGTCCCAAGTCCAACCCAAGTGAGGAGAGACGGACAAAGGCCCTGATCCAAGGCCTCCCCCACAATTTATTGTCTTGTGAAGAAGGCAGTGGTGTGAGGATGAGTGACAGTGAGGATGGCAGGAACCACGTGAGCACGGTAAGCTGAGCTGGCCGGCGGGCGAGCACCTCTGCAAGCTGCAGGGAGGAGGATGTGCAGAAAGACCTGTCTGCATAGCTTCATTGGGATGGCGTAAGAACGGATTCAGGAGGCTGCTGCTTCAGGTTGTGACCTGTAAACTTGTACCCTGGGGAGTCATAGCCTCCTACTTTGAGGCTGACATTCCCAGAGCGGAGTGGCCCTGCCACCCTATTTAAGAGGACACAATGTGAGGAAACAGGAAAGTACCGGTTACCCTTAAAGCTTACGCATCAGCACCTTAGCTGGCTTTATTTACATTCCTTGGAGCCAGCTGAAGGCAGAAGGAAATAACAGCTAGCTCTGTGCAAGCAGTGTGGACACAGGGCCCCGCTTCGACCTTCCTTTTCTGCATTCAAGGAGAGCAGTCCACTTGGTCTTTGCTTTGCACTTAGCTCACCCCCAGCCCATTTTTATCTTTATTTGAGACAGGATCTTACTGTGTTGCCTGGGCTGGGCTCCAACCTGTGACCCTCCTGCTTCAGCCTCTCGAGTGCTAGGATGACAGTCTTGTACCCCAAGCTCGGCAGATAAATGGTCCCTTGGTGCCAGGCTGACAGGAAGCGTGGCTTTCAGCACGAGACAGCTGGGAGGTCGCTTCTGTAAAAGTCCTAATCCTTCACCATTGACTCAGCACCTGGGGCCACCCAGAGCCAATTTCCTGGACCTGGGGGTATAGGGCTCCCTCTCCCCAAGGTAAATGGCACAGCCTTCCCTGGCCCAGGCACTGCTCAGCACCTCCTGGGAGGCTCCTGCCCCCATTCCCAGTGACAGGCGCTGCAGCCAGGGCCCCCAGGACCGATGGTGATGCCACTCAGAGAGCGGGGTACCCTGGGTACTGTGACCCTTCTCTCCCTGTGGAGCCCAGCATGGCAGGACTGGCCTGGCCTTGCGAGCACGAGGCTCTGGGCTTGGTTCTCAGCACTGCAACAAAGACTGAAAAGAAGGAAATGTTCTGTGACCTGATACTGCCATATATGCAGATGCCTCCCGCTCCCTTCTGGGGATGGAACACGGGGCTGCCTGCCACGTCCTTTGTGCTCTTTTTTTGTGTTTTGGTTTTTTAAATTTTTTTGTCTTTTTGAGACAGGATCTCACTCTGCAGTTCATACTGGGCTTGAGCTCACTTTGTAGCCCAGGCTAGTCTCAAATTTGCAACGATCCTCCTGCTTCAGCCTCCTGAGTGCTGGGATTACAGGCGTGCACCATCAAATCCTTCTTAAAGAGAACACCAGGTGCAGACAAAGCCAGGTGCCAGAGTTGGTGCAGTGAATCCAGGTGCAGCTGCAGGGTGACTTGAAGGAAGCTTTATTCAAGAGGCCCAAGAGGCCCAATAAGGGGAAGGGTGCCTCCATGAGCTGGCCAGGCGGGGGAGGATAGAGAGGGGTACGAGGTCATCAGCCTGAAGGAGGGACAGCCACCAATCACATGGGACCACAGGGACACTGAGCAGTCTGAATCAGTGCTCCAGGAGGGGAGACTGGGGGTCACTTTCTTTCCTTCTGTTTTGCCCCCAACTTTGAGTTTTGTACACTGAGCCCCCCATCTCACTTTTAAAGAGAATAGAAAAATTATGTGTGTGGCCCTGCTCCTCGACCCCCACTCTCCAGGGCACAGGACAGACTCGGGGTCCTTTTCCCTCCCTGCCCTGCTTGAGAGGGGCCCCCTGGTGTGGACCCCCCAAGCTGAGGTCTGGGGGATTCCTGGCCATGAGGAGACACAGGCACTCCTCAGAGTCCTGGCCTGACTTCAAGATGGCTCTGGGGGTCTTGATGGGGCTCAGCATCCCCCAGGGCCAGGTGCAGGGGTTCACAGCCTCATCCTGAGATGTCAGGGCTCGCCCTGTGCTGGGTAAGGGGAGGAGGCAGGTGGGGGACCCAGGGCAGGGGCTTTGCAGAGGGGAGACATCTGGTGACTGCTGAACCCTGCCTGGCCCTGGGTGGTTCAGAGCTATGTTCTGGCCCCTCCTCTTGGCCATGCTGGGGCCACACAGAAGGGAGAGTCTGGCACTGAGTGTGATCCCAGCCCACTGGGAGCCGGAGACAGTAGGATTATAAATTCAGGCCCAGCAATTCAGAAGTAGCAATTCAGTGAGACAGACCTTGCTTCAGAATAATAAAAAAGGCGGGGACATGGCTCAGTGCAGAGGTCCCAGGAACCTGGAGAGCGCTAGGCTGAGGCCTGCTGGACAGCGCCCCCAGAGCCCTGGCGGGCATCCATGGCTACACTGAGATGAACTCAGAGAGGCCCGGCTCTTCCTCTGATGCTGGGCACGGCATGGGGGTCCTGTCTGCTTCAGGAGCCTGTGAAGGGGAGACAGCATGGGGCTGAGACGCAGAGCCAGGGTCTCCAGGGAGGCCTGTGCTCACCCTGCTGTCCCTTAAGTCCTGGCCTCATTTGGGCCGCAGGGGCACAGGGACATGACTTTTCCCCGAGACCCTGGCATTGACTCCTGTCCCTTCCGACTCTCACATGTGCTTTGGCTCCCTAAGGCCTCAGTCTGGGGCTCCTGTAGGCAACGCCCTACAGCCTGCAATTTTCAGGAGGCTGAGGCAGGAAGATCACCATGATTTCAAGGCCAGCTGAACTACACAGCGAGATCTTGTCTCAAAAAATCCAAAGAAAATAATAATTTTTTAATTTTCTGCATCTTTGGACAAAGAAGAGAGGTCAAGAGCCCTTTTCTTCCTTCCCCCACTTGCCCTGGGGTGACCTGGCTCTGGGCTGACGGGTGCAGACTCTGCCCTCCCCAGGGATCAGATGGATCCAGCCTTGTCCCTTCTGGCACAGGTCTGGCAGCTGTGAGGGACGCACAAGTCAGGACAGTAATGGGGGTGGGGCGCTGGCCACGGTGCAGGTTGGGGGCAGGGACGGGGATGGGCATGGGGCCTGGGCGCAGAGGTGACTCTGTACAGTGGCCGCCTCAGGCCCTGACTCTCTGCCGGGCGCTTCTCCCTGACTCCCCGCCACCTCTGCCCTCGTCCCTGGCTTCCTGAGGCAGCAGCTGCTTCCCCGCCTTCCCTGGGGACCCATGCAGTCTTTGTCTTCTCTGGCGCCAGGAAAGGGGAGGGTGGCAGCTCCCCTTTCCTGAGTGGGGCCCGGGGCTCCAGGGATAGCCCAGCCAGTGAGGCCCCCGCTTCCTGCCTGACGCTACGCCCCCTCCTTGTGCAGGAGCAGCCGGGAGCCCATCCTGGGAGCTGGGCACAGGGCTTCGCCCTCCAGGCGCCCTCTCACCCAGGTCCCAGAGCCCAGGAAGACCCAGTCCTGCCTCCATGAGCCCCTGCGCTGTTTGACTCAAGCAGCACTGGCCCGCTATGGGCTCAGTTTCTCCTCTTGCAAAAGCAGAGTCCAATTGTCACACAAGTCCCAGGACTTCAGCCCTGGATTGTCTGCTGGGGCCAGAAGCTGGACCCTAGCGTTATCTTCCTCCTTCCCTCCTGGCTCCCACTCATCTTTCTTTCTTTTTAGCAGTACTGGGGACTGAACCCAGGGCCTTTGCACTAAGCTGCATCCCCAGCTCTTTGAGTCACTAAAGAGCTCCCTGAGTCACTAAAGTGTCCGGGCTGGACTTGAATTTGGAATCCTCCTGCCTCAGCCTTCCACAGCACTACAGTGAGAGTTGTGCACCCCACACCTGGCTGGGAGTGTGCGTTTCTAACAGCTCCTTGACCTCCAGGTGCTGCTGGGTCAGGAGGCGACAGGGGCAGCTGGGACTCGAACTGGGAGCTCCTTACCGAGACTGTGAGGAGGACCTTTTCACCACGCTGCATCTCCACAGCCAGCAGTGCTGAAAGAAACCCAGGAGGGCGCAGGTGAGGCCAGGCAGCTGCCCCAGTAGCAGGGCCCTGGTAGAGGGACAAAGGAGCCCCTTCAGGGCTCAGACTGGCAACTCCACATGCTGCCCCTCCAAGGACCAAGGACCAAGGCCTGGTGCCCACTCCCTGCCGCCGGGCAGAGAGGGCTCTCTGTGGGGGCCTCGTGGGGCTTTGGGTCACCATGGTTCTCCAAAGGGCTGCTGCCCAGAGGGGAGGGGCTTTGCTCAGGCCGGTGGTCGGGACAGGGGCATTTTGGCTTTTTGTTTTTGTCATGCTTTGTCTTCCTGACACAGGGGTAGTAGTAGTCAAGGCTGGCCTTCAGCTTGCAGGCCTCCTGCCTCAGCCCCTCCAGTCCCACTGAGATACACATGGTGACAGGACAGGTGTGGGGACTGAGGTCTGAAGGGCAAGGTGCTTGTGGCTTTGGGGCTGTGGTTGGGATGTGACCCCGTGCCCTCCCTACTCCTCTGAGGGACCCGGGGACATGGGGACAGTTCCCATTTCTCCCTGGGGTCCTTCATGGGGGCACCTCCTTCCTGTCTACTACTGTGGAGCTCTGCAAACTTAGGGCAAGTGGCTTTCTGCCTCAGTTTCCTCCCTTGGAGGATTCCAGAAGCATCAGTAGCCATAGAACCGTGCCCATAGAACCGTGCCCGGCTCCCAGCACCCCAGGGTACCCCAACTTCACTCATTCTCCCAGTCTGTGCTGGCACCTTGGGGGCTGCCCACAGCCAGCAGGGACCAGATTGCAGCTCCTCCAGGTCACAGCGGCCCTAGCCCAGTGGTATGTAGGGGCACGGGCCACAGGTCACTCCTACCTAGGTTCTTCTGAGACCCAGTCTCATATGTTGTTCAGGCTGGGCTCAGACTCCTAGGCTCAAGTGATCGCCCTGCTTCAGCACCCTGAGCAGCTGCGGCTATGCCCTGTACCTCCGGGGCTGGCTTTCATTAATCATTTCCTATTATCGGGGCTGGCTCTCTGGGAGGCTAGGCAAGACAACTACAAGTTCAAGCTCACCCTAGGCAGCGTGGTGAATTATAAAACCTTACATGAAAATGAAAAATAAAGCAGGTCTGGGGATGCAGTTTTGGATGCTGAGTTAAGCTACCCTGGAGGCGGCCCCCATTTAACACATATCTGGGTTTCCCCACCCAGCTCAAAGCAGAGCCCAAAAACCTAGCCTGGTGCCTTGCTGTCCCAGGGGTGGGCACTGAGCTCGACCTGCACCCTGGTTGGGCCCTGTACACAGAGCTGGACCTGCAGAGGGGACACTGCCTTGCCAGGGTCAGGCGGACATGGCCAAGTGCTCAGACAGACACGCAAGTGAAGGCTGCCCCGGCCGGGGCTGTGGGACCTGTGCAGGGGAGTGGCTGGGCTCATACACCGAGCCCCTGTCCCAGGTGGGGACCTCTCCTCCGTCCGCCAGACCACACTCACCTGACTTCCGAGCCCAGAACATGTGGGCACCCAGGGTGATGAGGCCCATGGCCAGCAGGAGGGACAGGAGCACCAGGACCGGGGCCAGCAGGCGGACCGTGGGGATGGACATGCTGGGGAGAGATGGGGCACGGAGGCCGTCACCAGGGAAGCCCTCTGCGTCCCTGGGCTGGAGTCACTGCATGGACCTGAGCCAGCTGAGCCATGCCATTCCACTGCCGTCTACGCTGTGCACTGGCCAGGGGACCTGACAGGACACTGTCCTTTGCTGTGGGGCAGCCATATAAGGACCCCAGGGCTGTGACAGTGCAGCCCCGGCCCTCCCTGCATCACCAGGCAGGAAAGCTCATTCACATCGGGAAACTGACACGGAAGCTGTCATGTGGTAAGACATGGGGATGCAGGGTCTAGGAGGCAACTGAGTCCCTGTCCCCCTGGAGAGCAAAGGGCATGGGGACCCTGGTGCCCACCAGCCCAGCTGTAGATGCCCAGTGCCAGGCAGGGGCCCCCAGTGCCCACTGCCGATCCTGCTAGCAGCTACCTGCACCCCAGAGACCTGTCAGTACCCCTCTAGGCTGGTCTGCAGCTGGGGAGGGAAACAATGCTGGGTGGAGCTCCCCCTTTTTGGGGGTCTTTTTGAGACAATGTCTTGCTATGTGATTCAGATTGGCCTTGAACTCACTACTGAGACCAGGCTAGCCTTGAACTCACAGCGATCCTCCTGTCTCAGCCTTCCAAGTGCTGGGATAATGGGTGCGTCACAACTTAGCACAGGTTTCTGTATTTTATGCATGGCAAAGCACTGATGCAACACCTGCAGGCAAATGTCACTGAATCGGGGTGGCTGCATCTGAGGCCAGGCAGGGAGAGCAGTGGGGATGGACCAGCCTGGACCTTTCACCTCAGGCAGACTGTGTCCAGGGCAGTGGGGCTGCCAGGTCCTGTGGTTTGGGATGCACACTGCTCAAGAGCCCATCTGACAGCGGCATGGGGGCTGAGATGTGGCCCCTATCCAGGGGGTCGCCTGGGCTCACCTGGCCATGGAACCGTGGCTGCTGGAGACAGGACTGGGGTCCCCTGCTGGCGTGGAGGAGGAGGAGGAGGGGTCAGGCACCGTGGCTGGGCTAGAACTCCCTGTGGGAGGAGACGTGGCCGTGGCATGAGGAGAAGTGGCTGTCTCTGTATGTGGCAGTGCCTTGGCCCCACTGTGCCCCAGCCAGGGGGTAGTTGGACTGCTGGACCTCAGTCAGGAGAAGCTATGGTCCGAAAGCCATGGCTTAGCACTCCTGAGCCAGGCTGACCCTTGAATCCTGAATTCTGGCCTCAGGGACCAATGTTTTGGAGGTCTTGGGCAAGAGCCACCTCTCAGGCAGGGTCAGGTGGGGCCATGAAGAGCCAACCGGCAGGTGCTGGGCACAAAATACTCGGTTCTCACCCAGGCCTGGGTGAGGGGCAGTCACAGCTCCATCCACCCAACCCACACCAGTGTCCCCAGAACCACCTGGAGGAAAAGCACTGGGCCACAGCTCCAGTGAGTGCTGGCATCAGCTGTGTTCACCTCCCAGCTGCTCGCCTCCTGAGACCTTGACTGGTGACTCCAGCCCTGAGCAGGATGTCTGGGTCACGGTGGTGCTGGTAAACCTCAGGGCCTGGCACCAGGCAGCACCTCCCATCATGTTACAAAGCTCCACTCACTGGGTGTGGGGGGCCGCAGGGGCTGGGCTCCCGCCCTGGGCTGCAGGCTGGCGGTGGTGGCCGGAAGGGCCTGGAAAGAGGGGTCAGGGGAGAGTGGGCAGCAGGCCCTGGTGGTGACCATGGATCTCTCTGCTCCTGGAGGAAAGGGGAGGTCTGCCTCAGTCTCCCCGTCAGCCCACCTTCCACATGCAAGGATCTTGTTTCTAGATAAACAGTGGTCCTGTGTGTCCCCCTACCCTTCGTGAGGACACTCGACACCACTGCCCCAGGGTGCCAACCCTCAGAGCTGCCAGCCACCTGGCTCCTGGGCATCCCCTGGCAGGGCCCGTCCCTCTCAGCTCTCCCACTGCGTTAGCACCAGCCCACCGCTTGGCTCTCACCATGGAGGTGTGGACCCCTCCTCATCCCCCATGGAACTACCCACACCCCAGGGGGCTGCTGCCTTCTGTCTGCAGCTCCCAGCTGTCACCAAGAGAGGCCAGTGAGGTGTGATCCGGAGGGTCACATGATCGTGTGTGTCAAACTGGAGAGAGGAGCAAAATGGGGAGCCTCAAAAACAGATGGAATTGGTCACAACTGAGCCCCAGAAGTACTGGAAGGGATCAGAAAACGCTAAGAAAACAGGTCAGACTGAAAGTGGGATTTTCATTTTCTTTTTAGTGGCTTTAGGGACGGAGGTCGGGGACTCAGGACACCACCAGGCAGGTGCTGTGGCCCATGAGGTGCAGCTAGGGGCCCTCAGCAAGTTCAATGCTATTTCCCGGAATTAAAAGAAAGCCTTGAGGAAGACACACACCTGGCCCTAAGGGCCCCTGCCAAACAGAAGGGGAAGTAAGAAAAGCAGTGCCACCAACAGCCTGGGGCAAATCCCGGGGCAAGTCCCAGCCATTCAGGACCCAGGTGCCTCGGTTTCCCATTTGTGGGACAGGCACCGACCTCAGGCAGAGATACTGCTGCCCTGGGCCCTCTCTGGCTTCTTGCCTCTTGGCTCATTGGTCAGGATGGGCTCCTAGACTCCTGGGAGCCCCCTGCTCCTGGCCTTGGGCTTACAGGCTAGGGGAGAGCAGCCAGTGTGGGAGTCGGTGTGCGCAGGGCTAAGGGGTCCCCATGAGTCCCAAGGTGCCCCGCAAGGCTGCACTGGCTTGGCCACCCTAGCTTCATCGTTCCAGCTGCAAAGGCGAGGTTGCTTACTTGGGAAAACAGTCAGGGAGACCTCGAACCATTCTTCCCGGCCCAGCTTCTGTGCTCCGCACCAGTACTTCCCGGAGTCTTTCAGCATGAGGTCCCTGAGGGTCACTGTGAATGCTAGCTCTGAGGGGCTGTCCCGGAAGGACACCCGGTTTTTCGTGGCCTCCCGGCTGTCCTCTCCCACGATGATTTTATCGGAGCATCGAGAAATGAAGAGCCCACCCTCCCTGCACCAGTACTTTGTGCGGGTCCGCTGCTCCTCCCCGTAGGTGCACCGCAGGGTCACCGTCTCGCCCTCGGACCCGCTCAGCTCCTTCGGGCAGGACAGGGTGGCAGAAGCTGAAACATGACCCAAACCAGGCCCAGCATCAAGGCCAGCCCAGAACCCTCTGCCTCAGTGGCTCGGGCAGGACTGTGGGGATGCTGGAGGCCCGCTGGGGTCCGCAACCGCACCCTGAGGCGCAGCCAGCAGCTGAGGTCACTGCCTGACTTGGAGTGTTAAAGGCAAAGGAAAAGCTGGCTCTGGGGAGACCCAGCGAGGGTCATAAGCCAGGCAGGGCGGGGTCACCGGCTGGCCGGATCCTCAGAGCACGGCCAGGGGCTCCGAGGTTCAGGAACGCAACTGGGTCCCTGGGGCCTGCGCAGCACGCAGACACGAAGGAGATCCTCTTTGCACCCCAAGACGGCCGGCCAAGCGCTCCCCAACCCCCGACCCCAACCCCGCTTACCCCGGAGCGCCAGGCAGCCCCACAGCAGCACCAGCGCGCGCATCGCAGCGGAGCAGGCAGAGGACAGGTGAGGTCTGCTTGGCTCAAGCTTCCCGCCGGGTGGCGGGGTGCGGGGCGAGGCGGGGAGTCTCGGGGGCGGGGCATTGTGGGCGCAGTCCCGATCGACTCGGCTCCGCCCACTTCCCTGGCAGCTCCAGGCCCGCTGTGGATTGGGGAGCTCTGGGCTCCGGGGGGCTCCTGCATGGCCTCTGCGGTCGCTGCTGCACACTCAGGGACGTCGCATAGCGCGACGCTCCTAGGCGAGCATTTCATCTGCGGGTGTCAGGCTGATTACCGGGATGCCCGGTGCAGAGCTGGGGACCACCCCACTCCAAGCATAGTCCTGGGGCATAGGGCTACTCTCAGCTACCGGGCTGGGCACACAGGAGTCTCGAAGCCCCCAGGCCTCAATGCCTGGGTCAAAAGTACTCCGCCTTGGCTTTGGGTTTTTATTGCAAGGTGCATAGAGATTGTAAAACAAAATATTTACAAAACGGAGAGAGAGCAGAATAACCACTCTACCGGGGAACCTGGGGTCCCTGTGTCCCTCAGTCTCTGTGCCCGGAGACACTGGAGGCTCGTGGCCAAAGCGCCTGACACAGGCCCATCACCTGCTGCCCCTCTGCTTCCGGGCTCTGCGCCCGCCGCTGTTACTGACAGGCGGCAACACTGCGTCACAGGGCCCTGTCTTATGCCCTGGGCCTGGAGCCGCTCCTGTGTGTGCATAAGCCACAAAAGGTAAGGTTTAAACCAGTTAAAAAACGAAGTAAATAATATTGATTCTAGCATTTCACAAGGTATCTCTGCTGTTTAGTCCTTACACCGTATAATATGTAATCATCTCTTTCTTTCTTCCTCTCTTAATTTTTAAAATTTTTGACAACAGGGTCTCACCGACCTCACCCACATGGCCACGCCCCCACCTGCCACACCCACGGAGTGGGAAAAGAAAACCCCAACCCAGCTGGCAGACTTTGTCCATCCATCAGCTCCCCCATTGTAGTTGGTTTTGAACTCATTGTGTAACCCAGGCCGGCCTGGAACTCACTGCCATCCTCCTGCCTCAGCCTACCCATTGCTGCCATTACAGTTGCGGGCGGTGACGCCAGCTTCTTTTTTCCTAATGGTAATTTACTCATTATGAGCAGGGACCAGCATGACACCTGGGTCTGTTTTCTATTGTCCAGGACACTGAGTGCTGATATTTTGAGGTATGTTAGCTGGGGCATTGTATTTTGATGTAAAAGAGATGAAGTGTGGGAGAAGTTGTGCTGATTGCAATGTCCTTCCAGGAGAGTGGTTGGAGCCGGTGCGAGCAGTGTTGGACCCAGGGCTGCAGACTCCACACCTAACATCCAGCTACAGTGGGTGGAGGGAATTGGAGAAGGAGCTCTGGAAGTTTCCAAGAACAGTATGTGAATTCACCTGGCACAGAACCCTCAACAGAGCCCCACGGGACTCTACATGTTGTCCCAGGGGCCCAGAGACTGCTTCCGGTGGACATGAAGGGTAGATAACTGGGTATGCGGCAAAATCTCAGAAACCCTGACACCAAATGCAAGATGACACCTTGGGTTGTGGCTCAGGACAGAGGAAGGTGTCAGTGGGGGAACCAGGGAGCTCCAGATGAAGCCCAGGGCCAACAGCCAGGCTCCACGCAGTGTCCACATCTCAGCTGGAGCAGCATGCGGTACTTGGGGCTGGGAGGCTCTTGTGAGCTCTCCCGATGCACTTGCTACTCTGTCTGTAGATGGAAATTTATCCTGAAATATATGGTTTGTTTGTTTGTTTATTTATTTATTTATTTATTTATTTATTTGTCTGTCTTTTGGAGACAGGAACTCACTATGCAGTTCAGGCTGGCCTTAAGCCCACTTTGTAGCCCAGGCTGGTCTGAACTCGCAATGATCCTCCTGCCTCAACCTCCTGAGTTCTGGGATTACAAGCATGGGCCACCACACCCAGTTTATAATGCTTAACGGGGAACCACAATGAGCCCAGGAGAGAACAGGGGATCATAGGGCAGCAGCTGGAGCACACAGATACACAGCTCAGGGGCCAGTGCTATCCTTGGGACCCAAAGCTCAGCCACAGAGACTGGACAAGTGGGAGCTGGGTGCTGAGGTGCAGGAAGGGGAGATGTTTTAGCCTTGGCTGGAACCCAGAGGGTGGCGCCAGGGGGACTGAACAACTAGCAAACAAACCAGGCTGCTGTGGGCTTTCAGCCAACTTCCTGTCACTCAGTGTCCTCACAACTTGGCCTTGGACTTGAGTCTCAGGTGGCTCCAGCCCGGTACAGCCGTCCCCATCCCAACCCTCAGGGACCTCAGAGGCGCCAGGGACAAGGCCTTTCTGGGGGAGTGAGTGTCAGCCAGAGCCCCAGACAGTTTGCAGTTGTTTCAGATGTTCCCGACTCATGAAGATAAGTGCAGTCAGAGTGAGTGGTGACCATGCAGTGGGCGCCTGAGGATGCTAGAGTTGTGAGCTTCTGGTCCCATGGGGCAGCTCTGCTCTCTTCCTGGCACCCCGCTCACTCTCCTCCACCTATATCCCTGGCTGTGGGACGTACCAATGGGTATGGCTAAGTTGTCCTCTGGGATTCATGACAGCTGGCAGGCCTCCCTCTGTCCTGCATCTCTATCCTCCACAGCACCCAAGAGCAGCTAATAGACAGTTTTGTCTTAACAGCCTAGAAGGGGCATTGCTATTTTGCCAAAAAAAATTTATTTTTTGTACCAGGAATCGAACTGAGGATAATGCACTTGCCAGGTAGGTGCTTATGCCACTAAGCTAAATCCCTGGCCCACTTTTTGGATTTTTATTTTTAATTTTTTGACATTTATTTTAGATAATCATGTGTGGGTGCCTTAGGGCATCTATGGATATAAAGTAAAATTCTACTTTTTTCTACTAATTTGCTTTATTTAGGGTTCACGCTTTTGGTATTATGAGAAATCTGTGTCTACTGCAGAAATGAAAAATACATTCTATCCCCAGTGGGCCTCAGTTTGTTCTGGCTCGGAGTTGCGCAGCCCGGGACTGAGCAGAAACCAAGCCTGCTCCGCACACGCACAATCTACTGTGGTTGTTCTGAAACCTCTTGCTGGTGCTGTCAGAAAACAGCCTCATGGCCAGTGAAGTTTCCCAAGCTCAGGGGCGGTGCACCGCGGCGTGGGTCACCCAGGTCAGCAGAGGTCAGTAGAGGGTGGCAGCACCCCTTGAACGCGTAGCTGCGCGTGGCGCATGGCGGTGCATGGCAGTGCAGGCTTGGGAGACCAGGGACCCACCGCCTGGCACGCGCGGAGTGACCCACGCCCCATCCCGCGGAGCCACACGCGCCGTCTCCACGTCAGCTGACGCCCAGTGATCCGCGGACAAGAGCCCGCGGGTCGAGCCTGCGCACGCTCCCCACGTCCCTTTCCTCTGCGCCTGGGCTGGGAGTCACTCAGCCCAGGACTGGGCAGCGGTAGTTTCTGTAGCCCCCTGCGAGCATGACGCGCTCAGCCCATGCGAGCAAGTAGATTCCTCTGGCGCCAGTGGGGCCTCCACTCGTGGGGGCGTGTGTGCGCAACAGGCCGCGCGTGGCGGATCCTCCGGCTCCGAGCAGTTGGAGGAAGACTCAGGCCCCGCCCCTCGTCCCACCCACCCGCCGATAGCCCCGCCCCATACTACTGCCCCGCCTTCGCTCCGCCCTATCCCCGCCCCACAACAATATCCCCGCCCCTTCCGTCCTATGCTCCTCCCCCAAGGTCTACTCACCAATAAGGGGCTGCGCCCCGCACCCTTCCGCCCTTGCCCCGCCCTTCCGAATTCTCGCCCCGCCCCGCGCCCCGCCCCCGCGGCTGCGCCAGGGAGAGCGGCGCGGACGAACCGCTACGACAGAGGCCCGCCTGGGGCCGCGAAACCGAGATCCCGACGTAACGAGGTGGGGAGCGGCGTGCACGCGAGAGTGGGGCGAAGGCCGCCTCCGAGGTCCCGCCAGCCCGGGCCGCTGCCCCGCTTGGGGCTCCCCGATCTCCGGGTCTCCGGCCTGGCCAGACCCGCCGCGCGGGTCCCGGGGTCCCTCGAGAGGGGGAGGGAGCAGGGCGGGGCACGGCCGAAGGTGATTGGGCGTGGGCGGTCCTGCGCGGGGCTCGGACGTGGAGGTTCCCCAGCCGGGCTCCTGGCTCCACGGGTGGAGACAAGCGAGTCACGACTCCGTGTCCTCCGAGCCAGGACTGCTGAGGTCCATGCGCTGCGCGCTGGGGGCGCGGCCGGCACCCTCGGGCTAGGGGTTCCGTGCGTGTGGGGCGGGGGCTGCAGGCCTAACAGGCCGGGACTCAGATACCTGGACACAGTGGTGACCCTCAAGTCGCTCCCGCACCCGCCAGCCTCCCTTCATCGAGGAAACGCAACCCTCCGTGTTGTCCTGGGATTTTGCAGAGCAAGGAAGTCTGAGTCTCCTGGCAGAAGGTTCGGTGTGTTGGAGACACTGGGACACCCGACGAGTCTGTTTGCTTTGCTTCCTGTGTGAAAGGAATGAGCAAAGTCCCTGTCCCCGTATCTGCTGGACAGCCTGGCATGTTGCCGTCCTGTGCTTGAAGTCGAGGCTCCCCCCTCCCAGGCGGGGAGCCCCGGATCTGGCGGGTGCAGGCATGCCGGTGCTGTCTGAGGACTCCGGTGAGTGTGCGCCCCACCCCTGCCCAGCCCGACCTTGCTTGCTGCCCACACGCCCTGGGCCCTGGGGACGAGGGTGGCTCGGGGCCCCAGGGTGGGAGCCCTGCCTGTGCAGACTCCTAATCTCCTGTGTCCGCTTCAGGCCTGCATGAGACCCTGGCGCTGCTCACTTCCCAGCTGAGACCGGACTCCAGCCACAGGGAGGAGATGGGCTTCTTGCGGGGTGTCTTCAGCGAGCGGAGCCTCAGCTACCTGATGAAGGTACCCTGGCTTGGAGGGTCCCCTGCTCCCTCGGCCCTCCGAGGCATCTAGGCCTTGAGGAAGCTTTGTGGGGTACAGGGATCCAGAGTCAGCAGAACCCTGGTATCTCTGCAGATTCACGAGAAGCTGCGTTGTTACGAGCGGCAGAGTCCAACCCCAGTCCTGCACAGTGCTGTGGCCCTGGCTGAGGATGTGAGTCCTGGGACTTCCTGTGGTCACTGCCTCTTCCTGCCCCATCTGCTTGCTCAGCCAGCTGGGTCACTCCAGGGGACCTTATAAGGCCTGACAGGGCTAGGGGAATTGGGGACACAGTGACACCCACTTTGGGTGTGCTCTGCAGCAAGCCTGCTTCCTCAGCTGTGAAGCGGCAACATGGGGTCAGCACCTTGCCAGCCATCCTGAGGGCTGGCACCGAGTGTCTATGAGGCACTGCTGTGAGTCCCAGAGTCGGGGTCTGCGTGCTACGAGTCCCTGCTGGCTGGACAGGCCCTGGGACTGAATGATGGAACCTAGAGTGGCCTCCGTGCAGAGTTTCACACCCAGCCCTTTTCAGGAGGTGGAGGCAGGGTCTTGCTGAAGTGCATAGGCTGGGCTGGAACTTGCCATCCTCCTGCCTCAGCCTTTCAGAGTGCTGGAATACAGATGTGTGCTACTCGCTGGGCCTGGTGTGTCGTGTTTCTGAAGGATGCTTCTTGATTTCTTGAGCCCTGGTCCTCTGAGTTGCAGGACTAGGGCAGAGCTGTCCTGGGCTCTGACCATGGTCTCCTCCCAATAACTCAGTTGTGCCAGGAGGGTCTGGGGGGCCTGGCACAGACCCCATTCTGCTCCTCTGCCTGTGACACAGGGCAGGGTAGATGGATCACTTGCTTCCAGGCTCAGGGCTGCCTTTGCTACCTGCTCTGTGTTGTTCCCATGGTGTCCATCTCCCTGTCCAGCAGTGTCCTCAGCCATGCGGTGGCACAAAGGGCAGATCTGGGTTCAAGTTCTGCCTTTGATGCATGGAGATCAGGGCCTGCAAGACTCAGGGTTCTTATCTGTGTCCTGCTTCCTGCATTCCTTGGAGGGGTTTGCTGGGGGCCGGGGCTCCCTGGTGTAGCTCCTCAGATGGACTGGCTGAGGGTCCAATCTGTCCCAGGTGTCTGCAGCCAGGGAGGAGGCCCCTGAGGATGCCCTACTTGTGCCTCCTTTACAGGTGGCGGAGGAGCTGCAGGCTGCCTCGGTGCATAGTGACCAGAGGGAGCTGCTGCAGTTGTTGGCCACGCCCCACCTCAGGGTAGGGACCTGCACCCAGCCTACCACCCCTGCCATTCCTGGCTCTTAGGGTGGGGATATGTGTCCCCTCCATCCCTACACTGTGGTCCCTGCCATAGGGCTCTCACCTCCTTCCTCCCTCTCCGCTGCAGGCCATGCTCATGGTGCACGACACCGTGGCCCAGAAGAACTTTGATCCGGTGCTCCCCCCTCTGCCTGACAACGTAGATGAGGACTTTGAGGAGGAGTCAGTGAAGATCGTGCGCCTGGTGAAGAACAAGGAGCCCCTGGTGCGCGGTGCTTGCCTCCCCTGCTGCCCCAACCCTGAGGCCCTGGTGTGAGCAGCAGCAGCTTTGTCACTGTCACTGCTGTCCCCTGGGCCCTGGGTCAGCGGGGGCTGTGTGGCTCTGGAGCTCCCTGAGGGGAATGTCTCCTCCCATGTCACCCTGCTGTGTTTCCTGGGTCACTCTCTGTCCCAGAGTGGTGGCAGGGATGTAGGAGACCCTGGACCCTGCAAGGTCAGGGCTGAGCACTGCTGTCCCCTGTCCGTAAACGTCAGCAGGTGCCGGGCGGATGGGAATGCTTATCACATGCTTCCCTGCTCCCCGTCCATTGGGGTCTGGGGAATGCTGAGGTACCGGTCTCCCTCTGAGATGTCACAGTGTCGCTGTGCTGGGGTCTGGTGGGGGGTGATGGTGGTTTTCCTGCGTCTCCATGGTTTTGCTGCGGATGGTCTGGAAGTGGGGTCCAGGGGCCTGGCTGCCTCCCCAGCTCCCTGTTCTGTGTGCGGCGCAGGGAGCCACTATCCGGCGGGATGAGCACACAGGAGCCGTGGTGGTGGCCAGGATCATGCGAGGGGGTGCCGCGGACCGCAGCGGTGAGTGAGGGTGCCTTCCACTCTGGGGCTGCTGTCTGAGAGGCTCCTTGCTGACCTGGGCTGGAGGAGGATCACTTGAGGACAATTTTGAGAGTGGCTTGGGCAGCACAAGAAGACCTGGTCTCCAGAAAGAAAGTAAACAGCAATAGGTGTCCTTGTCTTGATGACACTGTCACCAGTGCCCTGAGGTCCCCTTACTCAGGACAGCTGCTCAGGAGAGTCTGGCTGGGAAGTGGGGAGTCAAGGCCCTTTTTTTGTTTTGTTTTTTATCTCTTTTTTGGGGCAGGGTCTTGCTATGCAGTTCAGGCTGGCCTGGAGCTCACTTTGTAGCCCAGGCTGGTCTCAAACTTGCAGTAACCCTTCCTCAGCCTCCCGAGTGCTGGGATTGCAGATGTGAGCCACCACGTCGGCCCCTTTTGTTTTTGTTTTTGTTTTTTCTGTTTCTCAGGTTTTTTTTTTTTTTCTCTTTCTCTTTTTCTTTTTCTTTGTAGTACTGGGGATTGAGCCCAGGGCACTCACCCTGAGCTACATCCCCAGCCGTTTTTATTTTGAGGCAGAGGCTTGCTGAGTTACTAGGGTGGGTTTCAGACTTGCAGTCCTCCTGCCTCAGCCTCTCAGTTGAGATCATAGGCATGCACCACCCGGCTAGTTAGTGACGTTTTAAGGAAGCAGAGGCATGCGGCTTTCTACCCTCACTGGTGTGTGAAGAGCCAGCGGCCTTGCCTCTCTTCCAGCTGGGCTTGTGCCTGGGGCTGCACCAGGCAGTGAGGAATCTGTGTGCCTGTGCTGGGTCTGTCTCAGCTCCTGCACTGATGCTGACCCTGTATCCCCAGGCCTGGTCCATGTTGGGGACGAGCTCCGAGAGGTGAACGGTGTCACCGTCCTGCACAAGCGGCCCGAGGAAATCAGCCAGATTCTGGTCGGTGCTGCCTCCAGGGGCTGGGATGGGGAGAGGGCTCCTGGGGTGACACTGAGGGCTCTCGGGTCCCCTGGGCAGGGCTGTTGCCCCAGGGCCCTTGCTGGTTCACTGCTTTCTGGACTGGTGGCTGAGTACAGCTGTTTGTCACCTGGGTAGGGGAAGTAGAGAAGGAGGTTTCTCTATAGGTGGGGTTGTGCACGGGGCAAGGGGGGGCTGCTTGTGGAGGGGCAGGGCAAGCCCAGGGCCGTGTGGGCCCAGAGCAGGGGTGTGAACATGGAACCTGAGCAAGAGGTGGGGCCTGGGGTCAGGGCTGTGGGGCAGGGGCACACGGAGGGCACTGAGACCAGGCGGGCTGTGGACCCCTGGAGCCGGGGGGTGACAGGCCCTCTTTTTGTCCAACAGGCCCAGTCGCAGGGCTCCATCACCCTCAAGATCATCCCGGCCACTCAGGAGGGGGACCGCTTCAAGGAGAGCAAGGTGGGGCCTGGGTAGGAGGGTGAGACCCCATCAGTGCCGCCCACTGGGCAGGGCTTGGCAGCACCTGCTCATGAGGAACAAGCAGGAAGTGGGAGAGGGTCCCCAGCACGGCCCTGGCTGAGCCTCCCTTGGTGGCCACTAAGCTGGAGCCCACACAGCAGCTCCCTGGGCAACAGGGAGGAGGGTGGAGTGGGTGCTCCCTATAGGGGTCTCGTCTTGGAGGCCAGGGCTGGGGAGTAGGGGGTTTGGGAGGCAGAGCAGATTCCTGGGAGGGGGTTTGGGGTTGGGAGTTGGGGTCCCATCCATGTGTGATGGCCCCAGTGCTTCCTGAAGGGTTAGGGTACCGGCCCTGCCTGGGGTCTCAGCCCCGTCGCCTGTGGATGCTTGTCTAGTTCCCCCATATAAATGCCGTTCTGTCACCCTCCAGGTGCAGACACTTGCTAAGGCAAGTGTCTGCACCTGGACTCCACCAAGCAGGGCCTGCGCCTTCAATGGCCCAGCCCTAGTTGGAGGTGCTGAGAGATGTTTGGAGGTCTCCATTCTCTGACGCCCACCCCCTGGATTTGCTTGTTTGCTAGTTTCTCCTTGCTGAGGATGGAACCTGCCTACCAGGCCCTTTTTTATGCTGTTGGTTTAGAGCTTGCCTGGGTAGAGGCTAAGGCAGACAGACCTCCGATGAGGTCCGCTGGGGTGTCGCGGTGGGAGAGAGCTTGGGGATGGCACCAGGCAGGGCACAGGACCTGAGCAAGGCGAGGATGAGTACAGGGTCTCCCTGACAGCATCTTGGCGTGGGAAAAGGGGCTGTTCTCGGTTTGCAGCACTAGGGATCGAACCTGGGGCCTTGGGCTCACTGGGCAGTGCTCTACCACGCGACCCTCCCACAGCCCTGTTTGTTTCTATTTAGTTTTGTGACACTTTTTCTAAATTGCCCAGGTTGGATTTGAACTTGAAGTCTTCCTGCCTCAGCCTCCTGAATAGCTAGAAATACAGGTGTGCACTCTACTTGTCAGAATTAATCTTACATGACAGTGTGGCTGTTTCTTTCTTTCTGGTTCTCTTTTTTTAATTGTGGTTCTGGGACTCAAACCCAGGACCATTTGGATCCTGAGTTACACCCCAGCTTCTGCCTCTTGTCCAGGCCAGCCTCAGATTTGCCATTGTGCTGCCTCAGCCTCCTCTGTGCCCTGTCATGTGACCGCAGCTGGTTTGTGTAAGGCTATTTCTTTCCAGATGGAAGGTGCTTCCTGCAGCAGGTGGCTGTGCTGCCTGTGTGTGGTTCTGGAGCTTGGCTTGGCCCTATGGGCCCTGTTGCCCCTGGAGGACACACAGGCCCTGAGCCTGGGGTTTGTGCTTGCTCTCCGTTCCTGACCCAGCTGCTCAGGGCAGTGCCCAGGCTGGCGAGGGTTCCTGTCCCCAGAGTTCGAGACAGGGAGTTCCCCTCTCCTGGCAGGTGGTGGAGGCATCGGGCTCTAGCTCAGGAAGGCCTGGGCCGCCTCCTGCTCTCTGCCCAAGCTCCTCTGGCCCTGGTGGTCAGGAACCTGAGATGTGTGCATGGACCTCGGCTGCTGCTACACAGGAGACCCGGGCTCTGCAGGCAGCCACTGGGCAGGGCGTGAGGGTTACAACACATCAGGGTAGGGGTGGGGAACAGCACCAGGTGTTGGGAGATGCGATCTTGGGGGCCTCTGCTATCACGGATGGCAAGTTATTGACTGAGCACACAGTGTGTCTCTCGGGTGCTAGGACACAGGGAGGACACTGCTTGGGCTACAGGTCTCATTGTGTCCCCTGGGCCCCAGGGCCAGTGTTGTCGAGAGGCTGTCTAGAGGCAACAACCAGGTGGGCAGAAGTGTCCAGGCGGGGAAGAAGGCAGTCACACGAGATCTGTTAGATTCTGATTGCTGAGGGTTTTCCAGGCTGGAGCATCCACAGTGACTGAAGAGCACAATGCAAAACTGGGCACAATGATGTACACCTGCACTCCTAGCAGCTGGGAAGCTGAGGCAGGAGGATCCCAGATTCAAGTTCAGCTTGGGCAACTTAATGCCTGCATTCAGTCCCAGGTGCCACAGAAAGACATGAGGGAACAGAGGGAAGGAGGGAGCAGCGGAAGGAAGGAGGCCCAGTGCAGAGCCATGCAGGGCATGCCGAGGGTCAGCTACACCTCTGGCCACTCGGAGCCCTCTATCCCTGCAGGTGTTCATGCGGGCCCTGTTCCACTACGACCCCCACGAGGACCGCGCCATCCCCTGCCAGGAGGCAGGGCTGCCGTTCCAGTGCAGGCAGGTGCTGGAGGTGGTGAGCCAGGACGACCCTACCTGGTGGCAGGCTAAGCGTTTGGGTGACACCAACCTTCGGGCCGGCCTCATCCCTTCCAAGCAGTTCCAGGAGAGGTGGGTTGGGGCAGGGGGTGGATGGCGCCAGTCTCACCATGCTCACATGCGCCCTGTGCTTCAAAGCCACCTTGCTTGTGTGACTGTCGCATGCAGAGGCTGGGGTGTCCTCTCTTTGTTTTTCTTTTTGTTCCTTTTGTTTCGCAGCACTGGGATTGAAGCTGCCTTTTGTGCTGAGCTGCACTGTAAGCCCTTTTGTATTTTACATTTTGATACAGGGCCTTACTAAGTCACTGAGGTTAGGCTCAAACTTGGGGTCCTTCTGCCTTAGCCTCCCGGAGTGCTGGGGTGACAGGCGAGCACCACCACGGCCAGCCTTTCTTCTCATGTTTAAGTGTGGCGTTTGGACACTGGCTGTTCCTGTAGGACTGCACACCCTCTGCAGTGTTTTTTTTTTTTTTTTTTTGTCTTTTTCCTTTTTATCGGTACCAGGGATCGAACTCACGACTGCCTGTTTGCAAGGCAGTCGCTTATGCTGCTGAGCTAAATCCCCAGCCCCACACCCTCTGCAGTGTGATGCGCTTGCCTGGGGTTTATGACAAACCGGGCCAGCCTTGTGCGGGGCACCATGGGCCATGGTGAACCCATGGCTTCTGCCTAGGGAGCTGCCGGGGCCATAGCGAAGCGAGCGGTCCTTAAATGCATCCCCACTCCATCCTCAGGAAGCTCCAGCCCTAGCGGGAGCTCAGATAGACCCTAGTGACACTGACCCAGGACATGGGGGCCAAGACAGTGAGAGGCCTGGCGTTCTTTGGCTCCTGCAGTGGTCTCGGGGGGGGGAGGGGAGACACGGGCAGCAGGGCCCAGTCCTCTGAGATGGAGGTTGTGTGAGGCCAGGCTCGTGCCCACCAGGGCACCCAGGCCTCGGTTTCCCAGAGTTTCCAGAAGGTTCCTTTAGCTGCTTCTGTGTCCCCTTGTGTCCGCAGACGGCTGAGCTACTGGAGAGCCACGGGCACCTTGCCAAGCCCCCCAAGCCTTAGGAAGCCGCCGTGTGAGTAGCCGGCAGCACCCAGAGGCAGGGTCGGGGGTGCATCAGGGGGGCCAGGGACAGACGGTATGGGGAGGGTCCTATTCCCCAGTGGCTCTGAGCCATCCTGCCCTGAGGACCCTGGGTCCCACAGCGGCAAATGCAGGCGAGGGACGCTGAGCCTTGTGTGGCTCCTGGTAGGCTGCTCAGTGCAGGAAGCTGAGGGGTTCTGCGTTGCTTACCAGAAGCCCATTTTGCCAGGGTGTTCTGTGTGTTACCCACAGAGGATGCACCTGGCCTTCCCGCCTCTGGTTTGCTGGTCTTTGTTTGCTTACGGCGCTGTGGGGAGGTCAGGACCGCACGCTCCACACGGAGCTGCCGCCTTTAGTGATCACAGCAGCCCCTGAAGTAGGCAGAGCCAGGTGCCTCTGCCCGGGGGAGGCTGGCGCCTGCACTGGAGTTTAGGTGAGCAGAGCTGAGGTTTTGGGGACCCCACACAGGCAGGAGGTGCAGGTGTCCGGGACCAGGGTCCACCTGGGACACCTGTCTTTCCTGGCAAGTCTGCAGCCCCAGGCAGGAGTGGGGAGCCACAGGGCCTGCCTGGGGGACACAGGCAGCAGGTGGGGTTTACAGCATAGCAGCTGGGCAGGTGTAATGGACGAGGCTGCAGGTGGAGCCCCTGAGGCTCCCGAGCATCCATCCCTGCTAATGCTGTCTCATCTGTCTCTTATGCAAACCGCAGACGACCAGCCTTATGACTCAGGTAGGCTGGTGTCGTCCGTGCACGAGGGTGATCAAGGCGCCTCTTCCGGGAGCTGGAGGGGCTGTGGCGATGGACGGGGTCCTAGGCCTTGGGCCCCATGCCCTGGCTCTGCATCTCACCCACAGGAAGGGGTGCCTACAGCTCCTCACCCTGCCATGGCCTGGAAGGGCTGAGGGGAAAGTATGAAGGACACTGTCCCAGGGGCTGAGCTGTCAGGGCGGCCAGGACGTGGTGCCAGCCTAGGTACCCCTGCCCACCGCTGTCCCCAGCTGATGGTGGGTCCAGCCCCTCACTGGCTTCCCCTGTTTGGTTCCCAGAGACCTGTGACTGTGATGGGCACTTCAAAGGCCACTACGTGGGTGAGTAGCCAGCTGTCCCCTGGTGACTCTCAGCCTCCAGAGTTGGGGGACACAGCGGAGCTGTTGAGGGAGCCCCAGAATCCAGCTGAGAGCAGCAGACCCTGGGATCCTTGTCTCTCAGCCTGTCGTGGTATTGGGGTGCTGTCCTGGAGAGGGTAGTGCAGGCGTGCACCCCTTGGTCCGTTTTCTGGGAATGCTGCCCCCCACATGACCTCAGTGCCCACCACTCCCTCACAAGGTGTCCAGATTAGGCTGTGCTCTACTGTCCCCAGAGGCTCTGACCAGAACTGCGCTGCCTGTGTGGCTCTGTGCCCGGTTCACGGACCAGCTGTTGTGGGTCTCCTAGGTCAGCTGCAGGCCTTGCGTCTGTGCCCTGGGTGCAGGGCCCCTGCGACTGCCAGTGGGTGGGGCCTGGGGTAGCCCCGTCCTGAGAGGTTGGGGGCCGAGGCCCACCATACCCCTCTGTCCTCCCAAGCTGGTCTGCGGAGGAGCTTCAGGATTGGCTGCCGCAAGAGGCCAGGTGGTTCACAGGATGGGAAGGTACCTGTGGGCTCTGAGCCCTTGGAGTTGCCCACCTATGAGGAAGTGGCCCAGTACCAGCCGCAGCCTGGCGAGCGGCCCCGCCTGGCAGTTCTGATTGGTAGGTGGTGTCCCGCCACTCTGCTCTATCCCCCATTCTCTTGCCCCAGGTCTGCTGAGTTTTATTCCAGGATGATGGGGACCCTCTGCTCCCTAGGGTCTCTGGGCGCCCAGCTGCAGGAGCTGAAGCAGAAGCTGGTGGCTGAGAACCCACAGCGCTTTGGTGTTGCCGTGCCACGTGAGTTCCTGGGGGTGGTTGCGTGTGGGTGGTGGGATTCCCTTGGGCGTGTAGGGCCTGGACTTCCCACATTCACCAGAGGAAGGTGCAGAACTCAAAGTGGAGACCTGAGGTGGGGTGGAGGCCCAAGGTGGGCTCTGATCCCTGGGCTTCGGGTTGCTGGGCACCCTGCTGAGTTGGTCTATGCCTCAGTTTCCCCAGCAGCAGTGGGAGGCCTCCTACAACATCAAGGTTGTAGGAATCGGGATGTGGCAGGGAGGGTGCTGTGCCTGGCTCCAGGTCCTGGCCAGGCAGAAGTAGGGGAGCCCCGGTGGGTGCCTGGATGCCAGGCCCAGCTCCTCTCCCCCTTTAAAGACACCACCCGGCCGCGGCGGAGCCACGAGAAGGAGGGCGTGGAGTATCACTTCGTCTCCAGGCAGGTGTTCGAGGCCGACCTCCAGCACAACAGGTGGCGTGGGTGACCCCAGGTCCCCGTCTGTCCCCAGCCACAGGGCCCAAGGAGGGTGGTAGTGGGAGGGACCCCGGGAGGCCATTTCCCCTTTTGCTGTTCTGTGGAGGCTCGGGAAATGCAGGCTCTCTGTCCACATGCATGCGGTGTTGCAGGTTCCTGGAGCATGGCGAGTACAAAGAGCACCTGTATGGGACCAGCCTGGGCGCCGTGCGCGCCGTGCTGGCCAGGAACAAGGTCTGCGTGGTAGACGTGGAGCCAGAAGTGAGTGCCTGTCCAGCCCAGGATGTGGCCGTTGCTTTAAGGAAATTTTAGTCCAGAATCTGGATGTTAAATATCGCTGGGAACTGAATATAGCCAGAGAACCCCGGATGTGCATCTTTGCCCAAACTGCACAGTTGTAGGGCGCCCTGGCCTTGTAGCCCCAGCCCAGGGCACTGATTCCAAGTGGGGTAGGGCCCGAAACCCACAGTGCCCTGGTGTGCAGGACCAGGAGCCAGTGGCTGAGCACTGGTTTCCACATGTCCACCAGGCAGGAGGAGCAGAGGCAAAGGCAAGGGATCCCGGGGTGCCAGGGGAGGTCGCCAGGGAGTGAGACAGAGGGCCTGGCCAGAGTCTCTGAGCTGCATCTGGCTCTGGCCATTGGCGGCTGCGACCCCAGGGTCCAACTGTCTTGTCAGCCCAGGCTTTCTGGAGAGCTTCTAGGCTTTGAACCCGGCATGGGGAGGGGGTGTGGCTTGGTGAGGTGAGGCCTGAGCTGTGTGTTACAGAAGCACCATTTCCACACAGCCCGTGTGCCCAGGAGGGGCGACTGCGTGCTTGGGGCTTCCTGGCAGCGGGTGGTCAGAGTTCAGTCAGGACTCCGAAGAGTTTTTAAAAAGGGTTTTTGTGGGATTTGCATGTGTTCAGATGTGCACACAGCATGGGCACTGGGGTCTCCAAACAGCTGTGCAGGGGCAGAGACAGGGCTTGGAGACGCACGCTCGTGGGCAGGAAACCCCATGCCTCCGAGTTCGCTCTCCCAGGCCCCTTCATGTCCTTCCCTCCACACCCCTCTTCCCCTGGCATCAAAAGGAGGCCATGCAACAGCAGGTTTTGTGGGCCCAGAGGTACAGGTGACATCTGTCTAGCTGATTGTTCACACAGCCCTGCTTCACCAGCCTCTGGCAGCCAGCGGGTGGCACAGGGCTGGGCAGGTGACTCACAGCTGGGACCACCCTGTCTGCATGTGGCCTTCAGGCCTGGCCGAGTCCTGGGTCAAAAGGGAGGGGTGCGAAAATGAGCATCCAGGTGAAGCCTGCCGTCATAGGCGCGGGTGACCAGGGCTTCACCGCTGGGTTCGAGGTGGCGTTTTCTGTTGTCTGTGTCATGGTGGGTTCTGTCTCGTGTGTGTCCTGATCTTGAACTTCCTGCCTCAGGCCCTGAAACAGCTGTGGACCTCAGAGTTCAAGCCCTACGTTATCCTCGTGAAGCCTGTGGTGCAGGAAAGGAGGAAGACACCGCCCCTGTCCCCAGCCAGTGAGGACGAAGCGGCCCTGCCTGTGAGTGAAGTGTCCATTCTTCTGTGCTGGAGGCTGAGGAGGCAGCTGGTTGCGTGGGTGCTGCGGGTTGGCAGAGGGTGCGGGGCTGCTGTGCATGTGACCAGAGGACTCGCCAGGCGCGTCCCTCCCAGCATGTGCACACACAGGCGTGCACACACACACACCAGCCCTGCCCGCAGCCTGATTTCTATCAGAGACTGGATTTTCATGTTTTTGTTCCTAGGGTGGCTTTTTTCAGCCCTTGGGCAGAGCTCTGTCCCCAGCCCTTCATTTCTGTTTTGAGACAGGGTCTGGCTAAACCACTAAGTTGCCCAGGTGGGGCTGGAACTTAGGATGCTCCTGCCTTAGCCTCCCAGAGAGCTAGGCTGTCAAGCATGCACCACCAGGCCAGCGTTCTCTGGAGAGCTGGTCTCAGCTTGATAGGCCGCACACATCTGTGCAGACCTGCAAGTTTTTTAATTGCAACATTGACTGCCAAGGTCGTGGTCATTGCTTTCAAAGGCATCTGAACCCTCAAGAATTAAGCTGTGAACCAAGGGTACAGCTCCTGCATGGGCCTTAGAGCCTGGCTTCTTTGTCATGGCCCCCCCGAACTCCCTGGCGGGGTCTTCCCGGAGTCAGGGCGCCATAGTGCTGCCTCCCAGAGGCGTGGCAGGGTGGGACACAGTTGTGGGGCCCAGGTATCTCTGCTTGCTGCCACGTGGCTCCCTCTGCACGTGGCCTCCCAGCAATGCCCGAGACATTTATTGAAAACATTTCTTTAAACTTGCCTGTCCTGGAACCCAGAGTTCAGGGAGCAAGAAAGGTCTCAGCTCTGGGCTCTCAGCCATGTTCCATCCGCCCTGTGCCTGCACCTCGCCATCTGGGACCAAGAGGCTCTGTGGCAGTTTTGAAGTCCCGAAGTGAAGCCTCCTGTGTATTCCTTCTCCTCCAAGGTCGTCTTAGCCCTCTGGTCCCCAGTGTTCCCATGTGAACTTCAGAACCAGCTTGGCGATTTGTTTTGCTGTTTTGTTTTTTTTTTTTTGAAGAATATTTTAGGATTGATGGGATTTAATAACCCAGGGTAAAAAGTTTACTTTTATTTTATAGGTTTTTTTGTTGTTGTTGTTCTGGGGATTGAACTCAAGCAAGTGCTTCTGCCACTGAGCTAAATCCCCAGGTTTACTTTTGGAAAGAATTAAGAGTCAGGTGGTGCATGCCTATCATCTCAGCCCTGGGAAGTTTGAGGCAGGAGAATTATAGTGAGTTTGAGGCCATCCTGGGCTCCATAGTGAGACCCTGCATCATAAAAACAAAAACAAGATAACAAACAAACAAAAAAAAAGCAGAGAATAAAAGGCAGCTCTCTGGGACACCAAGGAAGACCAGCCAGTTTTCCACAGGAAGCCCTTTGCCCAGCCTCCCATGTCTCCTATGATGCCGACCTCAGCGGGACTGCTGTCCTGCAGCCTGGCTGGGTTGGGTCTACGCCCCTCCTGGAACCCTTAGCAGCCAGCCGTGTCCTGTGAATGCCCCGCCCAGTGGCTACAGTTGGGGTCCGATATTGGTTTGGTGGTGCAGCCCATATCTCAAGAGGCTGAGGCAGGAGAATCTCAAGCTAGATCCCAGTATGAAAAACTGGGAAATGTTTCAAAATAGAAAAGGGTTGGGCTTGCGGCCCAGTGAGAGGGTCTGCATTGGGTCCTGGTACCATGTGGGTGCACACACGTACCCCAGCCATTCCCCACTGCCTCTGCCACCCAGGACGAGGAACAGCAGGACGTGGCTGCCTCCGCCGCCTACATGGACCAGCACTATGGACACCTGGCAGATGCGGTGCTGGTGCGGGAGGACCTGCAGGGTGCTTGCACGCAGCTCCGGGCGCTGCTGGAGAGGCTGGGCACAGATGCCCAGTGGGTGCCCGTAGGCTGGGTCAGGTAACTGCCCAGGACATCCTGCTGCTGGGCACTCGGGACCACGTGACCAGCCTGCCTCAGCCTACCATCAGGGATCCACCATGGAGAGCAGCCCCATGGACTCCCCTCAGGGAGGGGACAAGTGGGGAATGACGTGTTGCTGGGTTGTCTGTTGCTTGTCACTGTGCCTCTTTCTGAGCTGAGAGGAACGCGTCACAGAGCCCCCTGTCACTTATTAAAGCACACACAAGCTGGTCCTTATCTCTGTAGGGGAAGCCTGGGCAGGTGGGTGGGCTACAGTCACTCAGCGCTGTCCACCACTGCCGTTGGAGTTTGCGTGGGGCACAGAGAGGCATCTGGCCCTGGGTCTTCCCAGGCACCGAGCCCCACATGTTGATTTTAATGTGTTGGATGGCGCAGCTTGGCCTGGGGGAGGTCGCGCTCCAGCTGTCACAGCTGTCTTCTGAACTTCAGAAGACAGGTGCCATGCGGGTCGCTGGCCTCTCCCCTGGTAGGGACCTGAGGCTGCATGGGCTGCCCAGAGTCCAGTTCTGCAGCTGAGCCTCATCTTTCCTCTACCTGCTGTCCCTCCTGGGGTTGGCAGCAGCCCTGGTCAGCCTGTCCCCGAGTCCTGATTCCTGGGCTCCTGAGAGTTGGGTTGTGAGGGACCAGGCGAGTCCTTACCATGTTCCATCAGGCATGGCCTCATGGTCGGCCTTGCATGGAGTGACAGTCACCGGGCTGCAGCCACCGAGTCTCTTGGCATCAGCTCCTGCTCTCGGCAAAGGCCCCTGCTACCTAACCCTTGCGTGCACACCACGCTGCAGGGTGAGGCTCTCACGCTTGCCCTGTCAGATGAGAGAAAGTGAGGTTGGGGAGAGGCAGACATTGTGCCTAGCAAGTGGCACCATGGTGCTGTGAGCTTAACTCTCCGTACCAGAGTGGATTCTTCCTCCCCACCGTTCGACAGCCCCTCACTGTTTCAGTGATCCTCCTGCCTCAGCCTCCCGAGTGCTGGGATGAGGGGGTGCCATCACACCCCTCTTAATACCCACTCTCTCTGGTCCCGTCATTGCAGCACCCAGGGAATCACCACCTTGCGGCACAGAATGTCACTAGGGTGGTGACCATGTGCAGTGTGCTGTGTCCTGAGCCCGAGAGGTGATTGCTTCCCAGTGCAGGGAGCTCAGCTCACAGGGCTGCCGAGGCCGCTGAGGTCCCCCTTTTCCTTCCCACAGCTCCTGCAGGGTGGGGCTTCTTCCCGCACAGCACTGCTCCCAGCCCCAGCTACTGCCTGACTCCCAGGGCCAAAGGTGGCTGCCAGGCGGGTGCATGGCAGGGGCAGAGCAGTTTACTCCGAGTGGGAGCTGGGATGTAAGCTGCATTCCCAGGCTCAACTCCTCGGGACCCGTGCCCGAGTGGCCTGTCCTCCGGGTCGGGGCAGAGGTGTTTGTGTTCCCCTGGGACAAGACTGCTGTGCCTCACCAGGCAGGTGCGGAGATGCTTGGCCTAGGCCGTGTGCCCCGAGTGGGGAGGAGAGCAAGAGACAGAGGTCGATGGGAGCTGCAGTTTCACTGCTGGGAGGCGGGCACCTGTTGCTGAGGTGCTTCCGGCTCCGCCTGTCGCTGGTGGTGCACACTGAGTCCTGCGACAGAGGTCCCTGAAACATGGGCTCCAGCCCCACTGCGGGGCTCAGCCTATGCCTGCACAGGAGACACGGAGCGAGGTTTCTACACACACACGTCACTCGACCCCACCGTGCTCACGCTGCATGGCTCACAGCACTGTCCAGTGGAAGCGCAGTGCTACCTGGACCTTGTGGGACACGGGGCTCGGGGTCCACGGAGCAGATGAGTGAGTGCAACCCTCCTGCCGTTCCTGCCGCCGACACCGGTTCCATTCCCTGCAGGGCAGCTTGGCACATTTGAGTGTGCAAGTGCCTGACATGACCAGAGACAGTGCAGTTTTTAAACATAAAAGTCACTGGCCCGATTCCTCCAAAAACCTGCCCCTCGCTGCAGACTCACCCTGTCGCCCTGTTCTTTTCCGAAGCAGCTCTGGGTCCTCTGCTGAGGGTCTTCAGCTGTGCTGTGCTGTGCTGTGCCGGCCACTTCTGGGTTCTGAATCCATTCACAAGTTTCCCTTTCAGAGTGCCATGGGCTTTGGGGAGGAGCTGGAAGGCCGCAGCCTCTGGGCCGGGAATATGCAAGATGGGCAAGCACACAGCCGCGGGTGTCTTTGGTGGCTCTCGCAGCAACAGACACTGTGCTTTCAGCTGTACCTTGTAAAGACTCAGGAAAGGACTCCGGAGCTGCTTCACTTGGAGTGGCTGGGATGCGTTTCTTTTGGCGGGGGAGATTTAAAGGGGAGCTCACGCAGTGTACCATTTGCTGTAATTAATCATCTTTTTAAAAATGTAAACGTCCTGCCAGATGGGGGGAGGGTGCATACCTGTTATCCCAGCAGGTGTGAGGCTGAGGCAGGAGGATCACTGTGAGTTTGAAGCCAGCCTGGGCTACATAGTGAGTTCAAGGCCAGCCTAAGCAATGTAGCAAAACCTTGCCTCAAAAACCAAAAATCAAGTGGGGGCTGGGGATTAAGCTGTGGCTCAAGTGCTTATCTGGTAAGTGCGAGGTGGTGTTTGATCCCTGGCACAAAAAAAAAAAAAAAAAAAAAAAAAAAAGAAAGAAGCATTCACCATGGGGTTTGGTCTCTGTTGTGCTTTAGGGCTTGGCCATCAAGTCTCAGATCTGGTATTTTGCAGTTGCAGTGTCCTGCAGCCCAGTGACAGCTCCTGAAGGCACAGCCACTAAGGCCTCCATGAGGGCGGAAAGCCTCAGATCCCTGGCAGTGTTTCCCTGCCTTTCCCTCCCTCCCCGCCAGATGTGCTCCTGGCCCCTGCGGTAGGCCTGGTGGTTTCAGAACAAGATGGGGTCTATGGCTCTTTCTCCTCCTGCAGGTACAGTTGAGCACCGGGGGATGATCTAGATCCAGGAAGGGGCTCTGAGAGCTGCTAGGCTGACAGGCCTTGGGCTTCAGCGCACCACAGCCAGTTTCCCCATTTTGGTGTCACCCCAACTTGACCATGGAGCATAGAAGATGCCAAAGCTGCTCCCCCTGACTTAGGGTGGGAGAGCCCTGAGACCCCAGCAGGTGGCCCGATGCAGAGGTGGTAGCAACAGCCAGGTTCTGCCCCGTAGCCTGGGGCACAGAGACCTGTCCAGCTGCAGGACACAGCCCCAGCTCTGCCTCTTGGAGACAGCAGCAGTGGCCACAACTCCTGGCTGCTGCAGGAGTTGTGAACTGCAAGGGTCGCTGCCCATAGTATACTTCAGGGCAGGAGCACCACAGGCTGGGGAGGCTGCTGGCTGGCAGTCACCCCACTGAGCTTCAGGTGTGGCTCCAACGTAAGCCCCCCCTGAAATACATGCAGAGACAGAAAGCTTAGCTACGAAATGGAAGATATGGAAAAAAGGCTGATAGAAATTGCGGTAAACAAACCTTGAAAGGCAGAAGAGCTCAGCAGATGGTGACGCTGAGGAGCAGCATGGCTGACTGCAGACCGAGAAGAAAGCAGAGCTGCCGGGAGCCGTGGACAGTGGGGTCCCCGCAGGAGAGGAGCTCGGGGAGCATTGGCTGGGGCCATCCTGAACCCCAGGAGACACAGACCTGCAAGTTCCAGAGTGGGTGAACTGCAGGTGGTGAAGCCAAACCCCCTGCACAGCAGGGTTTGCCTACTGGAAGCCGAGGACTGAGGAAGCCCGGTGGCTGGCAGGCACAGGGCAGCTCCACACTGGGCACCGAGCACGGAGCAGTGGCCAGGCCCACACCACTGAGGCTGGGTCTGGGTCGCAGGGCAGGGACACGGGAGATGCTGGCACTGGAGGCCGTGCTGTTGGACGCCTGTGTCCAGACATGTGGTGCATGCCAGTCACACAGAGCAGCTGGGGACCACGGCATCAGGGACAGTGCATCTGCCGAGCAGGAAGCCATGGAGAGAGCCCACCCACCAGGGAGCGCAGCCCGGCTCCCGCATGGGAGGCAGAGGCAGCATGGTGGGGGACAGGATGGCAAGTGCGAGGGACAGGCCGGCAGGTGTGGAGGACAGGCTGGAATGCTTGGAGGAGAGGCCGGCACGGGTGCACGGATTGTTCCCAGCTGACTGTGTGGGTCCGCGTCTTCGGTGAGTCTCGAGTTCGTGGCAGGGAGCTGGGGGGGACCAGACACGTGGCCTCGTTCTTGCCCTTCACCCCACTCCCTGCCTGCCTACTGCCGGTTTTCTTTCACTCTGCTCTTTATCGTCCCTCTGGGTTTCTCACTGGAGCAGGAGCCGGGCAGCCCCGGAGCCCGTGCATCGGGTTCATCTCAAAGTGTGGGTCTCCTACAGACGCATCCGCCCTGCGGCAGAGCCAGGTGCCCACTGCATTGTCTTCGCCTGCTCATCTGTCGGGGGCGCCCGGATTCCCTGCTGCACCCTGGGTCTGCCTGCCAGGGCCACGGTGGGCATGCATGGGCACCGTGACACCACATCCCTCTTTCGGGAGGGCACCCCTGAAGAATGGTCGTGGCCAGCGGGGTTTCTAGGTTTAGTTTTCTCAGGACTCACCCAGGTGATTTCCATAGCAATGTGCAGTTGCTACGGGTGGACCTGACCACCCCACTTCGAGCTCCAGACGCCACGCCAGTGTTAGTGGAACCCTCGCCAGGGTGGACCACGCCCAGCTCAGGGCACGAGATGGCAGCCATGCTGGGTGGGATGAATGGAGCCAAACTGAGCATAATGGCAGGAAAACCTCCTGGTGCTTGCAACCCAAACAGACAAATAATGCTCGAAATGTACCAGTGACCAAAAGCACAGGGGTTAAGGGGTTTAGCTCAGTGGCATAAGCACATGCCTGGCAAACAAGAGGTTGTGAGTTCCATCCCCGGTACAAAAAAAAAAAAAACCCACAGGATGAGCTGGAAGCTCCAGCTGCAAAGGCCAGCGTCCAAGTCCATGAGACAGAGCGGCTGTGGTGGTGCACACCCTTCATCTGAGCTACTCTGGATGCTGAGGCAGGAGGATTGCCAAGTTGGAGGCCAGCCTGGGCAATGTAGTGAGACTGTCTCAGACTCAGATGTGGAAAGGGCTGGGGATGTAGCTCAGCGGTGGGGCGTCCCAGGTTTCAGTTCCCAGTACTGAAAACTACTGGGCTGAGAGTGTGGTCTAGCAGCTAGGAAAGGACTGTAGGGCCTCGTGGGGGCTCCTCCGAGCTTGGGGAAACCACCCATCTCCTGCTGAGAGCCGGAACTGGAGTCCACAAGGAGCAAAGCCACCGGACCCCTGGTGCTGGTGACACAGGGTGCCGGGGACCTTCCGTAGGCTGCGGTGTTCTGGGTGGCAGCAGGACCTGTAGGCTGTGGTATGAAGCTGGTCCTCTGTTACCTAAGAAAGATGGCTAACAGATTGACCTTTTCAATAAAGGATCTGATCTCGTGTGCTGGACAAGGCTGGCCTTTGTTGTGTGGGGGTCAAAATTCCTCTGGACAGCGGTCCCCCGGGACAGGGCTCGGACATGCTGAGCGGAAAGCCCAGGAGGCCCAGGGCAGCAAGGTCTGGTGCAAGTATGACTCCGGCCATCCACATGGCCATCTGGATGGACACGGGCCTCAGCCCTAGCAGGACTGGGACCAGCTATAAATGATTTGTCCTTGGGCATCTCAATGTTTTAGCTTCCGATTGGGGCAACTGCACTTCTATGTGCCTGTGAAGGAGGGGGAGCTGAGGATATCCTGTCCAGATCCCCAAGGTTCATGGTCACACCCGTGGAGTCAACGTCTGTCCAGTCCAGACCAGAACATCAGTGGCAGGTGCTCTTGGGCACTGCCCCCAGGGAACCCTGTCCTGTTCTGTGTGCACAGGTCTTCCCAAAGCTTTGCTTGTGGTTGAACCAGTCATGACCCATCCACAGGTGGGAACATGGAGTACTACGCAGCAATGAAAGGACCTCAGGGAGATGATGTCAAGGGGCCAAACTAATGTCACAGGGAACGGCAACTTGTGTGACCCTGTTTACGTGGTACCCATGAAAGAGGGAACATAGGTTGATGTGCCAGGAGTTGGGCATGGGGGGTGGCACATGAGTGTCTTTGGATAGTGGTGTGGGTATGTGTGTTGGCATTGGCCATGTGCCCACACAGTAGCCTGCACTTTCCAGCATCCCTCCCGGGTTTGGGGCCTGGCCATGGGTGCGGAGGGTCAGTCAGGCTCAGCCCCGCATAACGCTGCCTCCTGCCCCCCTGGGCCTCAGTCACAATTTTGGAAGAGAACAGCGGGTGGGGCTGGCTCACAGGTCTGGGAACCCGTGGAGGATGGGTACTGTGGCCAGCACGGGGATGACTGAGTCTGTCGGCCAGTGCCAGTTCGACATGGCCTGGAGGGGGGTTTTGCTGCTCCCAGCATGGAGAGATGGACACCTGGTGCTGATGCCGAGGACCCTGGTGTGCCCGCTGTCCTCTGGGCATGAGTCCAAATGCCACCTCACCTCACGCACATGGGCAATTGAAACACCAGGCTCAGCCTGGACCCGGCCGCTGTGGGCACACATAGGGTCTCCCTCCCCTTCACTGGGGGCAGCTTCCTGAGCAGAGCTCACGAGGGGTCCCCTCCCAGGCAGTGACTACGTCTGTCCAAGTCCCCACTGCCCCCTAAGCGTCTTCCCATCACCCTGACGAAAACACCACTCCTCTGCCCACCAATGGCCCAGCTTTATTATGGCATCCTGAGGCCGCAGGCTCTCTCACTCTAGAGCAAGGGTCTTGGAACTCGGAGTGGCCCAAAGCCTCTGCCATTGTCTTGTCTCCAGTGACTGACCTGGTGTCCGTGGGGGAGAGAAGGGAACAGTGGCTCTGCAGCCCCACTCGCTGGGCACCGGTCCTCCTCCCCTCACCCAGGGAAGGGGCTGCTTGGTCATGGACGCTGTTAACACCCAGGGCCGTGTGCCAAAGACACAGACAAGCATCTGGCACCAGGCCACAGCCATGAGCATCTTGCAGGGACAGGGTGCCCCAAACATGTCTACAAAGCCTCACGTGACAGATGAGTGTCAGCCCTTGACAGGTGACCAACCTCTGTGGGAAGAGAGACCCCTCCCTGGGTTGAGGTGTCTGCAGGGGCGAGGGTGACACCCCGCTGACCTTACCTACTCATCCTGGGAGACCAGGTACCTGGTCGTATTCCGGATATAGCGCCTCGAGTTCTGGAAAAGAAATCAGAGAAGTTTTGGTCGGTGCCAGGAAGGCTTGAGAAAGCCAGGAAGGGCAGGGCTTTCAGAACACTGCAGAGAAGCTAGTGGTGCCCACCCGTCACCGCTCGGGAGGCTGAGGCAGGAGGATTGCCATGAGTGTGAGGCCAGCCTGGGCTGCACAGTGAGTGCAAGGCCAGCCTGGACTATGTAACAAGACCTGGTCTCAAAAACAAACCTAACAAAATGCTGCAGAGGTCAGGCACAGAGGCCCACAACTCCCATCCCAGGTACTCAGGAGGCTGAGGCAGGAGAATCAAAGGTTTGAAGCCATTCTGGGCTGCTTAGTTCCCAGGCTAGGTAAAATGTAAAGTGGGGTAGGGGCCCAGGGTGTGGCTCAATGGTTAGAGCATTTTCTCAGCCTGCAGGTGCCTTGGGTTCAAGCTCCAGGACCACATAGAACAGAACAGCCACACACACACATCACTGCCTGTGCCCTGTCCATGAACAGCCTCAGGGGAGCCAGTTCACCAGGCTTGGAGTCACTCGGCCTCTTGGTAAAGCAAGGGACGTGGGGAGACACCACCAGTGTTCCCAGCAGTGACACACAGCGGTGCCACCGAGACACAGGGCTGTCTGGGCTTCATACCCTCAGCTCTGCCTAGCAAGAAGTTTTCCCAACAGCCTTGCAGTTTTCCCAGCAAGCCTTGTGGTTTTTCCAGCAAGCCTTGCATTCACAACCTCTCACCACCAGGAGTGCCATGCCACGTACCTGCCAGTCGATCTCAGTCACCTTTCGCTCGTAGTGGGACTTGCGGTCGCCCAGCCGCCTCAGGATGGCTTGATTTTCCAGGGTGATGCGCATGAGCTCTCGGTTTCGCATTTCTCTGTTTAAACTGGAAAACACCAAAGCCCAGGTGGGTGGGGCACAGCTCTGCCCACACTTGGAGCAACACCCGGCCATGGGGCCCAAGCATGAGGCAGGCACAGGGTGTGCTCACTCCGGTGTGTAGAGGGTTACCCTGGTCCCCAACCCTGCTGCCTATGGCTCTGTAGGTCTGGGGTGACACTCGGGCTTGCACATTCTGTCCAGGCGCCCAGAAAGCAGCACTGGCGGCACCTGGCACCCGATAGATGACTCACAAGGGTGGGTGGCAAGTTTTGGTTCATCTCATTCCCCTCTGCCTCCAGTTTTGAGATTCATCAAGGTTGGCCTCGAACTCGAGGGCATCCTCTTGCCTCAGCCTCTAGAATGCTGGGGCACAGGTGTGTGGCACCACACCAACAAAAATATGTATTGCTGCATCTCCCTCTTCCTGATGTTCGGGACTCAACAGTAAAGAGGAAACGGGTATGGACTGGGTTAAAGGACCCCTTGTCACCGCCCAGGATGGGGGGCTGTCTGACATCTGAACCCCCACAATTCCTACACTGAAATCTTAACCCCAAGGTGGCAGTATTAATAAAGGGGCTTGGGGAGATGACCAGTTCACTCCAGGGGACCCATGCTCCCATCCCAGGAGTCTGAGGGGCCCCTGGCCTGTCTTGCCCCGCAGGCTCACAGCCCTCACAGCTAGACGCTGCCCTGACCCAGCAGGGAGCTCGCCAGGGCCTCGACCCAGGACATCCTGGCCCCCAGTCCCCAAGGACTGGTTTGCCACCACGGGGAGCAGCACTGGTGTGTGGCAGCGCAGCCTGATGCCAGGCCACGGAGTCTCGGTGTCACGGAAGCCCACCGTGCCGGCTGGGACACACTTGGTGGTGGGCAGGTGTCCTCCGCCAAAGCCAGGGCAGCACCTGCCTGGTGGGGTAGGGGGGCCCTTCCCGAGGCTGCCCCCTCCCTGGTGCGCCTTTCAGGACACCTTTGAGGACTGCCTGGACCCTTGCCTGGCCCTATGCTACCTCTTGGAGAAGTAGGCGTTCCAGCAGTCCACCCGCGCAGGGCCGCGGTGCGCGCTGGCGATCTTCGCGCACAGCTGCTTGTTCTCGAACTCGATCTTGTCGATTTTGTTCTGCTCCCACTATAAGAGGACCGGGCCTTCAGTGGTGACTCGCACAGCTCAGCGGGGTCCCTGTCCTGTCAACTGTGGGGACGAGCACTCTGGGGGAGCCCGAAGAGCCCTGGGATGCGCCTGGGGTCGCAGGGAGCTTGGAAGGCCGGGTGTACACCTGTCTCCCTCTTTCAAACAAAGATAAGGCCAGCTGCGAAGGATACCTGCAGTTTGCTCAGCTTTAAAACAAGATGCGTGTGGGCCATGGGAGGCTTGGTGTCCACAGCGGGCTTTGCTGCAGGGGACAGCAGGAAAAAGTGTCACTGCCCCAAAACCTGGACTGGAGCCCCAGCCACAGTCTCAGGGCTTTGAACTCTGGCCCCAACCCCTTCTGGCTGCCTCAGTTCAGCTGAATCTCCTAGACTGGCATCTCTGGGGTCTGAGCAGAGATGAGACACCGGTGAGAGACAGCGGCACCCTCTTAGCCAGGGACATGGCTGCTCCTTCCCCATGTCACCAGCCCACAGCCAGCGTCACCCTCCCAGCTTGGTGGCCATCAGTGTTCAGGCCAAGGGTGGTGGCAGCGCAAGACAAGCCCTCAGCCCAAGCACTGAGCGGGCTGAAGCCCTGGCCGGCTTGGCCACGTCCCTGACCTGTCCCCTCCGGGAAGCCTGGCTAGCAGGTCCCCGTGCTGCTGCACCTGTCTGGAGCCGGATGCGGTGAGAGAGGTAGTGGCCCAGGTCCAGCTTTTTCCTGAAGGCAGTGGTCTGCCTGTGGTTGGAGACGATCACGGGGTAGGCCAGGTAGTCCAGGGAACTGTTCATCCTGTCCTGCTTGTGTCCCTGCGGAAGTGAAGCTGGGTGGGCTGCGGAGCATCCCCAAGGTAAGCTGTCACAGTTGGCCAGTGTGACATCAGGGACCTCTGCAGAAAGACTGGAAGAGTGCGTGTCTGGCTGTCTCTAGGCATCTGTATGTTTATGTCCTTTCTACTTAGACGTATTTTTGATTTTATTATACTACTGTTTTTGTTTTGTTTTGTTTTCTGGGACAAGGTCTCACTATGTAGTCCAGGCTGGCCTCAAACTAACTCATAGTGATCCTCCTGCCTCAGACTCCAAAGTGTTGGAATGATATGCATGTGCCACCACACCTGGCTGTTTTTTAAACTGACAAAAAATCTGTACATCTTTTGGGGTGCAGGGCACTCAGCTGACCAGGTGCACTGCTGTGATCAGGTCAGGCTCTCAGTGTTTCTGTGTCCCGGTACGTGTAATGTTCTATGTGGGGCTTTGGCTTCTGTTACTTTTTCTGAGGCAGTGTCTTCTGTGTAGCCCAGACTGGCCTTGGATGTGGCAGAGTCCTCCTGCCTCAGCCTCCCAAGTGCTGGGAAGACAGGTGTGTGCCACCATGCCAGGCTTGTTTTTCTGCTCACATCTAGAGGTGGCAGAGACTTGGATGGAGCAAGAACGGGGCCTGAGGCTGGGCGGGGACACCACAGCCTAGGCCTGGCGCCTGGTGCTGAGGTGTGAGCTGAGGCTTCAGGGTATGTGGGAGGTGCCCACAGGGTATCAGACTCGAGGCCTTCATCTGCGGGTGAAGAAGTGGGCTGGGAGCCATGGGGAGGTGGCTCTGGCCTACCACAGACCTCTGTCCATGACACGACACTCATGGAGCTCAGGGAGGGCTAGGCAGAGAAGCCCAAGGATGGGGCTCGAGTCTCTGATGAGAGAATCTTACCTCTGGTGGGGGACGGCGGGGTGCGTGGCTCGCCAGGGCTGGCAGGCTTGGGCCTCCCGTGTCCCTGGCTACTCCTGCAGGTCACCTGGTGGGGCGCGCTGCCCTCTCACCCACAGCCACAGAAGCCGCGCTGGGGCATCCACACTCACAGAGCTCTGGGTTTGACTCCGAATTGCGGTTGGCCGGTATAGTCAACTCCCCTGCAGAAAATGCTCCTGAATTGCGGTCTCGGGTCAGAACCAAGCCTGTGGCCCGAGGTGGGGACCTTGGAAGGCAATATGGGGTGTGTCAGGCCCACAGTGACGTGGACTGTGCCCTGCACTGAGTGCCTGTCCGTCCTGGTTTACAGTCACAGAAACCAGCTCGGTTGAGGGCTCCACCAAAGGGCCCTCCACCCTCAAGAGCCTGGCACTTTCGTCAGACGCAAGTCCCAGGGTCCTGCTGAGAGCAGAAGAGCCCAGTGGTGCCTCACAGCAGAGGTCACCAAGTGGCCTGGGGGGCGGGGCTAGGGCCTTATGGGCGGGCCTAAACGCAGGCGTGGTCGCCGTGTCGGGGCGTGGCCAGATGCGAGGTAGGGTGGCTCTAGGGGCGGGACCGTGGGAGTAGGCGTGTCCAGGAAGATGGGTGGGACCGTCTGACTAAGGGGGCGTGTCCAGGCCGTTGTGGGGGCCAGGAGATAGGTGGCGGCAGGCGGGGCAAGGCGGGAGAGGCGGGGCCAGATTATGGGTGGGACAGGTCTAAGGGGCAGGGCCAGACGGCGGGGCGGGGCCACCCCGGCCGCAGCCCGGGCTTCAGCTCCCGCCCCACAGCCGCCGTCCCCGCCTGCCGCTCCGGCTCTGCCCGGCGCAGGCCCCGCCGCCATGTCGGACCCGTTCGAGCTCTCGGTGCAGGACCTCAATGACCTGCTGTCGGACGGGAGCGGCTGCTACAGCCTCCCGAGCCAGGCGTGCAACGAGGTCGCGCCCCGCATCTATGTGGGCAATGCGTGAGTTGCCTGCGGACGGGCGGGCGCGGGGTCTCCCGGTTGCTGGGTCCTGGGGACCTGGGGCTCCGAGGCTCATTCTGGTCCGGGTTGGGGCCTCCACCGCCACGTAACAGGTGGCCTGGTATCACCGGCCACTGTCTGGCCCGCGCGTCATGGGAGAGCTGCCCGGCTCCGCAGTGAATTCACTGCGGAAGGTCTGCCCTCTTTGGCACGGCAACGCGCTGACGTCCGGGCCGGGCGTAGCCCCTTCCGGCGGGGCTCTGAGTCCTGAGACCCCCAGGTGGGATGGAGACCTGCGCCCAGCTGCAGAGCAGGTGGCCGTGGGTGGGATAAACCGGCGAGGATCCCTAAAAAGGACCCCGGCTGCGCCCTGGAAAAGGTTCCCCCAGCCCCACCTGCAGGAAGTGCTTGTATTGCCAGTCACTTACGAGTTCTTAGCAAACTGACTTCGCCATGTTTCTGTGATTCAAACTACTAGTGAGAATCCAACCCTCCCGTCCCACAGGCGAGGGCCAGCCTTGCCCTTCCTGAGAGGTGAGAGCCCTGGTCAGGGCTCCCCCGTAGCGAAGCTCCGGCCAGCCTGGCCAGAGTTCAGAGTCCGAGTCAGAGCCCAGCAACGGCCTGCAGGCGCCCTTTTTTCTGGACTCCGGGAGCGGGGTCATGATGGCCTGGCCTATGTCCCGCCTGGTGTGCACCCCCTGCCCTGCAGCGAGCATCCCCACAGGGCTGGGCAGGCTCCTGGCCTCACCCAGCCACCCTGAAAGCCTGCTGCACCAGGCACCTGCCCACGCGCACTCACAGCATGGTCACGACAGTTGCCGCTCGTGGGCTGGTGAGCTGGTGCTGGAGGAGAGGATGGTGGGGGTGGCTCTCTGTTCTCCAACGTGTCCCCAGCAGAGAGAGCATCAGCCTCACCTTCTGCCACTCCTTTAGCAGCGGGGTGCTGGGCTATGCTGGTGCACTGAGCCAGCATCGGTGCTTCCCAAGTGGGAGCCAAAGTAGCGAACAGCTGGTGGCAGCCAGAGTGGTGAGTGGTGGGCACCATGACAAACAGCCCCTTGCTGGGCAGGGTGGCACATGCCTGAAATCCCAGCTGCTTGGAAGGCTGAGGCAGAAGGATCAAAAGTTCAGGGACCCCCAAGGTCCATTTGGCAACTGAGGCCTAAATCTCGGCTAAGTCTCGGAATAAAATAGAAAGCTCTGTTGTGAGCCCCAGCGGAAATAGGAAAGAAGGGAGGAAGGAAGTTGCCAGTCGTCTAAGTGAATCTGATCTTGACTTGTTGTCGCAGGCAGGCAGGGCTGCGTGTCTCTTCCCTGGCAGCTAGGAACAGCTGGATGCTGTCAGTAGCAGGTGCTCTTGTGTAACAGACAAACCACCAAGGGGGTCTTTGTTGTTCAAGGAGGCCCTGTGGCTATTCCAGCATGACTGGTGGGTCTCTGGAGGGGGCCCACTTGGTGGGCAACAGTTTCATCCACCTATGTTTACGCCAGGCATTGCACAGGCTGGGGACAGGCCTGGAGCTGGTGGCCTGTACCTCCGAGCAGCTGAGTGGCCCTATGGGTCACTGCAGTGAGTCAGGCTCTCTCACTCAGGGCTCACTGGACACTCAGCCCTCTGGGCAGTAGGCACTGTTGTCTCCATTGACAGAGAGGAAAGCTGAGGCACAGACAGGTTAAGGGGCTCTCTCAGGGCAACCTGGCGGGTAAGACCCAGGTGCCTGCTTGGTGGCACCTGGCATGGAGAGTATGTGCCTGTGGCAGTGCCAAAGGGGACACATCGATGTGAGGCCACCAGTCTATTTGGGGACGATGTGGTAACTGGATATGGCCAGGGTGAGGGAGGTCATAGCAGGCAGGACGGGCTGTGCCCACGGCTTGGCATCCTCTGGCTGCCCTCATCTCAGACCCACTGTGTCCCGCACCAGGTCAGTGGCGCAGGACATTGCAGCCCTGAAGAAGCTGGGCATCACCCACGTCCTGAATGCGGCGGAGGGCCGGTCTTTCATGCATGTCAACACCAATGCCAACTTCTACCAGGACTCGGGCATCACCTACCTGGGTATCAAGGCCAATGATACGCAGGAGTTCAACCTCAGCGCCTACTTTGAGAGGGCCGCAGACTTCATCGACCAGGCCTTGGCACAAAAGAATGGTGAGGGGCCTACCTGCCAACTGTGGATCCCGGGACCAGCGGGGGTGGGTGGCATCAGTCTGGGTGTCCCCAGAGATCAGGCCACAGCAGGATCCGCTGGGACCCTCTGCGTGCCGTCTCTGGTGGTCTGCACCTTGGTCTGTCCGCCCGGGCCCCGGTGAGTGTACCTACCTGCCCCTTCCTGAGGTGGAGGCTGGGGACCTGAGGGAGGTGCATTATATCCATGATGCAAGGTCCTGAGGTGACAGAGCCAAGGTGGCTTGGCAGTGGTACCTAGACTGGATTTCCCCAGCCAGGGGATGCAGGGACCCAGCTGCCCATGACTGGCTGAGGCCACAATCAGCAGAGCTGCATGTGGTGGCAACAGGCAGGGGACCCTGGGAGTCGCAGGCTTCGGCCGAGCAGGTTGGGTCCTGCCCTTTCTGCCATCTCTTCCCCATGTGCCATCACCCTGTCCCTTCTGAAGGGACAAGGGGACCCTGGGAAGAAATGTCCTGTCTGTGCTCGTGGCTGCTCCTAGGTGCAGGGCCCCTGCCCAGCTGGCTCCAGCACACAGTCCCTGGTCCCCGGAGCGAGTGGTCAGGCCCCCAGGACCTCCCCCTGGCATACTGAGTGCCTCCACCCCGCATGGGGCCCAGCCCGGTGAGGGGAGGCTTTTGCTGATCCATCCGGCCTCAGGACCCCTCGATGTCTGTTTTGAGGCCCCTGTTTTGAGGCCATCTAGAAGGGACCCTGCTTCTGCCCTCTGCCTAGCTATCCTGTCCATCCTCTGGCAGATGCCACCTCGTGCTGTGACACTGGGCCTGGTGTCTCATGTTCCATGCAGCCTTCGTGGGCCCAAGGTCCCCGTCTTTAGTCCCAGGCTCACTGCTGGTGGTTACTGGACGGGGGACCCTGAGTCCCACTGGTTCTGGCAATGTGGGCAGGAGCTGGAGTGACAGTGACTCAGCAGAAACAGGCAGGCTGCTGGCCGTGCTCAGCCCATGGGACCTGGGGCTGTCACTGTCATAGAGACTGGGTGGGGTGGCAGAGGGTGAGGAGGCACCAGGCACGGCGGGGACTGGAAGTGGGCAGGCTCTGTATCCACTCTGGTGAGGGGCAGCAGCAACAAGGGGCTGACTGGACACGGGCCGGGCATGGGAGGAGGTACACAGGAAGGTGACAGGCAGCAGATGGGGCCAGCTGAACTCCCCCATGTCCCATGTCCCACCTGGTAGAGGCATAGGAGCCATGTATGGCTGGATGCTTCCTGCTGGCCCCATGTGTGTGCCTGAAAACCACGCAGGACACCGGCCCCTCAGGGCCCACGGGCACACAGGGCGAGGGCAAGAGAGCCATCTTGTTCCCAGGCTGAAGCAGGGTGACACTGATGTCACCACATGCCTCAGAACAGCACAAGAATGAAGACATAGGCAGCGTTGTTTCGGGAGTGTCCTGCTCTGACCCTGTTCACTGAGAGTGACATGGAAACAGCCCCCCAGGGGGCTGTGGGACACCTGTGTTCCTGGCTGTGTGACAGGTCTTCATCTGGCTTGGCTGAGGAAGGTGGGGGTCCCCAGGAAGCTCTTTCTTGGGGTCCCCAGCTAGGGCCAGCCCCTCTCACCCTGGTGGGCGGGCAGCCCTGAGGTGGGCATTAGGCACAGCAGCAGGACCCTGGGGCACCTCTGGGTGGCCCTTGGGGACCATTGCTGCCACTGTTGCAAGCTGTGGTGTAGATCAGGGCCAAGTTGCCCAGAGAGCTGGACACAAGCCCCAGTGCTGAGGAAAGCTGCACTTGGAGAGGGGGAGCAGGGGTGTCCTGGGGAGCAGGAGGGGACTGGGACTCCACGGGGTACAGTAGGAGGCCGGGGTGGGGAGCCCTGTCGTACTCTAGGAAAAGCCTCAGAGACAGGGGTAAAGGGCCTCCCTTGCTGAGGTGTTGTTAAGGCCGATACCCGATGTCCTCTGTTCCCTGTCTACTCTTCCCCAAGTGCCCACTGAGCTGCCGTGTCACTGGGCCCCGTGAGTATGTTCCCAGTTCTCCTCTCCAGTCACACGCACTCTGTCCTTGACAGCAACTCCAGGTTTCTTCCTTGTACTCCCCACTTCCTTCCCTTTTCACTGCTGAGTAATATTCCTGCTGGGCCTACTCCTTGCTCAGCCCCCAGGGGCAGGATGTTGCATGTGGTCACAGTGTGGGCTTGGGGAGCAGCCCTGGTCACTCTTAGGATGCAGACAGTCTCCTAGGCTGCCCCACACCAGGTCTGCTGTCCTGAGGGGCCACTGCCCTGCCCTGCAGGCTGCACAGTGCTGTGTGATGTCCCGTGCTGTGTCTGGGAAGATGCTGTCATCACCAGCACTGTCGGTTCCTTCACTGCCCAGCCCTTGGCAACCATGCCGCACTGCTGTGGCTGTGTCCTTCCTGACCAAGGTGGCTGCAGGGCGGGAGGGGTGTGCCCAGCTCCATCACTCCGGCCCCCAGTGCGGTCCGTCGCCTGAGCCAGCAGGCACCTGCTCACGTCCCACACATCTCCGCAGGCCGGGTGCTGGTGCACTGTCGAGAAGGGTACAGCCGGTCCCCCACCCTGGTCATCGCCTACCTCATGCTGCGCCGGAACATGGACGTGAAGTCTGCCCTGAGCGCCGTGCGGCAGCACCGCGAGATCGGCCCCAACGACGGCTTCCTGGCGCAGCTGTGCCAGCTGGACCACAGGCTGCGGCAGGAGGGGAGGCTGAAGCTCTAGGCCACGCCACCCTATGCCCAGGGGGAAGGATGGTGTCCCCAGCCCGTGTCACCAGGCACCTGCCCGAGTGTGTGTCCCAGTACCGCCCAGGGCCACGTCCCCTGAGCACACAGAGAAGCTCTGCCGGGGTCCCGTGTCCACTTCCTGTCCTGCCGGTCATCTCTGTCCCTGAGGAGGGACTGCCCGATGATAGGAGGCGGGATACCCCTCCCCTGCTCCCCAGGACTCCAGCACCGAGCCCAGTAAAGGACAGTGATGTGTGTGGGGGTCCGTTCATGCCCTGCCCGCAGGTACCCACTTTGTCCTGGGGGTTCCCTGTCTCCTGATTATTTCCGAGGCACAGACACTGCCCGGGAGGCCTGGGCTCTGCCCACCCCAGATCCTCAGTGCAGTGGGGAGCTATTGCCCCACCCTCCTCTGCTCTGACGTGCCAATGCCATGGTCATCTGCTCCCTTTCTGGAAGGCAGGGTACTGAGCTGCGGCCCTACCCGGCTGCTTCTGCTCCTGTCCTTGTTCCGAGCTGGGTGAGCGGCTGGCCCAGCTCAGCCAGCGAGCAGGCAGGCGTGGGTGGGGGCTCTGCTCTCAGGAGTCATGTGTGTCTGTGTCAGGTCCTCGCTGTGTCCCCCAACACACAGGAGTGTGTCCTGTGAGTGACAGGGTGAGCTGGGGTGCAGGGTGACAGCCCTCATGTGCCCAGCTCCTGGAGGTCGGGGTTCCTGTGGGATTCCCCAGCACTGTGTTAGCTCAGTTTGCATTTGGGCTCCAGTGAGGTGGGGACCCGTAGCTGGGGTGGAGTGAGTCCCAGGTCGCCACTGAGGGCAGCGGCCATCCACACAGCTGTGCACCCCGCTCCACTGTTTGCACGAGGCTCCTCGACCATCGTGGGGTTTAGGGCGAGAAGGTTGTGACCCCCAGGCTACCTGCTTGTTGCTGTCAGAAGCGGGGTTCTTAGGGGCTGGGGATTTAGCTCAGCGGCATAAGCGCCTTCCTTTCAAGTGTGTGGTCGTGAGTTTGATCCCTGGTACCGATAAAAAAACGAAAAAGACAAAAAAGAAAAGAAGCGGGGTTCTTTCATTCCTAGGCTGCTCCTCCCTGGGATGAGAGTAGAGTCCACCACTCAGCTCTCTGCCCAGTTGGAGAAAGAGATGCAAAGTGGGGTTCCCATGGAGCACCCTGAGTCAGGGCATCCTGCTGTGCTTCCGGAAGAGGCCTCGGAGCCTCTCTGGGAAAATAGATCCTCTCTGGGAACATGCGGGAGGGAGGCCAGGGGGAGTTCCCGCCTTCTCTGGAGCTCCTTTGCTGAGGACTTGGGGTGACTCTGTGGCCCCTAGAAGCAACCCGTTCACCCCGGGTTTAACTCCAGCTGGCTGAGAGGCTGGCGTGAGGTGTACTGCCCCACGGCTCTGTCCCTGGGCAGGGCAGTGTGGGACCACGGGGCACCTGTCCCCTCCCTGCACTCCTGTCCCTCCATGCAGCTGGGATTTCCCTGGGCCACTCCCTGCCTCCACCTGACAGACATGCACGGCTGAGGGCCAGCAGGTGGCGCTGCGTCCCTGTGGTGGCCATGGCCGGGAGGTTGGTGACAGTTTCTGAGGTTTAAAGGGCTCAGATGCCAGTGGTATCAGCAGGAGCAGCCTGGACCTGAACCTCAGGTCAGAGCTCTGCCCACGGAGCCCTCAGGGTGAACCGTGGCAGGGACCCCGCAGTGTCCAGCTGGCTTGCAGCTTGGCTTGCATCTGGCTTCCCCCTGCTGGCTTGAGCAGTGGTTTGCAGTGAGTGATTTGGGGGACACAGGGTGGGGAGCTGGGCGGCCGCTCCGTGGAGGGTACTTTCCTGGCCATGTGAGGCCCTGGGCACCAGGTCACTGCCACCAAACAAAGGGAAAAAAAAAAAGCAAGTCGAGTGTCTGCTGTGTCACCAGTCTGTGCTGAAACACTGCGATTAAACCGAATAAATGTCTCATGAAGATGACAGAGGCCCTCATTTTGCCGTAAAGCGGGGCCTCTGGGTTTGCTTTTTTTCGAGACCGGGTCTTGCTGTGCAGTTCAGGCTGGCCCTGAGCTCATTACGAGCCAAGCCTCTTGGTGACTTTTCTCGTGGCTGAGCCAGAATTCCCGACACCTGAACTGAGGGAAGGGAAGGTTTATTTAGCTCCCTGTGTGTGGTCTTAGTCCACAGTCGGCTGGCTCCGAGGCTGGGTGGGGTGGCTCTGGGACAGCTGTTGATGGCAGTGGAAAACAGTGGCAGGAGAGGGGCAGGAGCAGCCTCTGTGCCTCCCTTTACAGCAGCCACCCTAGGGTAAGTGTAGCATTCACAGCCCCCACCCGGTGCTAGACAGTGAGCCAGTCTCAAACCCTAGACTCAGCCACCTCTGAAAAGTTCCCACCCCACAGCTGCATGAGGCTGTAGGGGGAGTTCCAGACACAAACCATGGCACCCAGGCTGGTCTTAAATTCAAGGTGATCCTCCTGGCCTTAGCCTCCCCAGTGCTGGGATTACAGGTGTGTGCCACCATGCCTGGCCCCTGCCTTTTTAAACTTTTAAACATCACCATCACCTAAGAGTGAGTGGGTGAGCAATTCCGTGGCAGTCTGTGTCTGCCCAGGGTGTCCCTAGGTGTCAGTGTGTCAGGGATGTGGCTGGGAGAGCACCCTCCCATGGGACAGATTGGTGCTCCTGAGGAGATGGGGGGGGCTCTCAGGGTCTGGGTGGCCTGCAGTCTCAGACCACCCCATGCTCACTGGTGCTCCTAGGAGGTGGGGCCGAGGATGTAGCTCAGTGGCACAGCACCTGCCTGGCAACGGCAGGGTCTTGAGTTCGATTTTCAGTTTTCAGAAAAAAATAAAAAATGCGAAGTTAAGGAGCAGAGGTTTATTTGGGTTACAGTCTGTAGCGGTGTCAGCCTATCCACGGCTGGATCCTAGGCAGGGAGGAGGGCATCACAGAGGAGGAACGGTCCATGGCAGGCTGAGAGCAGTGGGCAGCCAGCAGCCACCTCTCACTCGCCCCTTCCAGGCCGCCCATCCTTTGAGTGGTCCCGCCCACACCTGGCATGGACTTCCCCTCACCCAAACCTCCCAGCGGACTTAGTAATCACACACCCTAGATCCAGCCAGCTCTGCAGACCCACACCTGTGACTGCCCCGCCAGAGACCTTGGGGACAACGGGACACAAGGGTTCACAGCCAGCCTGCAGGGGGTGCCTAAGCACACGCAGCTCCTTAATGTAGTTACAGTTACTGGGCTCTCAGTGCCAGGTAAGTGCTTTGCCCCTGAGCTACAGCCCCAGCCCAGGCAACGCTGAGCGAACAAGGGTAACCAGCATAGTGGAAGTGGCTATGCAGCATTTTGAGAGGCTGAGGCAGGAGAATAGCACATTCCATTCGGGTCCTGGTGATTTAGTGAGATCCGGTCTCAAAATGAAACAAGGGCTAGGTTGTGGCTCGGTGTGAAGGCGCTGGTTCAATTCTCAGTGTGACGGAAAATGCATAACCTGTTTGATTAATGTACATTTTATTATATTTCTAAATACACACTTCTAAAACCCTGCTTCATCTCCATGGTGACCTGGTTGAAAGCCTTCGATCTGCGGGTCCGGGATCTGACCAAGGGCGACAGCCCACGGCCTCAGGTCAGAATGTCCAGGCAGAGTCACCCCAAGGGCCCGGCCCGCAGCAGAGGTGAGCCATGTCCCACAGGCAGCGCCATCTGTCCCGAGCAGAGGGTGGTGGTATCAGCCCTTGGAGCTCTGCCCAAAACCACCGCACAAGCGGATTCCCAGCTGCGGCTCTTGCAGGACAAGTCCTGGGCCGCTGGGACGCCAGGTCCTGCCGTCCTTCCTGCCTGTGCCACTTCCAGGACGGTGACTGCCCTCCAGGTCCAAGGAGTCCTCGGGTCACTCGCTGTCGGGCAAATCGGATACCTGTGTCCAGCAATCAGGGACACGGCCATCTGAAGCGGGAGTGGCCCAGCCCACAGGACATTTGAGGTTCCAGTCAGACCCAGGATTCTGAATCCAAGGAGCCGATGGAGCCCAGTTTACTTTGTTTCAAAGTCAGCTGCAAATATCAGGGCTTCCCACGAGGATCCCAGACCCAGGGCATGCAGAGACACAGGTGCAGCCGCTGTGAGGTGCTGGGTGGATTCCCATGGAGCTAACTCGGCTCTGCCCACCAGCACGCACTGCTTACAGTGCCTGGGACCGGCACAGCCCTGCTCACTGCAGCCTTCATTGCGGGGCCGGGACCTGGGGGCCACTGAGGCGCCTTCTGCGTCTGCATGGAATGAAGGGTTCGCTTCTTCCCTGGACCAGGGTGAGCGTCTCCCTGGCTTAACTGCATGGCAAGTGAATGTTTAGCTTTGTAGAAATTAAGGTCTAACTGCTAAATTTAATGTAAAAACTCACAGCCCACATCCGGTGTGGACAGACAGCTGTTCAGGAGCTGCCCTGGCCCAGCTCCCAGGCTGGATGGTGAGAAGCCAGGGGCAGGGGCTGCTTCTCACGGAGGGATGAGAGGTGGGGACAGCTAGATGCCGGCCTCAGGGCTGCAGCCTGGCTTGGTTCTGCGGGCATGGTGCCCAGCACAGGAAAGGACCTGTGGTTAGAACAAGTTACTCTGGTCTGCATCCCAACGGGTGGAAATCCCGCAAGGGGTACGGTGGGACAACTCCCCAAGGGCTGACATGCGTCGAACTCCATGTGAAGTGAGGGTGAAAGGGGTACAGGGTGTCCTTCAGCGGGTCCTGGGGGGGATGCTGTGGCCACCAAGCTGTGCTTCTTCCTGACTGCATGGGTGGCAAGGTACCCCAGAACTCAGGTGGATGTGCACAGCCGAGGCCGTGCACTGGGTCAAGACTGTGGCAGGTCCAGTGGTGATTCACAGCTCCGTGGGTTTGCAGGGTGTCAGACGGGGGAGCCTGGGGAAGACACCAAGCTCTCCGCGTTACTTATGAGGAGTCCACGTCTTCACAGTGACCTCGAGACTGGAAGTCGGTTTCAGATGCCAGACCAGGCAGACAGCACTTCCGAGGTTCTGGTTCACTTGACTGCGTTCTCTTCCCTCTGACCACTGCTTCAGCTCCAACTGAAATCGAGAAATGAAACACAGCCCGGAGCCTGTCACACCCAGCAGGTGGCAGCAGTGCCTTGAGAATGGTCCCAGTGATGTGGGAGCAGGGCCTGGGACCCATCCCGCGCCCTATGCCCTGTGCCAGCTGCTGCAGGGTTAACCGTGCCAGTCCTGTCAGCACCAGGCTGGGGTCACCCATGGAAGAGGGGTGTCACCTCACCCTGACACTGGCCACAGCTGTTTGCTCTGCCCCAGGAAGCTGAGTCAGGAAGCGACTATCAGTCCTTCCTGTGGGGCGTCTGGCCTGTAAAGCTGTCAGAGTGGCTGCATTCCCGGGCAGGTGATGGATGGGGCAGCACAGCCGGTACCACAGGTGGACACACGGTGAGCAAGTCAGTGCAGGCGGTCAGGCCTTCTGGGGCTCTGCAGGTGTCACCCCTGCACCCCGAGGGACCTGCGGCCGGGCATCTGGGCCAAGGCTTCCGCCCGCCACACCCTCCGTCCTTGCTCCTCAGCTATGAGCTGCAGTACTGCACCCATCCTGTGTCCTGGCCTGCACGGCCGTGGCCTCTCCGGGCCTGGGTAGCACGGCCTGAGTCCCCAGGGGACTCAAAGCTGTGTTTGAAATGTGTGGCAGGGAAACCGTCAGCATGTAGGGCCTGGCTTCACGGGTGCTAGGGAAGTGCTCTGAGCTGGCATCCAGACTGGCGGGGGCCACATGCCCACCTGGCAGCCCATCAGAGTCCCTGAAGAGCAGCAACTGCTGAGAGTCCTGCCCTCCCCCACATGGTCACCCTGCTGTGGCCTCCAGCTGCCCCCTTGATCTTGCAAAGGACATGAGGATGATTGTGATTACCCTCATCAGCAAGATTTCTCTCTCCCTCCCTCTCAGTGTTTTTTTTTTTTTTTTTTTTTTTTTTTTTTTTTTTTTTTTTTTGTCTTTTTGGGACAGACAGTCTCACTACGCGCGCAGTTCAGGCTGGCCTTGAGCTTGCAGGCTGATCTTGAATGTGCAGTGATCCTCCTGCCTCAGCCTCCTGAGTGCTGGGGTTACAGGCTGTGCCATGATGCCTGGCTACCCAGCGAGGTGTCAGGCGGGACTAAGGTTCGGGGCAGAGCATGTGTGTGTGAGAGCCTGGGTTTGATCCCCAGCATAAAAAAAGAAGAAGAAGAAGAAGAAGAAGAAGAAGAAGAAGAAGAAGAAGAAGAAGAAGAGGAAGAAGAAGATGGGGGGAGAATCATCCCTGTGGCTGTTTGCATTCCCGAAACCATTTGTGGGAGGTGACAGTGAACAGACTGCAAGGTGGCACCTGCCCCTCAGCCTCGTGTCCCTCTGCAGAGCTGTGCAGTCTGTTCGCAGAGGCAGGAGGCTGATGACGAAAAGCCAAGCTCCCGGGCTGCCTACAAACACAGCCCTGGCAGGGGAGGAGCCAGGCCAGCCCGGCCTCATGCCCTTGGGGCGCCTGGGGGTCCTGGGTGGAGTCTGTGTGCAGAGGGCGTGACCCATCGCGACTGTCCCTCCCGACCTATGGCCCCATTGGCTGAGCCCAAGGGGAGGGAGCTTTAAAAAGGCCACGGAGCCAGCCGGGAGCCAGGAGCCTGAGCTGCTCCTTCCGGCACCATGAGGCTCTCCCTGGCACTGTGTCTCCTTTGCTCTCTGCTGCATGCTGCTTTCTGTGCAACAGAGGGCCACGGCTGGCCAGCCTTCAAGAACGACGCCACTGAGTTCATCCCCAGGCTCGGGGACCACCTGCAGCCCCCTCCAGAACTGGAAAGCAACAAGACCATGAACCGGGCAGAGAATGGGGGGCGGCCTCCCCACCACCCCTTCAAGGCCACAGGTACAGCAGAGCAGGGTCCACAGTGTGACCTGGGATGCAGAGGCACAGAATGGGGGCCAGGGAGGTGATGCAGGAGGTACTGTGTGGGTGTGGGGGATCTGGCCAGGACAGCAGCGCTGCACATGCCCACCATGGGGATCCTGGGAGTGGATCCCAGACTGAGAGGGAGAAACCAGAGTTTCAGAGGCTAAGTCACTGGTGGTGAGGAGAGTGGCCAGATCCGAACCCCGAGGGTCCTGATGGACAGCGCTGGTGTGGGTCGGAGCTGGGAAGCCCCAGGCTGGAAGCTGAATGGGTTCTCCCTCAGCCCTTTCTGGTTCTACTCTGAGACTGCTTCACCCTTTGGGGTTGTGCTGGACCTGCCTGGGACACCCCAGGAGAGTGGAGCTTCCATGGGACCAGCTGTTTAAACTGCCCCATGCCCATGCTGCCGGGGTGCACAGGACCAGACCAGGGCATGGTGGATCCTGGTGCCCCACCCCTCATCCGGTACCCCCAAGGAAGGCCCCCCATAGGGAATCTGGCACACAGCAGCCCTCAACGTAGCTCTGGGGTTCAGAGTCACAGCTCCATCCCCAGCTGGTGGGGAGGTGACCACTGTAGAAGACCATCTACACTCAGCACCACCCTGGGAGCATGGGAGGGAGTCAGGCCCCTGGTGCCCTCTTTGGGCTGGTTCTTGTCCCAACCCAGTACTTCACACCTCAAGGACTTCGAGCAGGCTGCACCCGAGGCCTGAGGTCCCTGAGGAGTTCCCATCCGGACCTCGGCTCTGTCCTGCCACACACCAGGTGTCCCAATTTACTACCTCCAATTAACCTCCCATCTTTCTCCGCTCAGTCTCCACTGCCCCAGGGGCTGGAGAGCAATTTGGGGGAAGTGGAGCCCTGTGAAAGGTGGGCGTGGTGGGGTTCCGCCTGCGCCCCGCAGCCCCCACAGGTGTGGCTGACATAAGAGGGCCAAGGGGCAGCCTGCAGCCTGGCCCTCCTGGGTGCCACCTGGAGCACACAGGTGGTGGGTGTGAGCTTCCTGTCTGGGCGTCTGTGGAATCCACCAGTGCAGGGGCTCCCAGGAGAGAGGGCAGCAGAGGCAGGTATGGTCAGCTGGGTGCAGGGGTGGTTGGGGTATGGGGTGATGGGCCCCACAGGACATCCAACTCACTGCCCTCTCCCCGCAGACGCCTCTGAGTTCAGCTGCCGGGAGCTGCGCTCCACGCGTTTTGTGACGGAGGGGCCCTGCCGCAGTGCCAAGCCGGTCACTGAGCTGGTATGCTCGGGTCAGTGCGGGCCGGCACGCCTACTGCCCAACACCATTGGCCGTGGCAAGTGGTGGCGCCTGGGTGTGCCTGCCCCGCCCCGCTGCGTTCCTGACCGCCACCGTGCCCAGCACGTTCAGCTGTTGTGCCCCGGGGCTGCGCCAAGAGCCCGAAAGGTGCGCCTGGTGGCCTCCTGCAAGTGCAAATGGCTGGGCCGCGCACACAACCAGTCCGAGCGCAAGGACTTCGCCCCCGGGCCACAGTGGGGACGCAGGCCCAGGCCACGGGCCGAGCTGGACAACGTGTACTGACCCTGGGGCTGGACCCGCACGGCTGAGGGTCCCCGTCCTTCAAACATATGATGCCCAGTTCGGGGACTGAGCTGCGGAATCCATGTGCCCCACGCATGCCAGCTGCTGGCTCCAGCAGAGCAGGGCAGGAACCCTTAGGACACCAAGTCACGGCCCTGCCTTCCTCCTGAGGGGCAGAAACAGGCAACACATGCCGCCCCGGCCGGCTAAGGGGCCCCGAGACCCCGGAACCCCCTGCACCAATGCTTGCTGGGGCTGGGCACCAGGACACACAGCCGTTGCTTGCTGCAGGACCTGGTGGGACCTCGCTGGCCTCTGTCGGACAGGGCAGAGGGCTGTGTCTCCAGGCCCAGGTGCACTCTGAACAGGTGGGGGATTGGCCACTGCCAGTCACTTCGGGAAGTGGCACTGATCCTACTGCAGAAAACGGGACAAGAAAAGGGGGCTGCGGGCCCAGGACGGCCAGGGAGAGCTGGCCGTGAGTCCCAGACTGCTGCCCGTCATTGCCAAGCAGCCGCTCTGCAGTGGGCAGGAAGAGGGTCCCCGGGGGCAGACAGAACAACTGGCGTCCCTGCCTGCGCTGTGCATGTGGCCACCAGCAGGGGCCGGCCCGCCCTGCCTCTGCCAGCACCCGTGAGCGTGCTTCAGTCTGGCAGAGGGCTCCTCCCGCTGCTGCCCAGGGTGGAGGCCGAGGAGCGTGCCCTGGCTCCAGCTCCGTTGCTGCCCCTGCCTGCTTTGGGCACAGCCTTCACTGTGCAGAGGGGACGCAGCTGGGCCAGAAGAGGCCTTAGGAGTGCAGGGCCAGCACAGTCGCCGTCCCACGTGCGCCAGCTAGAGGTGGAGGCTCTCCCCAGCATGCTGTGTATTTATTTTCCCGCGTTAAGTTATTGATGCCAAGGGCTCCCTGCAGGGCGGTGTCTGTTCTACTCCGCAAAGCCCAAGTGCCCGGGTGCCGGGCACTGTTAATAAAAAACGAGCACTGTAGCCTGGAGAGTGGGTCTCCTTTTGTCTCCACACTGTCCTGTCTGTCACTTCACACTGCAGCCCAGCCTGTGAAGGACCCGGCTGTCCTTCGGAGGCCATTCTCGTCCACACCGCCTCCTCTCCGGACTTCTCCTGCAGGTCCATCTGCGGCTCCGGGTGTGGGTGCAGAGCTCACCGCCTGGCCCAGGGTTCTCTCCTCTCTCCCACCCACTGCTTTCTGGACCCCTTTTCGGTGTCCAGTCCCTTCAGCCCCTGCCACAGCTTCGGTCCCATTCCAGCCTCCCAGCACACACTCAGCAGGATGCGCGTTCTCCAGAAAAAGTGGGGCAGCACCTCCCCTCTCTACACGGGGTCCCCCAGTTGCTCCACTGAGCCTCGTGCTGGCCAGGACCCCAAACGCCTGCTGGCGGCAGGAGGGGGGCACAGCCACTGCCTTACACTCAGGCCAGCCCCGCAGAGAGTGCAGTCACTCCCAGGGTACTTCTGGGGGCGGCCACTCCCCAGGTCCCTCAGTTCCCATCAGAGCCAACGGGCCTTGCCCCCATTCCCCACCCCTAATCTAGCATCCTGTGGGGATCCACCCGTCTCGAGGCTCCCAGGGGGCGCTGTGGCTCAGGGCAGGAGACTCGGGGCTCTGCAGTGGGTGTTTGGCAGGGAGGGCAGCGAGCAGGGAGGAGCTGTCTGCGCACCTGGGCACTTGGAGCCGGACTTGAGTCCACCCCAACCCCCAGCAGCCCAGTGGAGGCAGCAGCTGCCCCAGATAGCTCGCCTTTGTGTGCAAGGACGTGATTTGTGCTTGCTGTAGGTGAGTGTGCATGTACATGAGACAGAGCCCCATCCCCCAGACCATGGCCCCCACAGCATCTTCCCTCCCGCCTCACCCCCCTCTATTCCTTCTGGAGTAAACCGCCAGCCCGGCCTGCAATTCGGCCTTGGGTTCTCTGTCCCCAGGTGAGGGCTTCGGCCTGGGCAGGCCCTGCATGGGGCAGGGCCGATCCTGCATCCCCTGCCTCCTCAAGGATGCAGTCCGTGGGGGCGGCTGGGACTTCAGTGCCCAGCTCACCATGAATGTGTGGCCTCTGCACCCCAGCTCAGTGCCACACCCACTTTGCGACAGTCCCACACCATCCCTGGTCCCGCTGAACCATGCAGGACACTTCCCTACCCATCCTAGCAGTGTGTGCACTGAGCACGGGGCCCTGGTGCCAGCGCCCCCTCCCTGTGCCTGAATCACTGTCTGTCTGCGTGGAGACCAAGCCCCCTGACCCCTCGAAGCAGCTGATTTCCCTGTGATCATCACAACTCGAGTCCTGTCCTCCGACAGGACTCCTGGCCAGAGCTGGAGTGGCGAAGGGAGGGGGTGCAGGCTGCCCCTGCCTGGTCAGACAGCGCCAGGGCTTGTGCCCCGCAGCCTGGGTTAGGGGTGGGATGAGCGGTGCCCCAGGAGTGGGTAGGTCCAGACAGTCAGGGAGGGCACCCCACTCCAGTGCCCCCACGGGAGTCCAGCCTCTGAGGAGGCCCTGAGCCTGAACCAACCTTTCGGGGCATGGTGCCAGGGGCAGGTGCTCCCTTGAGAGCAGCAGACTCAGTTGGATGGAGCCCCGGGTGGCTGGGCCAGGCCCCCTGAGGTGGTGTTGGAGCTGAGAACTCAGGTACAGGCTCTGTGGGCACCTGTGGTGGGCAAGGGAGCAGCCTGGGTGCCCTGAGCCATGGCTGCTGACCCCGAACTGTGAGCCAGAGTAAGGGCTGGAATCGCAACAGGAAGGTGTGTGCATGTGTGTGCGTGTGCACACGTGAATCTTGTGTCTGAATGACCAAGACCCTGGCACTGACTTCTGCTCACAGCCTCCCTTCTCCCTGCAGCTGTGCCACCTTGACTCCTTCCCGGCTCTCAGGGCTGTCACCTGCAGTGCCACCATGAGACATCCGTTGTCCTGTCCCTGGCGCCCACAGGGTCCTGGCCAAGATGGAAGCCGCAGCTTTGAGGCCTGGAGATTGCGGCATGGAGGTGGCCGCCAGAGTGTAGGAGGGCAGGTCCAGCAAGACCTGGGCAGGGGGTCGGGGCCAGCAGCCCGGATGGGGCCGAGGATGACTTAAGTCACAGTGACCTGCAAACACTCCCTCCCACCCCCAGGCACATGCTCTGAGTTTTGGGGTCCCTACACCCTGTTTGCATCCCTGGGTTAGTGGCATCCCAGAGGCTGCCGCCCTCTGTCGCCCCAGGTAGGGAGGCCGTTTCTGGGCAGTTGCGCTCTCTCTGCAAGGGACACTGAGGCCAGGACCATGCCTCGGCTCCACCCCTCAGCCAAAGGCAGCCAGGAATGCAGGGTGTCCTGAGCATGTGGCTCCCTGGGCACTGGAACTCATCTCCAGAGGGTGTGTGGGTACAGAGCCGCCCGGAAATCTCTCACCAAGACCCTCTGTGGCTCAGCCTAGTTTACTGCTTTTAAAAACATTAAGTTCAGATTTTTGATTTTTTCTACTTTTCTGGTTTTTGGAGACAGGGTCTGGCGGTGTAGCCCAGGCTGGCCTCAGACTCACAGTGATCCTCCTGCCTCAGCTTCCTGAGTGCTGGAATCACAGTGTACATGTGATGCCACCCAGAGCTTGTGCATCTGTCCCGTGTGGCCTGGGCCGAGGGTCCGCAGATGTTCCCTACGAGGTCTACGCCTGTCAAGGGTTGGTCTCCAGCAGGACTGAGGTGGGTACTTCGGGAAGCATCTGGGCAGGCCCTGGTGGACTGCAGATTGGGGAGGGGTGGCTTTGTGCCAGGGAGCTCACAGGCCACTCCAGACGATGCACTGTGCCTTGCCAGGCCTGCCGGCATGGGCTACAGGCTCTGCACAAAACTCAGGTCCTTCCTTTCACTCCTCCACAGCTCCCTACTGCCTGACAGGTGAGCCCGGCTCCTCTGGCTTCTGCCTGCCACCCTGCCCGCCCCGTGGCCGATGCACCCCCATCCCTTCTGACTTCTTCGAGACAGGATCTTGTTATGCACTGCAAGTTGGCCTCCGACTCACAACAACAGTCCTCCTGTCTCAGCCTCCTGGGTGCTGGGATGACGGGGTGCCCCGCCTGTCCTACTAAGCCTCAGAAGCTTTCAGCACTTGGCTCCCAGGGCCGTTTAGCGGGTGAATCTCTCTGGGAAGGTGGGTCTGCCCCCCCGCAGGCAGACAGAGCTGAATGTGGACCCTGCTGCCTGTGAGGGGCGGGGCAGTGGGGCCACCTGAACTCCCCACTGCCCCTGCTCCTCTCTGCAGCTGTAACCGTGACCGACAGTGAAGCTTTTGCAGGGAGCCTGGGGTGGCTTGGAGACTGCAGCAGCACCACCATGGGCATCAGCTGGGGGCAGGACTGGCGCTGCCTTACAGCAGCCAGCGGTGGGGAGAGCGCTGGCTCCTGGACCAGGTCCCCCCAGCTCCCCACACTCGGGACCCTCCGAGCTCTACCCTCCCCAGGGTCCCTGGACCAGGTCTGCTGTGTGTTGTTTACTCAGGACCGGTCAAACGGTCAAACGCCCGGTGACAGATGTGTCTATCACTTGGCTAGCAATTTGGGGTCACGGCATCAGGTTATTTCCAAGTCCCAGGAAAACAGCTCTTCTCCGACTAAAGAAGTAAATGATATCATTTTTCACTCGGTGACCAGATTCTGAGTGCATCAAGGTCCCCAGGGTGCAGGGCCTCGGGACAGCCTGGCTCCTGGCGGGCTGTTTATGTCTGTCCTGCACCACCGGCTGGGTTGTGGGGGGCTGCGGCTCCAGAGGACGAGGTGTTGGCCCTGTGACAGCTCTGTATTCCTTAGAAATCAACCTCAATTAGGAAAATGACTCCTTGCTGTCCCGTGATGGCTATTTGTAGGGTCTTGTTTTTTCCTGGTCATTTTGGCCAAGACAAGTTGAATCTAAAAGGGAACAGAGGCTAAAAATGCTGTGATGGCTGCAGGGCAAGGACCCAGGGATGCTGTCCAGGTCATTAGTGCCACGGCAGCCTGGACACCCCCTCCTAGGAGGACACTGGATGGCAGGTGCCCGGCCAGTGTCGGGATGGCCCTTTAGTTTCATTCATTTGTTTTTATTTTACTTTATTTTTTGGAGACAGGGTCTCCCTATGAAGCCCAAATTGGCCTTGAACTCAAGATGATCCTCTTGCCTCAGCCTCCCAGAGATGGCTAGATGACAAGCGCCCTTACCCAGAGGTGCCAGCTCCTGAAATGTCCATGGTTCCCTTCTCTGCTGGCCCCCATTGGGGTCCCCTCCCCAGCCACCCTGACCAAGGTAGGGCCCTGTCCCTACCTGCCGTTCATGCCCGCATCATCAGCCCCACCTCCAGCTCCCTCGGGAGCCTCAAGGTGGGACAGGTTCCCAGTCTTTGTGCACAGCAGAGGTGTGAGGAAAGCTGGGAAGGCAGGGTGTCCGAAACCCTGCAGAGGGTGTTGGAGGGAGGGTCACTGCGCCTCCTTCCAGCCCCTGGCAGAGATGCTGCCCACCCCGGCCCTTCCAGCAAGACGATGTGAGCTCCTCTGTCACTCTTCTCCCTGGGCCTGGGGGTGACTCCTGGGGTTCCCACTGAGCTACAACCCCAGAGCTCTGTGCTTCGAGACAGGGTCTCAGTAGGTTGCTATGTTGGCCAGACTGGGCTTGAACCTGCAATCCTGCTGCCTCAGCCTCCCAGGCTGTGTTTTTAGCACGTGCTGGGGGATTTGGGCTCCCAGTGGAATAAATTTGTTTTTTTTAAAAAACACAGTTTGACTTTTGTGTAGGACAATTCTGCCTCACTTAGTAAAAAATAAACATTTATAGGGTGAATTAGCAATATTGCCACCAGAGAGCACATCAGTCTTGCACTGTGGTTGAGGTTCTGGTGTCCCCACCATGGGCTTCTTCACAGTCCTGAGGCCCTGGGGGATTCAAGGGTGGACGAGGAGCAGGCAGCAGTGCAGCTGCAGAGTCAGGGCTGGGGCCCCGTGGCCCTGCTGTGGGGAGGCGGGGGAGGGGGGGC